CTGTCAGCTATTGGTGGCTCAGAGCCAATATGAATGATTTAATAGATTTTATATTTTGAACTAAACTTGTTTTAGTGGCTCAGAAACAATAATGAGTGATTTCCTTGGCCTTTTACTATTCTATCCGAGCCGTTGGTGACTCACAGCGATTATGAATAATCGAATGGGCTTTTACAATTTGAACTGAGCTATTTTATAGCTCAGAATCAATAATAAACTTGCAAGCTCGCATATACAATATTTTATTTCTAGGTCTATTCGGTTTTCAGGTTAATTAGGAGGATAAAGAGATGTGTTCCAATTTTTTAACTCTATTTAATCTGTTAATGCAATAAAAGTTTTTATATCATGGAGAAATACTTACCGGCAAGTTGTTTGCCATGACAGCGTACATTATTGGTGTATTGCCGGTCTTTTTCTCTTTAGTATCGATATCAATCTAGTAGGTGTATTCAAGAAAAGATATTGAACTGTTATTGAATGCTTTAAGCTGTCATTTATTAGCAATAGGGAAATCCCATGTATATAGATATACAGGTAAGCTATATCTCTCTAATTAGTATTATATGTAAAGTACAGTAGTCATGAATACTCGTAATGGCATGGATTTCTAGATCCTCAGGGGATCTAGAAGTCCTTGATGAGGGCAATTATATTCATCATCCTTTTGCTAATAAGTTAAATTTATGGAAGAGAAATAACCGATTGCGTATAATTTCTTATATGGATAGAAGTTGTCATTATTTCTTATTAATCAACTACTGAATGAACATTGGTAGTAAAATGAACTGAAACTTAAAAAAAGTTATCTTCAAGCTAGCTAACTACTAGAAAGAGGCCATTGCTCAATCTACAATTAGGACCCTAATTTTAGGGTTTTAAACGCTACCTTCGAGCTTTAATTGACTAATCTTAATGATGAGAAATTATCAACTTATTATCATCGTACAGTTTTAACTTATCGTATTTAATACTCTGAGTTTGCGGATAGTTGAAGTAGGGAGTGCTTAAGATTGCTAGCACTCAAACTTTTAATCATGTTATATAAAAAGGTAAAATTAATGAAAAGAATCAGATTACACACAGTTGATAAATATTATAGGTAGGGATTGATTATATATAATTATTAGATTAGGTAGCATTTATGGATCAGGAGAATGATAATTACAATCGGTTAGGTTGCTTAGAAATTGATAGAAAATGAGGACAATATTGACTACAATATGTAACAGGAAAGTACCAGTAACTTTAAAGTGCTAGTGGGGTAGCTCTGTAATTTATGGAACTTAAACTGTGTTTTATTAATTAATGCAAATGTTTTAAGTTTCTTATGGTTAAATAAAGATAAAATCAATATTCAGATTTTTTTGACTGAAGCTCTGTTAACGCTAACAATGCTCTCAACAAGTTATAGGATTTCAAGAGAGAATATTAGAGATTGATAAAATCCTTAGTAAAGAAGGGTATGTAGAACTCTGGTAAAGCTAACATAATGTCATTGTACGATTTTAGAAGGGAATGCTATGTAGAGATCGATAGAAATTTCAAACTACTGACATGTAAAAGCTTTGATAGAGCTAATATAATTAACGTTAAAATATTTAAGGGAAACATTGCTTGAAGACTACTCAAAATTTTAAACTAAATCAGATTATACTAAAGGTAGTCGAGGTGGTGTTGTAGGTAGCTTACCGGACTGCCTTTACGTTGAAGAAAATTTTTAACTCGTTCAAGATCACCATTCTAACAAGAAGAACATTTCAATTATCAAATGGATTTATTCATTGAGTTAATTCAGTGATAGATTATAAAAGTATTCCTATCTGTTAATTTACTGAAGCTGATAACTCTACCTAAGAATGACCTATGTAATTAATATTTGAACTAATTATTTAAAAAGTTTGTTTTGGTTATCAAGTGTTACAAGTACACCCGAACATACAAGTAATAAAATCAGATTTAATCGATTGCAGTTAATGTTAGAAAAACACAGACTTACCTTCACTGCTTCAAAAAATATTGTGATTAGATCAGTTTTATCATTACTAAATGATAGAAATTGGTAAAAAATGTTAGAATTGTATTAGTTAAAGTATGTAAAGCAGTCGCAAGATACATGAATTAAGTTAGATTTAATAGGGTATATTTAAACAAGCTATGGGAATTAAAAGGATCATTCTTTTTTCACGGTTATCTATTTTACTTTGCTATCTAGATAGAAGGTAATTCTAATGATATACGTTTTATTCGTCTTCCATTTCTTATTCTATCAAATTGTACTGTTGTTATTTTACTACGCTTTAAATCTTCTTAGGACTATTGTTAATTCAAGATCAGTATTTTATTCCTTTCTAATAACAATTCCTAAAAGGGACACTAATTTATTCTGATTCTTGGTACGCATATTAACCATTAATTTTAAACGTCTATACAGCATAGGCGGTAATTGCTAATGGGAATAGAAACTAAGAAATCAAGAATTTCCCTTCTCATTCTGTTTTTACCTTAATGAATTGTTAAAGATAGCCGATGAAACCTCGTAGTAGACACGTCGCAATTCTGGCAACCGGACCTTACTTTTGGGTGGTTTTTCTTCTTTATGACCAGTAGAACCAACCTTCATCTTGCTATACTTTTATGCAGCAAGTACTGACGTCAATTTTTATGATATCATGGATAATAGTCGAAGAGATCATTCGCTATTACAATTACAATACTAAGGAGATCGACATTAATGTCTTAATAATAATAATTGTTGATGGCAAATGATTGAATTATAGTAAAAATAAGGAGATGATGGACGATTACGTCGGTAGCGCTAACCGGATCAAGGCCAGTTGTCAATTGTGCTGAGGCGGAACACTTTTACAGCCTAAGACTACAACTGATGATAGGCCAATCTTGGGCTTAATGATGTAATGCTAGTTGATTACTCCGATCGATGAGTAAATGCGTGACAGAAAGAAATAAGATACAGTTAGTGGGAGGGGGGAAGAAAGCTAATATAGGAAAACTTGGAGGGAGGCGAAGGTAGATAGTCTGGAATTTTAACGACTCGTTTGAGCACACAAAAAAAGTAGAAATGTAAAGAAGTTAAAGAATAGCTTTAATAATAGTAATTATGACTGCTTGTCTTTCTTAATTTTGTCTCGTTTAGCAACAAGTCAGCTATTAGTACAGTAGTGGATGTTGTTTTAATGCTATACTAACCATGATGATAAGTGTCTCGACTATTTTTTGATGAATTCTAAAGTATGACTATTGTCATACGCATTTATTTTAACAATAGTTTAGGCATTTTTAATAGAAATTTTCGACCAATAATCGGCATCATTTTGAACTCAATGGATAGTCTTATTGACAAACTATCCATGATGGAATAGAGAAAAATCAATAGATTTAAATTATCAATAGTTTACTCAATTAGTGCCATGAGTAAAGTTTACAATATTTCTACTGTCGCTAGATTCATATCGTATTACATCATCCTCCTTGCTTGGATAGAATTCTACTCTTCTACAAGATGAGTGTTATGTAGTGATTGGATTGTATGATGCAGTAAAAATCCAATTAAAATTGATTAAAAAATGATCTATTTTTCCTTCTTAATAATCTAGGATTTTTGTACGAACTTAAAGAGCCTGAAAAAAAAGTATGTTACAAATAAATAGTCGTCAATCTTATGCTGGCCTTGCATGAGCTGGCTATGGATGAGTAAGATAAACATTTAAAGTACTCTATACTACTGCTGTATAAATTGACGTCAGTACTATCCAAGTAGTAATTCATCTTTTCAAATGGCAATGAGCAAGGCGTCTATTTAAAGGGTTAAATAACAATTCTATTGGAGATTAGCGCCAGGTTTCTCTGTACTAACGCATACTTTTAATTAAGGTCATGCATAAGAATGTCCACGTGAATAGTTTATTTACTATAGAAAGGGTACGAATTATTGATATGGTAATCAGATAAAAAGAGTTGGAATTAAACTCACTTTTTTTTGACATCAACTGGTTTTGTCTCCTAGCAACGTTTAAAGCGAATAAAGCGCTATGAAAGGGTGCTATATTATCGGTACTGTAGTTGCAACATCGGAAAATTAAACTAGGATTGTTAGGATAATCGTATTATTAAATATGACAACTTTATAATAAAATGAGGCGTTTGACGAATAGCGAGTGAATCATCCTATTCAAAACAATGTTCATCATTGATCGAGTAAAGTATCATTTCTATTCTATTAGTATTTATTACTCATTCAAAACTTCACTTTTGTATGATTTGATAATTAATTAGAAGAGTGAAATTATTTAAACCGTCGAATCGTCATCAATGATTGAATATTATTCAATATTGTTCCTTTTTTTGTCTTTACTACCATCAACATCGGCGACTAGAATAGCAACGCTACAGAAGAAAAGCCATTACGCCCGTTTAATTTCTAAAGTTGAGTGTAAATTTATTTTTAGCGACAGTAAGCTAGACTAATTATCCGTTAAGAATAAGTTTAATTACTACGCATAGTAAATGATTGGCGATAAGTGACAATGTAGTTACCATACACAAGGGAAGCACAACTACTCAAATCGCAAAATTGTACCATTGATTGATTGACGTACGTAATAAGTTAGTAATAAGGGCGATGACATGCTATCTTACTACGCACTTATCACAATACATGATATTGTAATGGATTGATTTTAATGTAAAGTAGTCTGACTCATTCTGTGAGTTAAGCATACATGTTGATATATATATCTCTTCTCTATATACATAATGTATTTATTCATGGCATAGAACAATACAATAGTATACCATACACAGTATGTCATACATTGATAATAATAGGAAAATGCTAATTAATTTTCCAAGGTTAAAACAGGATTACTGTCGGTCTTGCATCGATTGAACTATTCCATAAAATCTCCTTTTGATTGAAATAACTTTGTGCTCAAAAATGGAGCATTTTCATAACGTAGTCATGATTGTCTCATCATTTGTTACCATAACATTATTAGAGTTATTCCAATGGACAAGCTCTAACAACGTTAAGTCTACCTATTACCGTTATTCCATGATAAGATTGAGTGCCTTCATTGTTTCTTTTGTGGTTTATTTTCTATATCTAAATTCAATATAAACACAAGCTTGGTATTACAACTATTCATGAATAACTGACGTAAATATGAATGGCTCCTAAAGTATTTGCAATAACGTATCATCACTGACAAATGATACCTTTTACGTTTTCTTTTATGATCTTCTTCACTAGCTGAATCGCTTTCTGATGACGAGCTACTACTATCGTTGTCACTAGATGAGGATGACGATGATGATGATGAGTCAGATGCTAGCCCAGTGCTCTTATTTGGGTCGACTTGATCGGCTATTTTAGCAATTTCTGGCCTTTTCCGCTAATAAATATTACACCAGTAATAGTTAGTAGTTAGATTATGTATATATACTGCTCAAAAATCACATGTATCACTTTGTTAAAACTATCCTAATTGCACGTTAAATGGCACGTACTATAACAGAATGTTTATCTTAAATTGTGCAGAAAGATATGATGAACAGTTATTAAAATAGCAAGGACGGTAATTACAATTTTGATACAAATTTAAAGAGAGCAGGGCCAAAATTACATCAAATACTCACCTTGAGAGTTTCGTACCATTTCTTGGACAGTTTAGGTCTACCGCTGTATTGGATATATAAGAAATATTAAATATAATAAGGTGCCTTTCGTTCATAGAATTATTGCAATCAAGTCTATATCAGTAATAAGATAACTGCTATAGTAGCTAGTATAAATAGCCTATGACATCATAATTTGATATATCTTACCGGACAGTTTTACTCCATACGATATGAAAATTAGTAGGGCTACAAAAGTTCTGCGTGACGGCTATAGTCATATCGACATTGACTACAACATGCCACCAACCGCCGGGCACAAAGACAGTCTCGCCAGGCTTTTGTAAAATTTCAAGCTAGAGTAAAAAAGTTTTTCCCTCAAATTAATTTGAAAGATTTTAGAATCCTCCCATTTAGTATATTGATGTGATGTAATCTCGTTATTACTCAGCAGCAACAACGCCCATCATTACTGTATTGACTACGCCAAAGTGATAGAAATGATATCATGATGTCATAGGTTATAAAGAATGGGCGTATTGTAAAGTTCATCAATATTGCTAACCGGCTTAAACTGTAAGGGCCAAGTCGATAACTGTGTTTTTGGATAAATAATTGAGAACCAAGTAACAGCTTCGTCTCTTTGATTTCCACCTAACTTTCCAGATACTTTAAGTAATTCCTTTGGAGTTGTGGTTGGAAATAAAGCCCATCTAAGAATTTGACAAAATAACAAAGAATTTCATTAAATATCCTTCATGAGTGATACGTAACTATATCTATTTGATTTTGACCATTTGGTTGCGAAATAATATTGAAATTTTTTACCTCTTATGACCTGAAATTAGGCTATTCCAGGCACTTGTACCGAGTGGATCAATATGAATACCAGTACCGGAGCGTGCAGGGCCTAAAACAAACCATCTGCAACGTGGAATTTATAACTTCGTTGAATTACTTTTATCATTCTATATGCTAATAAGCGGATATAGATATGTTAAGGTTAGATAAAGTAAGGATATCCAACTACTGTACCTGTGTGGAGGCCGTCGCTTCTCTTCGCTATAATTAAATAAATCATCTTGAAAAAATTCCGGAATTTCGTAATTATTTAACAAACGTTTCTTTTTCGAATGCTAGTATTAGATGATAGCATAATTTTTATTTCCACGGTATTAAAAAGATTGACATGTTTCTGTACATCTATTTATTGACTGGATTTAGTACCTCTGCAAAAGAGCCATCAAATATATAGAAAGGGCTATCATCATCTTGATGTTTCATGTATTCTAATAAGTGTTTCAATTTAACTTTGACGGAATAGCCTTCATCGTCTTCTCCACATTTAAATCGTTGATTTTTATATTTTCGCTTTAATCTCTACATAAGAATAGTTCAAAGCTAATGAGTAAGATTTCAGTGTAAATACAGCTAACTAACTTTCAATCAATGCTTAAGTCAGGCGTTCAATTTGGAGATAAATCAGTAACAGTTATACAGGTCAGGATGGTTTTCATGATATAACAATATTTTCTGCTGGTTATAGTTGGTAATAATTAGTTTATGCTGCCGATCAGGAAGAATAAAACGTTGTGTTTTTGTAAGGCTTACAGTATCTAATAAGAACTAGCTAAATATACTGTACTTCAATAAGTAAGACCGTTCTACGCGTAATATCATGATAAGCGAGCAATTTTAGTGGGAACGTTTTTTAGGGATGAGACCGATTCTGTTATCATTATGAATTTGTTAGAGTAAATGAAACTGTATCAGTCAGAAATTTTTGATGCAAATATAAAATGATTTATAATAAGAATAAAAGGGGAAAAAAATGACTTGGGTTGTGCAATTTGGATTAGTGATCGTGTAGACTACACAGCACGTTAGGTGAGAGGATTGGGGCCGTTTTTCTAATATCTATTTATGATATACGGTTCTTTTTATCTTAACATCTTGATATGCTACTATGGCTGATACTTTTGATGCGTATAGGGTGTATTAATAATTATGGTTATTATAGAAATTGGTTTTAGTTATTCTGTAAGTAAATAGGTAAGGAGTTTGTGTGCAGAGCTTGGTGTTGCATGTACTATTTTCAACTCACCTCTATTGTCCACTTTTTCATAGCAGGCCATTTTTCCATAGCACCTGTTAATACTACTGGCTTTAGAGGTTTTTCGAATTGTCGGATGAATTCTTGATGGGTTATTGAGCGAACGTCAACTCGTTCAACATTATCACGAACAGAATTTAAACTTAAATCCATTGTTTTAGCATAATTGAACTTTTTCCATCCATAGCTACCTTTCAGTTCTAAATGGAAGTTATAAGAATAGACAATGATGATTACCGCATTTTTACGTTAATACGCGTCATGATAGATGAAGAAATATACAGACTAGAGTGATGTAAGAACAAGGATGGTACATTTGTGTGTCATAATATGAAGTGGAATAGGAAATAGAATATTAATCAATTAATACGCGTCATGATAGATGAAGAAATATACAGACTAGAGTGATGTAAGAACAAGGATGGTACATTTGTGTGTCATAATATGAAGTGGAATAGGAAATAGAATATTAATCAATTAATACGCGTCATGATAGATGAAGAAAATATACAGTCTACAGTGATGTAAGAACAAGGATGGTACATTTGTATGTCATAATATGAAGTATACGTGGAATAGGGTGCTAATCAATTTTCAATTATTTATACGTATTGTAATCCATTTCTTTTTGCCTTAAGGAGAGACGACTGGCAGTCCTGAGAGTTGTGTTGTACTGTATAGCCTGTCCAATAATAATTTGTAGCTATAGTGAAGTCAATTTACTTCATACGATTGCTTGAAATGTAAAGATTTACGATATGATTGCAACTCAATACTATTACGAATAGGCATATGTAATGTAGTATTGAAATCATCATAGAAGTAACGATGACCATCACTACAGTACGATAGTTATTTGTTTGAAGGAGAAGGTAGAAAAGTAGCGAATATTGCAGATGAGAGATCTATTTCGAAAGGTATTTATACGATATACAATGTAACTTTCGATTCTGATTTTGCTATTAAGAAAGAGCCTATTTTAACTAGCGATATTAAGTTTATTACGGAATTGAGATATCACGGTCCATAGCAAAGTGTTGGAAATTGTGAGCAGTGGTGGCCACTCAATGAAGTGAAATCGATTTACTTTCAATGATGTCAACTGTAGTTGATGATTGTTCACTTGGCTTCGGCCACTACCATGAATGAATTGAAAATACCTGGTGCAGTTATTTCATCATGAATGTATGCCAGCTGTACAACTCTGTTGAACTGAGTGCGTCTACCGTCATCAGCTAAATTGTGCTAAGCAGTGGGATGTATGATTGAATGTTTCAACCATTGGAAATGGAGATTATTATTTGGCTATTTTGCACAACTTGACGTGAGAAAGGGTAGGTGGCGGATTATCGTCGTCATTTTGCACCGGCATTGCAAACGATCACCACTACTGTCTACGTCGATCAGGGGATAGAGTCAAATTTATGGCTAGGAGGAAAAGATTGAGTTGTATTACTGTAGCTTATTTGTAGAGGTAAGAGCTGGAAGCGAAATTAGATGTCCAATGTCGACTAGAGATGCAATCCTTTGGGATGGCTGGTTGATGATTGGTGTAGTGTTGCAATGACTGCGGTCAATGATGGAGTATTGATGGCTAAACTGTATCTTGGATTGATATCAAGTGTGGCACATGATGATATCGGACAAGATGGGGGTTATTGTTGTTTGAATGGATTGCATTTGCAACGTTGAGCCTTGACTAAGAGAGTAGAATGAAATTGGAGGTGAAAATATGGATTTTGCAAATGCAGTATTTTATAATCCTGCTGATGGAAAAGGATAGCTGGCTGGACTCGTTGTCCGTGCTCGTATGTGGTGGTTTGCACTGGCTGTACGCGCCCTCTAGCGTTGAATTTGTTCATTTAATTCAATTTCAAGTCCTTTACTACGACGATTGTAGTAGTGTACTGTGTGGATAAGGAGAGAAGTGGTGAAGAAGCAGGTTAAGTATCATTTTTATGTATTACACTCGTCAAGTAGAGGATGAAGAAGTGGACGAAGCGATTGTACAACAGCATGTCCATGTCAATGATACTGTGCAAAAAGAGAGGAGTACTGCTGTGGCTGGCTGTAGAAAGGACTGAAACATTGGTGTGTTGATCAAATGCATACCAGGCCGAGCTTTTTTCTTGGCTTGACGTATTCTCTTTCTGGTTCGCTTATCCATCCTTTCAGGTCCAAATCAATGGCGTGAACTTGATATGTTGGACTAATGGAGCAAGAAAGAAATTGTGCAAGTAGTCAAGGCTATCTGCACCACTAACCAATGGCGGTCGCTGACGATTTCCCTCTCCTTTCCTATTGGCTTCGACGTTGGGGTCTATCGATATCGATTGAATTCATTGTTCAGTATGAGTTGTGGAGATTTAGTTTTTGTCCCAGTTGCTTACAGTACTATTCACTGAGTACTGTACTGTAGATGATATTGTACAGTACACAGTGTACAGTTTGTAGTACTGTAAAACGGCTGTACTGTACACTGTACGTCATGGCATGTGGAACATGGATACAGTCATACAGTACAGCACAGTACTGTACAGTATACTGTACTGTACAGTACAATATAGTGTAGTGCTGTAAAACGACTGTACTGTACTGTACTGTAACCAAACATTGACGCAGTGAACTACAGTTCACTAGAGCACAGTACAGTCTGTACACAACCCTTTACAGTATATAGTACTGTAAAAAGGCTGTACTGTACACTGTACAGTATGTACGTGATCGAATGTGGAACATTGATACTGTACAGTATACAGTACAGTACTGTATGATATAGTGATATGATATACTGTACACTGTACAGTATAGGATATACTGTAGTACTGTACAATCTGATTATTTTCGATGTCTCCTCTTTGTTCAAAAATAATTAAAGTTGTACTGTACAGTACAGTCTGTACACAGCTCTGTACAGTATGTAGTACTGTAAAACGACTGTACTGTACGCTGTATGCACTGTACTGTACGTGATCGAATGTGCAACAATGGATCTAGTACTAGACTAGTACTGTACTGTACAGTACAGTATAATCCATCATCTTCAGTACTAGCTCTCCAATCAGCTTTACTCTACAGTACTCTTTTCCATCGACTACTAGCACAGTACACTGTACTGTACAGTACAGTACGTGATCGAATGTGAAACATGGATAAGTCTGCAGTACAGTACAGTACAGTACTGTACAGTACAGTATACTGTAGTGTACGGTAAAACGACTGTACTGTACACTGTACTGTACTGTACTGTACAGTACAGTCTGTACAGTGTACAGTGTACAGTACACAGCCTTGCACAGTACAGTACTGTACGTACAGTACACATGATCGAATGTTCCACATTCCATTCAGTACAGTACTGTATAGTGTCCTGTAATACGAATGTGGAACATTGATACAGTACTGTGTACTTTTCGTGTACTTTTCAACACCAAGGCTACTGGAGTGATTTTGCGATCCAGGTTGCAGCGCGTTGACTAGTATTGTATGATCCATCATCATAGAGTACTAGTTCTCCAATCAGCTTTACTCTACTCTTTTCCATCGACTACTAAATACAGTACATACATGTACTGGTACTCTACTGGACTTGTTGGCAACCAGTGACTGTCGTAGTCCGCGATGTTCCCTACCTTTCTACAAGCTTGAAAACGTCTGTACATCTGTACAGACGTATCACCACTGTCCTCCACAGTCTACAGTGTACAGTGCACAGTACGACACACTGTCCATTCAATCTCAACACTCTGACTTGGACGACTCCCGTAATGGAAGGGAGACTCATTTCCAGTATAGATCATACATCATAAAAGTATTGAACCGAACTCAACCTTTCTCAGATCGCAATTTCCACTGCAATCCTCTGCTGCAGGAAATCATCCATTCCCATTTCAATTTGGAGACGTATAAACAGATTATTGCACATCCATTTCATTGCTGGCAATTTGATTTTTTTCCCCCCTGGAGCCATTGCTAGTGGCGAGTTCATTGACTGTCTCTTACGTACAGTCAGTGGACTGAAATTAACCCATTACTGACTGCCGTTGCTTGTCAACATTGGCCTTGAAGTAGTTGATCCTTTGTGCTGTATGGTCTGGTAGCAACAAACTATTTCATCATGGTGAATAATCCTATACCAAAGGGGCTACGCTCTGAAGCCAAAAAGGCCAGTCGGATCTTAATGGATTTTACCCAGTGCGATCCAAAATCCAAATATATAGACAAAATTATACCACCCGGTATTATTGTCAAGGCCAAAGGTTTAGCTATTTTAACTGTTTTCAAAGGTGGATTTCTTGTCACTGCCCGTGGCGGCTCTGGATTAGTCATTGCTCGAACTCCTGAAGGAAGTATGTACATGTTGACACACATTCATTCTACAGCCATCAACAATCAATTATGATACACTACCATAGGGCAGAACAGCATGACCATTACTGTAATTATCCTACTGATCATAGTGGCTTGCCAAACTATCACCGCTATTGATGGACGTTCAACAATAATATCATTCGATTATCATGATGACTGCTTTCATTGAGTTTTATTTTACCTTCATCAAAGCAGTTTTCCTCATCATCAACCACTACTCTACTCTTCTCTGTCTGTACGACAGTGAATGTGCGTATCCAACATGCCAGCATACACAGTATCATTCTATTAATAGACTAAAGATACTCTTTGAATAACATGGATCCATTCTAAAATGCAATGTTATAAAACGATCAACATCATTCAATCATATCCATAGACGCCGTGACGGCGGTTAGGCTATGAACTTTGGTGCTGATACGGTAATATGGACTTAACTACCAGCATAGAGCATGTACGAGTACACTTTGACAGTACTTAATGTATAGTAGAAATACCTAACGACAGAATAGATCAATTGAGTGAAATCATCACGCTACACGTAAATATACAATTCTCGCTGGTCTTATACGATCAATAACATCAGAGACAGTGATGATTGGGCTACGGGTATTCCCTGTTCACTTTGTTAAAGTATAATGTCGAGAATTGCTGGCAGATAGACATACACGTAGTGAAAGGTAGGTATCCTATCCATATCGCCACGATACGCTGTCATCATGATGATACGTTAGCATAAAAAGTACCAGTATATCAATTTTAAATACATTATATGAGGCGTCTTCCACATTCAGATGTTTTCCATCGTCTGTCAGTTATACAGTTTTAATTGATAACTTGAAATTATGATTATCTATTCAATATCAACTTCTCAATTTTGAGTTGAATTGAATAGTGAAACACAGGATAGACTACAGTATACGTGTTGATGCCTTGCGCTAATTCCAAACTATTCTATTTTCTTTATTGTGACAGCATGGTCGGCTCCATCAGCTCTTGGTTTAGCTGGTCTGGGAGGCGGTTTTGAAATAGGAGTCGAGGTGAGAATGGATCAACCAATGATAACCTAACTATTGCTATCAAAATGTTTCAAATTCGATCATATCAATCAATCGTGTTGGTCATCTTGTCTACACGCTGTCTACACGCGTAGATGATAAATGTTCAGTTTATATACTGTATTTACAATTGTGGAAGCGTTGTTGACTAACAAGTTAGATTAAGTGATAACACCTAGTAAGTAGTAGAATGATAGCTACAGTAGATTAAATACAGTAGACTTTTAAAGAATACATCGAAAGGTATTTTAAAGCAATCACTAGACTTGTCAGTTACAGCTTATCATCACAATTGCTAACCATTTTACTGTCGGGGTTATATTACTATGACTGGATTGAGTAATTGAAATCAAATGATACCTTGATCAATGCTAATAGCTCTGGCCATTACTTATTTCAGATGCAATTAACTAATCCTAGCTTTTCATTTTATTCTAGTTGACAGATTTTGTCATTGTCCTAAACTCACAAGCGGCTGTCGATGCTTTTAGTAGAAATGGTAACGTAACTCTTGGTGGTAATATCTCCGTTGCTGCTGGACCTGTCGGTAGAAATGTTGAAGGCGATGTAACCGTCAAATCAATTTCAGCTATATATACTTATAGCAAAACTCGTGGCTTATTTGCGGGAATATCTTTAGAAGGCTCAGCATTAATAGAACGAAAAGATACCAATCGTCGGTAAAAATAATTGGACATTGAAAAGCTTAATTTGATACAATTTTTAGTTGCCCATAACAGTATCGCTCCATCTCCAACAACTGAACGATATTGCGAACAGGGATTGAACGAATGATAAAACTCGTTATTTATTTTAGGTTTTATGGTGGTGAGATTAGTGCCAGGGAAATTTTAAGTGGCGAAATTCCTCAACCTGGTGAAGCTCAACGCTTGTATGATGCACTCGAAATTCATGCAGAGAATTATATCGCTTATAGAGATGCGAAACTTCAGCTAACTCCAGGAGGTATGCCACTTCTTCGTTGAATGATCCATATTACACTTCGCATAAGTAATACATCAATATTTTTTAAGAGCAGCTACATTTATTTTTAGATATTGTTAGATTAGAATCATCAATTACAGTACTTTAACTTCTGTTCACTTGCAATAACCATCCTATCATTTCCCAATAGCATCTATACCACCTACTGTGGAGAGTAGGAAAGATGCTGACAATGCTGGTTCTCAGCCGCCTGCTCGCAGTTCCAATTTTAGACTTCCTAAGATGCATAGCAGTTCAAAGCCGACAAAATCGAGCTCATCGTCGAGTAGTGGGTCAGCTAGTTCTAAGAAATCAAGCGGTTCCAAGAGCAGTGCTGTCTCAAGAAGCGCTTCAGCATATACACCCAGTACACGTACTAATGCCAGTTCTGCAGCAGCTCCACCTTTATGGATGCCATCTAGTCAATCGGCTAGCAATTACCCTATGGATCAAGATTGGAATAATGACTTAATTGTTACCACATTATATCCTTTTCAAGGCGAGAAACCGTGTGATCTATCTTTCGATGTTGGAGAAAGAATTACTGTGATTACCCGGACTGCTGATCAAGATGACTGGTGGGAGGGTAAATTGAACGGCAAAGTCGGTATATTCCCGGCTAACTATGTTAAATTTGATTAATTAATAAGAGTTTAGTGATGTACTGATACAATTCACTAAAGTAAAACGTAATGCAAAGATCAACTATTATTCGTACATATACTTCGCTAGAAAATCCACTCAGTATCAATCTTGATTACAAATCTATTTCTTTTCATGCGATATATGTATAAGTTGTAAATACCTCATGCAAATTCTAACCTATAAAACATATAGATATATATGTCGTGTATTTAAGATTTGCAACGATTACTTCTAAAATGTATGTCCACTTGGCTTGTAATGGATTTTCAAATACGTACAATACCGTAATGATCTTTAAATTATTCATTTCTAGATATTTTTATACTGGGGTTGTTATTAACAACACATATCATCAGAACTTAAATTAGTTACAGAGTTATTTTTAAGGATATCTTCGACGCGATGTGGTATTCGCAGTATGAAATAACTTCAACCAAGATCATAAATATTTCGAATCCACTTTTAACTAAAGGTTACCTTGTAATTGAAAGGACATTTATTGAATTAATATTGCTGATATTGATGTCCGTGAGCTAATAAAGACAAGGCTTGGCAATTTAATTGTTGTTTCTTTCTTTTTATTTACCCATATTATAACTTGCTTTAAATTGCAATATAATGCATTACTATATAACGTACAGTATTTGTATCATGGAAAGAAAAATTTAATTGTATAAATTATTCGATAGAAACTGATGAATACCCTTATACGTATTACGGTAGCACATTGTTGCATCTGCTACGTTTATTGCCATGAATTTAGTAATTTCTTTGCTCTTTGCAGACATTCTACAATATATTGACTTATTAACAGTTTAGTTAAAAAAAAAAACACTTTAAAATACGGAACAAAAACTTACAGAATACAAATAATAGTGACAAGCGATTTTTATACAAATAGTAATAAAGGTGCTAAACCTTGAAAAATGTACACGAGTATGTCATATACAACATCAACATGGAAAATTGCTAAGACCAACTGACACAGGGATATAATACTAAATTATATCGATAAGTCAAGCAACACTCTTTATTTGTTATTATAACACTAATACTAGATACTTGTAATTCGACAGCTAATCTTAAATGCTGCACATTGAGTGTCGCTTCAGGATTGATGTCAATTGATTCTTTAACGATTCGTTATCGCAGTTTATTTTCTATGTTGGAAGAATTACCGTTAATTAGAATAGACTGGTAAATTTTAATTCAAAAAATAGATACATTTACAGCGGTAAACATTTTTAATAACAATATCGCTGTGTTCCTACAGTACCTGTCCTTTTATATCAATTGAGGCTATTTTCCCATCTATTTTAACCGTGACGAGATTTCCTGATGTAGATCTTACAACATGATCTTCGCCATACATATCATGTAGAAATTTTATCAAGCTGGTTTTGAGAGAACATATAAAAAAATGTTTCTATATTATTATAACGGTTAATTTTGATTGAAAAATTCGATTCAATATTTTTTACCTGTCTTCCTGTTCGAACTTATTTCCGCTGTCTGCCAGGCTTTTAACAGCTACAACGTATTAAAGTAATTATTATATATATACAAGAACAAATTTTAAAATCTGCCAAGTATAGCTTTTCAATAATAGACTCACTTTCTAATGCTGCGGAACTAGAATCAATTTGTAAAATAACTGTGACAACAGCATCTGCATACATATCGTCCCCATTTGAAGCTGTCCACTAAGGGTATTTTGATAATAGTTTAATTAAAAAAGACTATGAATTCGCACAACTAATCAGTTAACCGATTTTATAGTTTTATCATAATTTCAATATAATTAGTTAATAAAAGAAGAATGCACAATACCTCAACGACTACAGCATTATCTTCTTCAGCTATTACAACTGAATCAAATACCTATCATAGAAAGGTAGTAGTATGATATTTAGTGTAAACGGAAAATGGACGTATAAGTTTCATAATCTAGTCTGTCAGTCACCTTTAAAGCACTTTTATTTTGGATCGCAAATTGTTTAACATTCGGCGTTAATTGAGTTAGAGCTGTATGTAGAACATTGAACGGTAAAGAGAACGGTAGAATTTGCCTTTGCATAACAGTACTTGTTTTCAAATTAGTATAAGCTGCAAATAGAGATGAATTGTAAACAGAATTAATAATAAATGTACTTCTACGGAATATTAAATAATAATTTTATTGCTATTGCATACCCGAAAGATCTGAAGGATCAACGATATGGTAGCTAAAACCGCGCTTTATTAAAACTCCGGATAACTGCTGTTCGTCTTGAAATTTTTCGACAGCCAGGCTCCCCATCACCTAACAATAAACAAATTCTCCTTTACTTTTATGATCATTATATCCTCTTTCAAGAAACAATAGCGTCACCTACTTTTGCCATTTTCTCACCACGAAAGTACAGTTGTACCTCTTCACAATTTCTAGGTGTATGAACTGTTATGCTTATTTCAGGATTTTCTTGATATTCTCTTACCAAAGCAGTTTTAAGCCTCATCATTTCGTTTTGTTCGCCATGAACAAGAATAATATGGGGTGGCATTAGCATGCGAATGAATTCGCTAGTTTGTTCATAATCTTTCAATGAAACGGAGTCGGTTAAAGGCCTAAGTTATCACCCGAAAATACCTCATAAGAGTCTGACTTACCAGTATGAGCAGAGAATGAAATATAATCAACCGATAATTTTCTGGCTAATTTTTGTCCAGACATGCTAAGAACTTCTTCTGGTTCTGACATCACCTCTTTCGCTAGTGTACCTTCGACACAATATCCTGCAATTACTACGCCATTTTTCGAATCTGTACACCATTTCTCGAAGAGTTCACGTGATAATCCACTCTATGAAGATTTAGTGTAAGCTAGAGTTTAAAGCACAGCGTTCCAATACCGGAAATAACCCAATAATGATTACAAACCTGCATCATACCAGGACTAGCCATAACTACACATGGTCCAATATCGTCGAAATGGTCGATTCCCTGATTAAAAAAAGCAAATTTCTATTACTTTCTGAGATAATGTCAATTTTAGTATTAAACGACCATAGATAGGCATTGTATCAAGATTTTATATTTAAAACTGACCTTTAGATTAGAAATGTGCTTAAAGATGAATGGATTACTAATAGCAATCTAGATTGTGAGATATTAGGATATTGTTAATTAATTATTTAAGAAAAATTTTTCCAAGATAGTAATAAATCGTCTTTACCTGATTACGAATTTTGTCGTTCATCGCACTGACGTAAGTTTGATATACTGAATGGATACGTTATACAAGTGTAATTATTGTTAGTTTTAGGTTTTTAGTTTTCGTTGACTGATTATCCTTAAACGCGATTAATAATTTTGACAATTTTATCCTACCTGCCATACATTTCTTAGCTAGTGATGAAGCATAATAAATAGGAATGTCGTGCAATTCTGTATGATTGCTCCAATATTCATCTGGGGCATTTTAAAAAATAGATCAAGGACACGATAAATATTGACACTAATAACATTCATAAAATTTAGATCGATTAATGTGGACTTGTACAACGTAATCTGTTTCAATGCGATATTATCATCGTTTACCCAAGATTAATAGTAATTCCTGGGCACGTCCTAAAGCGAATACAGGAATCAAACATCTTCCTCCACGATTGACGATATCATGGACGGTACCTTTCAAAGAATTTGATGATACATTAATCAACTAGAGTGGGTCTTGGAAACAAATAATAGTTATTGATGGATGGCGTTTATTAAATATACTTGTAAAACGTTTTTCGCGAATTTCTCGCTTCTCGTGAATATGAACTCCATAAGTAGATTCCTAACGAAGTAGTAAGAGTTTTAAGTAGCAATATGAGCACATATTGTAGTACTGTAGTCTTGAGATAATTGAATACTTTCAATTTTAATTGATTTAGTAACTTACTATAATAAGTACATCAGGTTTAACAGATGGAATTTCCGCAGCCATTAAATGTCTGTCTTCTTGGCGCGAAAAATCGCCAGTATATAATATCTGTATAGTAAAATTGATGGAGTGTGAAAAAAGTAACTTTACAGCTTGTGGGATAATTATACAATTTACTACCTTCACGCCGGCAATTTCAATCATAAACATAGCGGCACCTAGTACATGGCCAGCATTGTAACACCAAAATTTAATACCATTGACTTCTTTTTCCTATGAAATTATCATACAATTAGCTGCTCGTATAGCATTCAAGAAATAGAAGTCAATTATCCTATCGGGATAGCTTAGGTAGGTATGATACCTGATGGAAATGGATAGTTTCAATTTTTGTCATACTCTTTTCTAAATCTTTTTCAGTGTATAACATTTGATCCGTGGATATATTGCTAATAATTTAAAAATATTGTATGCTTATTGATATCGAATTGAATTCAAATTCATGATATTTACGTAGTAAATTGATATAAAATTTGATTCTTCATTACCTGACTTTAACATAATCCGCTAGCAACCATCTATGTAGGTAGAAGATAGTAAGAAAGGTTATCTATCTTACTTGAGCAACAATAGACCACTTTAATGTAATAGTTTAATTTCAACACTAATTATTTCTAGATATTTTGTCGTTCAATCCAGTCTGACCTGTAGATTGCTTTTGTGGCATGAGTCATAAATACCCGACCTTTGAAAGATGTCTATTGGTTTAAGAGTGATAAAGAGATGAAAGTAGTTACTGTGCATGATATTTTTATTCAGAGCGCTTTCTTTATGAAATATCATCATAAAGGGTATGCAATGATACAATCTCATGTTAAAAGCATGGCTGATGCATGATTATCGACTTACTCTCTCTAAAAACCAAGGTAAAGCTCCACAGTGATCTAAGTGAAAGCTAGACAGATCAAAGCCAATAAGCCTTCTGTACGTGTATATTTATTTTGACAATAGAATGTGTTACTTGCAATTTGATATACTGTACTTACTGGCTAATGAGTAGTAAGTCGATTTGATCTTCGGCTATGATATCGGTATATGGCAAAGCTTCAACACCATGTCTTCCTGGATGTATACCACAGTCGAGCTGTAAAATCAAGTTAGTCAACAATTAATTTATTACAAATTATCGTATCTGATCGATCGATTGGCATTACTGAATGAAACGGCTGCTGTACCCATAGACGTATTTAATCGTATACACATATCTATAATGTTAACAATATGTCATGTCCGTTTAATTAGAAGAAATCCGTTACCATAATGGTTTTATTTTTATATTGAATAATATGGCATGATCGACCAACTTCTTGGCCAGCACCTCTATAAAAAGAACAGCGTGGTTGAGATTAATCCAAGTAGTTCAACATGCTTACATCGGTTGATTGAAATCATATGCACTCTAATTACAAGATGGATTATACCATTGGTATACTTGCTAATATGAATTAATGTATTATATAGTTCTCTCGTACATTTTACTTATGATAATAATTATTGCAAAGACTACTAAAAAGCATCCAAATCGTTGGATAGCTTTTGAGTTAAAATACAGTAGTTGCAATACCGATTGTCAAAGTAGCTCGATTGAGATTTAAACCATTTTGGTCATGACTGCAGGAAGAGCTATCCTAACACTATTTATGACCTTTTGCTATCCAATTTTAGTATGAATAGCGTAACAAATTCATTTGGCTTACATACAATTGACAAGCTATAATACTTACAACGGCTTGATACTAAGTAAATCGCTATCTTCTCCGATAACGCTAACATCTGCAGAGCGTTTATTGCTGCCAGAGCCAGCCATGATTGCTGCTTGCCGATTGCTGTTCAATGACAGTGCGGTCCGGTCCGATCCGATCCGGTCCCTTTGCAAAGGATCCCCATTACAATATGATGATGTTACTGTAACAGTACCACAGTGACTATACTTTTTACCTCTAGCCGTATCAACCATCGAGTTCAGACTCAACTCGATCTACAGCATGATATCGACGTGTCCAACTGTCCATGGTGTCAACCCAACGCAGTACCCTGCGACTGCGCAGATATACAGTGTACAGTGTACAGTACTGTACAGTCTCACACTGTACTCAGGGGACTCGACGTTTGTAACTTAGTCGATGCAGGTGAGTGTTTTGTTAGCTTCACCTGCTGCAATGATGCTCCGAGCGTGGGTGTCAACCTTACGTTTTAAGTGTCAACTTCAACTTTGCTATACTGTACCATACTGACTCTGTAACTTCACTTTTCATGCTTCATCTGTACATGACGTCATTAGACACTTGATCCATCTTCATCCATATTCATTGACCCTTCAGTGAACGGAGTTTAGCAAATTTTACACTGAAATTTCAATTCATAGACGTAGAAAATTGCTTTAAAAATTGATTTTCAAGCCATGTTAAAGATGACCAATATGCCATTTGAACCTTCATGGTAAGCTAATCCCTCCAAAACAACAATAAACTGGACGAGTAGAGAGGCAAAGAATGAAATAATCAAAACAACAAATCTTCACTTTCAATATTAACGTGGCCATGGTATGATTTGGTATTGAAATCTTGCAGTGAAATGTCTCGAGTTATTCCAGCTAGGTAAGCAATGCTACAAACTCTCTCTATCAGAGGCCTACATGAACCTATAAGATGCAATGCAAATGGCTAAATCATAGAGAATAGCTCCTCCACTGTTGATAGTGTACAGTGTAGAATTTATTTTTCAATACTAATATTAGTAATAAAGGGATAAGATGAGAACAGTCAAAATCTTTGACATCCTATACAGTGTACTTACTGTACAACTACTGTTTCTGTGTCGGAGAATAGCTCCTGCACTGTTGATAGTATACAGTGTAGAATTCATTTTTCAATACATTAGCAATAAAGGAATAAGATGAGAACAGTCAAAGTCTTTGACATCCTATACAGTGTACTTACTGTACAACTACTGTTTCTATGTCGGAGAATAGCTCCTGCACTGTTGATAGTATACAGTGTAGAATTCATTTTTCAATACATTAGCAATAAAGGAATAAGATGAGAACAGTCAAAGTCTTTGACATCCTATACAGTGTACTTACTGTACAACTACTGTTTCTATGTCGGAGGATAATGGTGGGCATCACCCACGCAAACGATGTTATTCGTCATAAAATTTTAGCCCTCTCTATCCGACAATATCAGCTATGGATTATTCATCGCTAAACTGAAAATCGAGGGGAATGATAAATCATTTCTATTAATTCTATTGATAGAGAAAGATAGGCAGGCCAATGCAAATTAAAAATTACTTAATGACCTGAAAGAAAGTAAAATTCCGTCATCATTGTTGATTTATTGTCGATACATGAAAGAAAAGTAATCACAGAAAGTTACTGAGCGTATCATAAGATGTAAATACTGTACAGTAGATATGATAGCAATTTGATCCATGTTAATATCAGATTTTGTCTTCGGTATAGCTATATTAGAAGATTTTTGATTGCTGAAATTTTTATCCTTCGGAGTTGTTTACAATCGTAGAAGAACTCAAGCTACAGCTAACCATAATACTCCTATACTGTATAGTTATAAAGAACAAGAGCGTGGATACGGCAGCTATGAAATGACCATGACTTTGGAACGCTGATTCTATTGTACTGCATCATGGACTACTAAATGTTCCTCAGTGGGGAATATTTAGTAGTCCATGACTGCATACATTGATCTGATATAATTAGGGCAATAATTCTATCTACTAGTTTTATTATGCTCTTGATTAAAGATCTGGATTATTCAGTTCTGCTGCACATACTAGTACGTAATCACTGGGTTCATCCAGCACTTCAATTACTACCACTACTCTACAGTCTATCGCAGGAGAAATTAGTAGATTTCTACCAGTTAACACATTTCTTACAAATACATGATGTTTAATCCCAAAAGAGCTTTACGAAAATACATTTATATAGCATGAAACCTAGAACTCTTGGCTAGTGGAAAAGCTAAATTATTGATATTAAATATTGATGCCTACTATCGTATCATCAACGTGGCAAGGGAAATGTTACAGTAGTGGCAATTGATGTTACTGGCAATGGATATTCTGTAAAACAAATACTGTACATACATCATGATGTATGGAGTAGAATTGCCCATTGGCATTGTGTGACATACAGTACGAGTGTATCTCAAATGAGGAAGTACTATAATTTTATTTAGAATTCTTAAATTTAGATTGAAAAAAAGAGGGTAAGCTATGGATATTTATGATACCCATATGCCAACCGGTAGTCAATAAGAATGTACAACGGCTATGGAAGATCCATGTAATGAAATACTGGACAATACGCGTAGAACGTATACTGGACGCCTATGTTCAAGACCCTGTTTATGTTATTGATATAGATAAAGATTTTAGATCTATATGATGTGTACGTATATACAGCACTCAAAATGATGAAAGATTATATTTTATAGCTAGAAAAATCGGATTTTAGCCTTAAATCGAGATTACTACAGATAAATTAGCTTAATGACGGCTTGAAACTCTTCTAAATGATATTATTGGTATGATATGCCTGTCTCAAATAATAGTGAACTAATATCCCTACACACTATAATCAGGACGTCAAACCATGATCTGCTGTCGTAGAGGAATTTCTGAAATAGGAGGAAAAGTGCATGGAAATTTATTACAGCTGTTTGCATTTCTTTTTGCGGTAGCACTTTAAACATTGAAAAAAATCAATGTGGATGAGTTATATTCTAAGATGTTGTTTAAGATAGATCTTATCTGTCATATAATTTCATATGTCTTGTTTATAAACTTTTCAAGTCGAGAATTGTAGTTTTCGTTAGTATCGTAGCACTTAAAAATTACGTTTTTGTTACTGCCAAACTGCAGCGGTTATGATAATAAAAAAATACAATTATATAATTATAGGTATATTCGCGTAGCAATACTAGCAGTTATCCTGATAGGAATGCTAGTTTTCTACATTAACGATATTCCATGGTTTAAAGATGCCGAGACCTTGCTATTATCAGGTAAGACACTAGATGCTGTACGTCATTATCTAACGTCTTGATTTACGTAAAATTTTGAAAGAATAAATTGATAACTTTTCACTTTGCTTAAATGCTAATAATTCTTTTCAATTTTTCAATCTTAAATTAGAATCAACATGTTTAGATGATAGTGTTAACAAGTTTATAGCGAAGCTTAAGTTTGAAAACTATATAATCTATAATCCGAAATCAGCCAGCCATCAATATTTTCCTTATGCAGGTACTGTAGCACACCAGTCTGGTGATTTTCACTTAGCCCGCTACTTTTCGTCTTAGCAATAGTTCTATAAAGCAAATGCTGGTGACTGTTGTCATATTGAATAACTTACTTCCAGGGAATGGAAAACTTAGCGTCTACTATAAAAAGAAACAATTCCATACGGCAATCACTATCGATCATGATCACTTGGCTATTGATTTACCTTATAGTCCTATTATCCATTTCAATGTATCTGTTGATAACATTTCTTTAAAATCGGAAGGTACCTAAATAAATTTGCAATTCTTGTAGTATGCAATTTAAGATTCAGTGTTAGATTTGGTTAGAGCTATCTTAACTATTTTATTTACTAGCTGCTACACCTATTAATTCTTTTGAGTACGTTTCTAGAAATATGCATCATAAATCTAGAGGAGGGAAAACTATACCGATTTTCTTCTTACGAAACGGTAACAATACAAATTTGCCCGTAACAATATTATTATCACAATCAATTAGTAGATATTATAGCTACGAATATGTGAGAATGAATAAAATGACATTGTTGAAGCACCTTGAATATCCACTAATGTACGCGTATACGTATACAAATTGGACTTTATAAATTCTGTCTTTATACTGCTGAATAGGGTGCTGGGTGTGTACTGATTCAACAATCTATCGTCGTACATCGTACAAATCAAGTGATTATTCAACATTACCATATATCTAACTCGCTACCACAACCTGCAGTTATGACGCTTTCAAGAATCTACAAAAATAAGCGAAAATTAAAACGCCATTCTGTTGAGTAAGTGCTTCCTAAAATGTATGATTGTAAGGCTAACGTTTTGAATAATTATTTGTCAAAATTTCGTATTCGAGTCTAATAATTTATGTAAATATACTATAGATGGTGTTGATAGAATCACAAAAATTAAGTTAACGTCGGGTTGATTTTGTAGTGCCAGTTTGATAGTGCCGAATATTAATCAAAAAGCGTCAGATAAAGATCAGTTAATATTTACTGGAGCTTTTCAGCTTTATCAGAGTAACGTCTACGCTGGTGTTTGTGGTGTTGCAGAACTGCCTTTACCAGCGACGCTTCATATTCTTAGTCAGAGGTAATACTACTGTATAATTTGTAATGTAAATATATAGATATTAGGAGGATGTAGCCTTTGCGCGCAATACCAGAATACTAGAAATTAAAAAAAGCTGTGAATTGCTGTACTGCTGTACTATTTTACTAGCTTTGAATCTGGTGATACCATCACGGCTTTTCATATCTTGAAAGGAAACAGATCGCACACTGCTCAAACATTATCTCAACAGGTTAGTTAAAATAAATAAACTATTGTTTATTTTCGTCTTCTAATATTACAGTAGATCAATCAAATATTAAATTTCTATTTTATGATACAGCAATTGTACCAAGCAATAAAAGATACATCCCGATTAAGTAAAGATCATTCTGCTGCTTGGCGTCAGGTGAACGATTACTGCCCTGTTTGTAGTTAGATATCAATTTGTGGCTTTTCTTTTCTACTTTATTTATTTATTTTAATTCATAATCAAAATACGATACTATTTTAATTACACCACTGTATTAATTCTATCTGACTGTTAATTTAGATATGGCATCCAAGATTAGCGGTGACTTCATTTAATGGCATCGGAAATCATCGTAATAAAATGGCAAAAAAAACTATTAGATACTATTTACTGTCGATGTACTCTCTTGATGGCAACAATAACAACAATACATTCCATCGCCGAGCATTTGTCTCTCAATTAGATTTGGCTTGGAAAAACTCACTAAATTATACCTGTTACGATGCTCCGATGACCATGTTAGTATGATATCATATTAAAGAAACCGATTATGATTTAGCGACAATCTAAGGATTTGCAAAAGTTTGTAGATCTATGCTCTAGTTATAATCTGAATTTAGCCCCTATTTTATTAACATTTGTTACTGTTTAGGTATAATGAGAAGTTATGGCCGTATTCGTTGACGAATATGCCGCGATTAAAAAAATTATTTAAGGCGTGGCGGTATGCACTGCGGAAGGGTGGTTGTGATCAATTTTTTAATCGAGGTATTTGTTTATATCTAGAGTAAAATGAAGTGTTACTACCTCCTTTTGTTGTTGATATTCTTGGGAAACAATTCATTGATGGCAATAATTCATTAGCATTCTTTACTTTATACAGCTTCTAGCTGAAAGTTGATCAACCATTAAAATGTATCATAATTAATTATAATTAATTAGGCCTACCAAGTTTTAATTTGGGTATGTTATTAAGCCTCATTGGTTTGAAGTTCGCTTCAAATCAGCTACAATTACCAATGAAATCTATCATCAAGTTAAAAGATGATGTTTACCTTGAAAATTTGTACTACAATGGAAGTTACGTTGATGTTAATGTCGTAAAAGGAAAATTTATTGAAGTTTCCTCTTTCTTGAGTGAAAGAAAACATCCATTATTTGCATGTGATGCTTCATGTTCGTCAATTGATTTGATAGGGTAAGCTACTGAAGCTTAGCTTTCGTAAGGTGTTGATACAGTATCTAATTTATTAGCTGGTTCTTAAGTTATATAGGCTTTGTTACAAAATTTATAGGTCCAGTAAGTTTCTCTATCCACAACATCTGCTAAAGAATGCTATGTACTTGTCAAATCACCAATCCATTCTAATGAAGTTACATACCCAGCTTAATAATTCTATAGGATCTAGAAAGGCAGCATCAGGTAGATTAAATTTTTTCCTTGATTAAATTTTAGGGTAGACCTACTTGGTACTAATCTAATCCGTCACCTAATCCGTCACTTTTTTCCAGTTAATATCCGGAAAATTCATGACGATGGTCTGTTCAGACTACCTTTGAGATATTGGGTCCTTATTGGGCTTATAGTCTCTCTGTTACATGCCTACGTATTTCGAACGTTATATATAGCGTATTACCATTTTTAGAAATTAATTATTAGAAATATTTATACGTACGTATGGCGTGTAATGACTACGGAGATGATTAGATTTTATGGCCTACTGGCTTATCTTCGTTTTATCGTAACACTCATTAAGATGCACCAGATTCTCATAATCAATATTTGTTATATATCAAGCCGTTATTTTACTTGAGTTTCTTAAGTTGTAATCAAATTCATTTCATGCGATTTATATGTGCATATGTCTCAGCCTTTATGAGTCGAGAAAGATATACCGAGGTAAAAAAGTAATGTTGACAAATTGGTATACCCGACGATCATCATTTGTACTTAATTATTCCTTGTACATTATGAATTATCATCTTGATGCTTTTTAGCCGTTAGGTTTTAGGATTGTGCACAATCATCAATCCAAAATATACATTCTAATTTGCTCGCGAAGATTTCTTACTGGAGTTCAATGTATATTTGACGAAATACAATTGGGAATAACTCTGAATAGTTATTTTTGCAGTACACAATCAATAGGATTGCATAATTTTTATTGTTAGTAGTAGCTTAAGTTTTTATGAAAATTGCAATCCATGACTTATGTATTGCGTCGGAATTCACTCCTCGATAAATCGTAAAATTACCGGCACATGCCTTTTTCTGAAGGAGGTCGTCTACAGCAGTTTTACTCCATGCATTATATCGAGGTCTATAGGGATTTTTAACAGATAAATCGTAAAGATCTCTGAACTATTAACTTAAAAAAAAATTTTTCGATATCCATTCTGACTAATATATGAAGAAATTTAATATTGCTAAGATATTTTAGTAATCAACAAGTTTAGGGATAAGCGTATAAAAATATTACAAAACATAAATGATGGACTATTGAATTATTGCTGTACCATTAGTCATTGTCATTGATGTACGTGATTATAAGATTATCTCGCATACGTAGTAAAAATAAATTGACAAGTATGAACTACACATATATCGCTCAGATTGGTATAGAATAGATAAATGAATAAGAAATTGAGATTTCGCTCTCGTACAAATAATAAAATTGCACAATAAATTTATGTATACTTATGCAGCATCTATCACATTTTGCTGGCTATCAAAATAATTTTTTGGTTACATAAGATTTAGACTAGTATACTTCACAATTTGCAGCTATTTTCAAGTGCGTATTTTATATTTTATTATAGATTGATGTATGGTAAATATAATTGATTCGTTAATATTTAACGTTGGTTTTAACCGAAATTTATTAAAAATTTAAATTTTTGATCTCAACATAGATGTAACAGGGTAGTCCCTGGATGTAATTGTAAACGCAGATCGATTACATAGTATTTAAGCAAAATATTTTGCTCAGTTTTAATACATGGCTCAGACATTTTATTTTGGATAAATTGCTATGACTTCTAGTCGAAGTACAACTAGCGTAAACGTAATTACTACTTTATCTCTTGTACTCGCGATTATAGCAAAAAATTGGTTACAAATACAGTACAATGATAGGAGATCTAATACTAGCACCTAGCGTTTTTACTTAATGAGAAGCTTTACTATTACTATTATACAAACTGATCTTGCACACTCGCATCTAGCTGTACGTCTTAACCGATGCTGACTTATACTTTATTGGAAGGTTACTTTTATGAGTAATGATTACGATCAAAATTTGGGGATTATTTTTGGTATAACATATGGAGTCAACATTAACAATAGCTTAGTATAGCAATATCATACAATATCATAAAAGATACATAGATAATATCATTCATTGTCGAATGGAATTAAGATTACAAGAGCTAGTTTAATAAAAAAATAAACTAGAATTTGGCACTTTGATTCTAATTTACAGTTGATTTGAATATAATAGCATGATATGCATAATTAATAGTGGTTCCGGAGTAATAGTATAAGAAATATCGATGTGCATTTCGAAGTCACTTGTCATGATTTCTATTTTTCTATCAAGTACGATTAAAATTGAAATATGCTATTACCAAAAGTCTGCTTATATTTAATAGCGTAATATGGTATTTCAAAGTTTCATATTCCAGATACGCTTAAACTTTATTAGAATTACAACTGTTTAGTGATATGATTCCTTACACAACTTCTAGATTTAAAAATATCACTTTATCATGGTACCGCAGGCGAGCTGTTGATTGTATGGTTGGCTTTCATATACTCGTATGTGTTATACACACCATTCTTTTTTAATTTTATGATTCTTCATCGCTTAGGTATTGATCTACAGGACGTTTTGCGGTGCGTGAGTCGACTCTTTCGATGCGCCCTTTCTCTAATTCCATAAGTTCAACCTTTAGTTTAGCTATGTGTTTTACACGCTTATTGGTAATAGCATTCATAGGAAACGGATTGATTTCGAAGAAGGCAGCCTAAACCAAGATTTGCAATGACAAAAATTAGTACACAGAACCATAAAATATAAGTGCTTATACTGTAGTTTAAAGTTAATGTTCGAAATAAAACATACATGCATCAGCTTATTCACATCCCATAATTTACTGGACATCTCACTTGATGCAGTTAAAATTTCTGTTGAACTGTCTAAATGTAAGAAATGTTCTTCAAATATTTTGAAAATCGCGACAGCGAATCGAAATAAGATCTGGCAAGAAGTAAATAAAAAATAACCCACAATTAGAGCAAAACAATAAAATTATCAGTAAATGCCAGGTCTTGACTATTTTAGATAACAGCTAGAGTGTTTTACCTTGTCGCCTTCATAGAGGAAACAATCCCATATTCGAAATACGGTCTATAATATTAAGCGTAAGTGTATAAACGTTTAATAGTCGCCGTGACCAAATATAAATACTGGCTGAGTATGCTACAAGTATTTTAGTTGCATTACTATATACAAACTGCCTACAAAAGTCATAACTTTTACAATTAAAAAAGAGTTGTAGAAGCTTTACCTGTATCGGGATATTGTCGATATACACCGTTAGAAACCACTGAAGCGTGATATAGGTAAGTTCAATCCTAAGAAAATGAAGCCGATCATTTTATAATATGCATTGTTCATGTTTATACATGAAAGTTGTCGATAATAACTGATGATTAAAGATAATCGACGAACTGTTCCAACAAATTAAACAAACCCATGTTGATTAAAGTGAGCAGCAAGTCTTGGTAACTTTTCAGTTAGTAGTTCTTGCAGAACTCGCTAAGGAACGCATAAAATTTTTGTCAGGCGTAAGTCATTTAAGTTACCGATAACTAGTTATTAAAAGCCAATAGAGAAACAAAAATCTATTAGGATAAGATTAGCTCTAACCTGATCAGCTTGTGCAGCTAGCATAGAATTTGCGTAGTACTCCGTAGGCATGATAAAATCGATAATTGCTATCAGACACCTATTGCATTATGCCACATAATAATTCGTATGTTAATTAGTCTTTAGAGAGATAAAAGAAAATTATTTACAAACCAGAATGCTTCTTCTTCTGAAAGATACAGTAGGGCTACAGCCGCTAGTCGATTCATACCCTAGATGTTATTTATGATTTACTGATTAATTGTCAATAGGTCGATACAAATTCGGCAACGTTACTTAATAACAAAGATGTTAAAACCTGGCAGTAACCAATATCAGGATTGTGTCTACTATAAGCGCAGAGTATTCGGCGTAACTTGATTATCTATTTGAGGAGAGCAAAATTTTATCAGGTAAGACATTACATAGCATTAATTTCTATATCTTGATAAGACTACTTGGGTTATACTAATATTCTGAAGCGCTTATAGGCATAAAGACAAGTAGCCTTTTTAAGTATGTAATCAAAATTATATCGCGACTTGCTATACAGTAAGCAAATCTCAAATATAATCATGAAAAAACTCTAGATTAAATTTATTTATCGTTCATAGTAGAGTATTCAAATGCAGAATTCACGTACTCCTTCTGCGCTGCGGCTATCGTAGAATTTATTGTTCGGTAGGGTCCGAAGTAGATCCATTTCAATTTGATTAATAGCTAGAGAATAAGAGTTGGTCTAGACGGAAAAATGAAACATACTTTTACGACAGTTTAGCCATGGATAATAATGGATTGAAATACATGTGGTCATACTAATATATATATGACAGTAATTTTGGATGCTGTGGAAGATTAGATAATTCTGGAATGTACACGATAAGTGTATCTTTTGATATGTATATTAGTCAATGCACTGATAAATGTGCACCTTCTAGATTTGGTACACGCGTAGGTTTATTAATGACTAACTAAATGATGGCAGTAAGTCTTTAAAATTATACGTAGAGTTATAAAATGACAGATATCATTTATAAGCGTAGCCATAAATAAATTCTTGATACTAAGGGTAAATTAAAATTCTAAATCTGGAAGCTGCCAGATTTGTTCGATGTAATTGACAATTATAATGACTGCTATTAGATATAGCATATATGGAAACGCAGTATTGCGGTGATAAAGTCCTGTCAGTCGGAATCTCTATCCTATTTTATGCATGTATGTAATATGCTACAAGTACTGATTCCGTAAGTAACATAAAAGGTTTTTGCAGTTAATATGTGTTGATACAAAACAAAGTAAGTTCTACTATATATGATTTCACTTTCATTAATGGCATACTTACATCAGCATTTACCAAACGCCAGTAGTAATCTGTTACCTATAACAGAAGTACGTACAATATTAGGTGATTAAATGCTTTCAATAGAGTCCCAAAAGTAGGAAACAAAGACATTTAAAAATATCTCGTTGAAAATTACTAGAGTCAAGACATATTTATTTCTACATACCATTGATTTTCGAAATTTTGCAACCCTACGATGAACGCAACTACAAGTATGTAAACATAATTAATTTTCAGTTAAAAAACTCTTTCATAATTGAATACGTTCAATTGATGTATACCTTGGCTATACATGCTTAAAGCCGATACAACTTACCTTGACCAAACTTTACTGCGAAATTCATGAGGAACACCAGCTCGAATGAGAGATTTAATTTCTGGCTGTATGATCAAGATATCATAGGAATTTAATTCAGCTCAAAATTAATTCGTTCCATGTTAACAACGATAATCAACCTAATATTCGTACATTTTAATAACAATGATGCTGTTGTTGTCTTTAACTAGGTTACTTACCGTTAATGGTAAAGATTTGCCACCTAGTGATACCATTACTGTTTCCCATTTTTTCGCTATTGCAACATCAACACCACTAACTTCATTCTGTTTAAATTAAGAACAGTACTCAAACATTTTTATCTCAAAGGTAATCCTTATCCTAATTAGCTACTATATGATTAGTTATACTAGATCAAAGACCTCCATTGTCTGCTGATAATAACTTAATTGTGAGGTATATTTTTCTAAGGCGTTATCATCATCAACATTCTTAAGAAATCCAAACATATCATATTGCCTACAGTTTAGGAAAAAGGATTTTAGGCATAAATCAAAAAATTATTGGTATTTAGTGTTTCCTGTTATTCTTATGTCTGTGGAGTTATTTACAACAATGCATATGGAGTAGCTATCTTACTTTTCAAGGCTATTGTTACTAGGACTGTCAGATTCCGCAGCTTCCTTGATTAATTGATCTACTAGCTGCTTAGACTCTAGTTTTCCAAAGAAAAATCATTGCATCATTAAATTCATCAGCATAATGCTTTCGTATTCAAAATCAAATTAATAAAATTTACCTTCATTAGAAACGCTCAGATTTTTAAGAAACATCATATATTTTCTTTGAATTTGACAATGTCTTGCTGTAAGTGCGGCTAGCTTACTGTTTAGCAAAGCCAAATAGCAATGTTGGTTGAAATGTTCTTATTGAAAAAATTGTAAATTTATAACGTCTGTGATTAGGTTAACATACCTCTCTAATTGTTTAGTTCGTTTTTCGCGAGCAATTTGAATTTCATTTAGTCCAATTATTTCGCTATTTAAAAACTTATTTTGAATTTCAAACGCAGCGCACTTTTCCTAGGTATGGTTAATACGTACGGTAAAGCATAGCTATAGAGAATTAAAGCATTGGTATTATATAGCTATTTATTACCCTCCATAGGAAATAGTTGTTTTCAACGATAGGTTGTGGGTGTGCTCCATCGCTAAGGTAAAACAAAAAATTATTATTGAATCAATTTTACTGTTACAGAACCGATAATCCTGTGTGTATCTTACCCCGTTAGTACTAGCGGTGCATTCTCATATTGATGCAGCTATTGCGAATGAAGAAATTCAAGCTTAAATCAAAAGTTAAAATAATAATTTTTAATAATTATTGTCAATAGAATTTACCTTTTCCGTTAGTGATACTACAACTTGGTCTTTAGCTTCCAGAACTTCTTTAACTAAACTGATTTCATCATTTAAACTTTTCATCTCTGCCTCGGTAACTCTATTTACAAAATGTTTTCTAATTTTAATCGACTAAAGACGACTTTAATAAAGAGTACATCAAATTAATTGCAATATTAATAATGCCTATTGAATATGACTTAAACCTTAATTTAAATTCTGAATCTTCTTTTTCTTCGCGTGCTTTCTTGACATTTAACTGAAGTTCATTTATGCGCTGTTGATTTTCAAAAAGTCGCAACAGTTGCTTTTCATCTGAGTTACCCGACACAAACTGTTCACTATAGACAATACAGCAAAATATAATTGCAAAATAGTAATATAATTGCCATACTTGAATGCATAAATAAATCTCTAGCATGCTGTGCAATGCACCATCTACAGATCACAACATTTCACCAACTTACTAGCACTTTATACGCATCTTTAGGGCACTAGAAATAGTACAATTAAAGTTAGACTTTCAGCAGATAAGAATATCAGTCATAGGATTAAGTGAATTTAATTTTGCATCTGTAGTAATAACATATTACGAGGTGTATAGAGTCAAAAGCTTAGATCAACAATACTGACTCGATTTCTTGAACCAATGTTTGAATAATGTCATTTCTTTGTTGGATTTCGCTGTTAAGAAGTAGAATGAAGTAGCAGTTACTAATAGGTCAATATTGTGTCGGTTATAAGGTACATGAGAGTATATTTGCTTGATCGATATTAGTTATGTTGAAAGTAATTAAAATAAAGCTTACTTTTCATTAGAATCTATTTCTTCCTTCGTCGAATGTGTGGGGGAAGTGGCCTATTAAGGTAGTATTAAGGCATGTAATGGATTTTATTACAAGTGTGTGTCAGGTACCAATTTAATTATGATTTACAAATATTAATAAATTACATATATACGGAATCAATGTATTGGTATATCATAAATATTTTATTGAATAAATAAAGAAGTAATATTTTTACTACTTACCTGACGTAATTGATTATTTAAAGACTTAGTAGGATCTTCTTGAGGTTGATTATTCGCCGCGTGTTTGGACTGTGATCGTCTACGATGAGGGCTATCAGTTCAAATGTGAAATTTTACTTCGGTCAATTTTGGCTGATTGAAATAAAATTTATTAAAGTATGAATACTAGCGATTAACTTACTGTCTGAAGTAATTTGTAAATCCTTGTCTATATAAAACAAAACCATAAATAACATCCGACTAATTTAGTACAAGCGGAAATAAACAGATCGCTTATCTACTATATGCATAAATATATTATGATCTATATTTTTAACACATATTTTCTTGTTATGGACATTGTATTACTTTGATGACTTCTCTTCAGTGGCTACTTCAGAGCAATCCTTTCCGGGAAATTCTTCAGGCGAGGATTTTCTGTGGTTTGATGGAGATTTTTCAGTAATCAAAGGGCTTGCATTTGGTGATATACCAGGTGATGAGAAACGATCACCAATTGATTGTTTACGTCGTATCAAATTACCATCTCCACGGCTAAAATGAAACCGATAAAAATTATGGTATGCAAAGAGATTAATAAAATATACTGTAATTTAATACCGATATGGTTGCTTATTAATATTGAGACACTATACCCATGTGATAAATGATTCCTGATTTCTGTCGTAATATTTGCTATAGACCAGTTTGATATGCCAGAAGTTGATACTTTGTCAGCGGTTTGTTCCCCGACGCATTCTGGTGGCCGTATATGTGGAAGTATATCAGATGCAGCTAGATAATTAGCAGATGTTAGATTTTAGTTAACGGATGATTAATAAAGTTGTTTTGCACAAACAAGTGAGACAAGCTTGATTTTACCTGATTGGTTTGTAGCAGATTGGTCTTCACTTGATAGTGGTTCTTCTCCTAGAAGACCAGTAGCCGGTTTCTAAATAAATCAGAAACATAACAACAATGTAAGCAAATAATATTTGCGATTGCGGATAGAACTTGCTGAGTTACCGTTAGAGATAAGTCAGTCATATTCGCTAATTTTGCGTTGTACTCATGCCGCTTGGTTTGTAATTGTTGTAGCCAAAACATCATTGCTTCCTGGCTAGGTGCTTCTAAAACGTATATTCGACCGTCCGATCTGTGCATATTTCGTAAAATATTAGATAGAGAATATATCGTTGAGTTAGTAAATATATATAAGAATAAAAATAATATAAATAAATAAATAGAATAAATTAGTGAGATGCCGTACCGTATCTGGAATTGCCCTTTCTTTTCGGTATCAACATCAAAAGTTAATGATGCGTTAGCTAAACTGATCGATCTATAAATGTAATGAAAGAATTAAGAAGCAATAAATGGCAATGATTGTAATATTGGACCTATAAGACATAGTACAGAATAAATTCTGACAAGATTTTTCTATAGTTCGCAATTCGCATTACTATTTAAAAACTATGCCACGCTGTTGGAGTGTAAATGGTAATTACTAAGTTATATCAATAATTAATCGTGCAATGTATTGATTTGCCAGCTTTGTAAAGTCATTGCGTAACAAAAATTAAAATGGTACTGTTCAATAATCCAAGAAGGAAAAGTGTTAGTGTGATCCGATAAAATAGAATAGAATTGAGATCTAGTTTATTTTCTACTTTTTAAATTATTTTCACTCACAAGTGTATATTTATGCAATATAATGTACGAGAACGCTATTGATAATTTAAAAGTGCGATAAGCTGCAGTGTGATAACAGGTACTTTTAACTATATATAGTACAGCGTGAGAGACTTCGATATACTTTAGAGCTTGGCATTAAAACCATATCAAAAGTAGTTGAAAATCGACTAGGTATGTCTACTTGACTAGCTATAAACTTCCGATGAACACATTTTAGATACATCGATACTCTTCTAAATGTTACAATGAACCAAGCATGTTGAATAAAAGTTACCCTAGAGCCAGCATGTCGTTAGGACTTCGATAGTAGTATAGACAACAACTCCTGGAATCGTAGATAAACCTTCGTATACAATAACAAAAAGAAATAACGTTTACGACAATAGCTTTCTTTCAAGGCGCATAATGAATTTAGTAGTACAGTACAATCAATGCTTGAAATGTGCATATTGATATTTATCCTCAAAGGTTAAACATTGTCTGTAATTTTAACGATGCATTTTTATTCTGCGGCAGTGATGAAATTGTAATGGGAATGTTTAATGGCAAGTCTAGCGATTAACTTTTATATGGGTATGCTATTGCAATATAACGAGTGCTGCGTTACATGTGTGTAATTTGACTGATTATCTCACTAATATCAATAAACAAAGAAAATTTGCAAAGTTAATATATATTCAGGGTATATCTTGTCCATTGCCATCTTGGTAGGGATTTACTGATATAAATATTACTATAATATTTTTTGTCTGTTACACTCGAATATCAAATTTTTATAAATTGTAATGCCTACCAGTCATGCAGATATGTAATACATTATTTATTCATGGTATCCCTTTGTTTTTCCTATAAGGTTTAAGGAGCAATATTAGCTCTATACTGAAAAGGGTTAGTTTTTAATTTTAAGATTTTTACAATATCATTCTAAATTAATATATTATTGATACTGTACTGTATATACAATAAAAGGATGATAAAAATGAGGGAATAACTGTATCAATATCAGTATGTGATTGAAGTTTAACCACAATTGAGATGCTGAACATAAAATTGATTCGTCAAGAAGTTAAGCAGGATGCCTAGTATTTCAATTTAATATATTTTGTCCTCAATATCGATTTAATCGTAGTTTAACTACGACTGAAATGCTGGATACAAAATTGATACATCGAAAAGCATAGCAGAAAGTATTGCAATTAAAGTTAAATAATTTTTTGTTCGTTGAGATTGGCTGCAATACAATCATTGCTAGGTAAATTTTATTCTTTCCATGGTTATCTCCATTCAATAAATGCGTGTATTGTTCATTGCTATGATGGATTGAATTGATTATTGAAATAAGAGAGAATTTGCTAAGTGGAGTTTGACATTTTAATTGCTATTATAGATATCTAGATATTCCAAGTAGAGCCATGAATTTAAATTGGCAGTATTGGGATTTTTGAACGTTTGAAGGATGCTAAAGACAGGGGATGTATTTCAAATTTTACTTATCTCACACCAATGTTTACATGCGTGTATCAATATATTCATATTATAATTAGAGTATCCTATTTTCAAAATAGTTCATAAATGGCAAAGTAATAAGAGTGATAACTAGTGTTTGATATACACGTATAAGTACGAGTATATATAGACATTCTTAAACATGTGTAGATGCGTATATATACGCCAGAAGTATGTATTATATACCATATGATATGGTAAAAGAGGTAAAGAGGTCATGCTATGTTTACTTTTGGTGAATACGTTGATGGAACTAGAACCGGATAGAGAAGATTTATGTAAAGATATTAATAATAATGCGTTGCAATTAAAAGATATTCAAGCATATGCTGTTTGTGACAAGTATCTTACTATGACAACATTCAAGGATCTTGACTGTAAAGCAAATAAACACGTTAACAAACAGCATGAAAAAATTCAGAGTGTTGAGAAATCGATCGGCTACAGCCTGTACACGTTTAGTACTTTCCCATATCTTATTACTACAATCCATAAGAAAATTGTATTTCTATACTCTATGACGGTTGATTGAAATTTCGTTATGGGAAAGAGAGAGAGAGAGAGAGTAAAAGAATTTTACTCTTTAATTAAAATGAAAATATCATCTAACGTAAGCTATGTTGTAGCATGATGGATTCGCTTGAATTTGACTATTTCTAGAAGAAAGGCTAAAAGTGAGATATTTGCAGAATAAATTGCGCTCATTTGTTAATATTATTTATATAGGTGTCAGAGTAAGGTAGGACTAATGAAAGCCATTACCATGGCCATTAAACGATCTGGGTCTAAAGTAGTGTCTTTAAGAAATTATTTACATTATTTAGATTTGAGATTTTGGGTGAGTAAATAATTAATATAATACTTTACGTAAGTAGCTTATGACGTCCTTTATAGGATAATTGGAGCTGTCGTAGGCGTAGTCTACTCTATATTAATTTATAACGGTAATATCTGCTATGCTTCAGAAGTTCTTTCTGAGTACGGTGGGTATTATTGCACTAATTTAGACAATATTTATCTACAACATTATTCGTACTCCAGATGGAAAACTTGACTTGGTATATTGCTGGAAATTTATGTTACAAATGCATTGAATGATTGCAGCAAACTATTATATCATTTCTCTATCCATACAGTAGATGCAGTATCCAATTCAATCGTGATCGTTACGATACAAAGTTTGTAAGTTATGAGAAAAGTTAGAACGCAGTCGTCTAATAACTAACGATAAAATAAAATTAACCCAATAGACCAACACGGTAATGTTTCAATCGTTGTTTTTGCCTCCATCAACTATTGCACAGTATCAGTCGATACTTTATGATATCAGGACTCTTAATACTATTGTAGCACACGTACTGCTGAGAATTGCTAACTAGATAGGGGATTGTAACTAATCTTGGATTACGTGTATAAAAAAGGATACTATGCTGTTAATGACATTCATGGAGGGCAAGCTTAATAATGATGAATCATTTATTAATATCTACAAATCTCTTTCATGACTAAGATGGACGAAATTCATAAAGGATAGTGGTGGCAAGTGTATTATAACATTTGTCTGTTCGTCTACCTATTTGTAATGTCAAACATGACTAAGAAATGGTATAGTCGGTGATTGGATGACGTTAGGCAGTAGCTAACTTGAGTAAATTGTCACCATTTCAACGACATGGTAAGGTAAACTAGCATTCTCATTCAATTGATGCATTTATTCATTAATCGTGACAAAGTCAGATAATGGTAGGCAATAAGTGCTGTACAGTATAGCGAATAAGACTGAGAAAAATGGGCGCAAACTACGCCATATTAAGGACATGGAGGATAAATTTTGAGTACAGTTGGTTTTGTTGATGCTGTTATCAACTTGTCCAGTAGATTGATTTTAAGAGTGGAAAATGCACAAGTTATCTTTTCAAGTTGTACTGTGTTGTATACGCGTCCAACAAGAGCAATACTCGTCTAATCTAAATAAGTCAATGGAGAGCCATGAATGCTTTAGGTCAGAGTCCTTCATTTGGCATTTTCTTGATAACCGTCAGAGTTAGATTAAGTAATCATGGTTGATTATTATTGTAAGAAGAAGATGAAGTGTGTCCGAAGATGCAACAGTCAGGTTGACTAGAGTATTATTTTTTCATCGAGAAGAGAGTATTGCCTACTGTTGCCTGTACTGTCCTTTTCCAATGAATACTAAAAGAAGAGATAGAGTAATCCTTCTACAATAAGTGAATCAAGTTGTAAATGGATCTCATGATTTTAACGTTGAAATGATGATTTCAATGTGTGGATACGAATGGCATTCAAGATTGTCCTTGTTGATGACACGATAATGGCAAGAGTTACTGAAAGAGAGGAAACAGTCCGTTGATATCAGTGGACTATACTAGCATTGGTGGATGTTGGAGAAGAATTTTTTTTTCTACATGGCGTCGATTAAATGATGGAGAGGTGATGAAAGTTCACTTTTAAATGGATGGCACGTATAGAACTTTTGAAGTGAATGGATAGTATCGTTATAAAGTTCGACTCTTTCTTACAATGATTGCCACTGGTGATTTGTATCTGGTAAGAAAAGATATCTGGCTATTTCTACGTGGATAAGTTAGGATGATTAAAAGATGGCTAAAGGATAAGCAGTATCAACTTGTACCTTTGCTTGAGAAGGAAATGAAACTTGTTCATTTTGAACGTTGTTTCCATGGTATTGCCTCAGTAAATCGAACGATTCCATTGGCGGATCTAATATTTCCCAGTCAAGCTCCTGGCTCTTGCGATTGTCATTGTTACTTTCTATAGTTAAAAGATCATCTACTGTTTTTCCTGCTTTAGCCTCGCGGTTCATGTTGTTTTTTTCGACCAGGTTGTTGATTCAATGGCAGTAGCAGCAACTAAATTGCAATAGTCACTGGAGGGGATTATTTATTGACAGTCAAGAATGACAGCTTTAGCATAACATCGAGAGGGGGGTGGGGGAAAGTATTCTACAGTATACTGCCAGACGATATTGATCTAACGCAGGCATAGCAGTGGTATACCACTCTACTTTGTAGTTCTTCTACTCAAGGTAGTATAGTCTCATCACCGACTTGGAATAAGATCCACAATGGTAAAAGTCCTGCGCAATTTGTCTGCAAAAATGTAATTTATTGATTCAAGGACAGTGTTGTATGGGCACTAGCACAACCCAACAAGAGTATGGAAAACTACTCAAGAAAAAAGAAAGGCGCTGCTATCGATTTAGTGGAGTAGTTATGATTCGTTGTGATTTTACAAGAAGAGAAGAAAGAACGACATGAAAGGATGGCGACCGCCTTTCTACAAGTAGCCCTCGTCTACCATCTCTCACACTCGATCCGTTTTAACGACATTTTAGCCCTTGACACACTGGTAGTCATATCAATGCACAAATCTATTTTAATTTTCGATCTCTTTACTTATTTTCTGCGACATGATTTTGCAAGAAGAGAAGAAAGAACGGCATGAAAGGATGGCGACCGCCTTTCTACAAGTAGCCCTCGTCTACCATCTCTCACACTCGATCCGTTTTAACGACATTTTAGCTCTTGACACACTGGTAGTTCTATCAATGCACAATTGTGTTTCAATTTTCAATCTCTTTACTTGATTTGTTGTGATTTTGCAAGAAGAGAAGAAAGAATGACATGAAAGGATGGCGACCGCCTTTCTACAAGTAGCCCTCGTCTACCATCTCTCACACTCGATCCGTTTTAACGACATTTTAGCTCTTGACACACTGGTAGTTCTATCAATGCACAATTGTGTTTCAATTTTCAATCTCTTTATTTGATTTGTTGTGATTTTGCAAGAAGAGAAGAAAGAATGACATGAAAGGATGGCGACCGCCTTTCTACAAGTAGCTCTCGTCTACCATCTCTCACACTCGATCCGTTTTAACGACATTTTAGCTCTTGACACACTGGTAGTTCTATCAATGCACAAATCTGTTTCAATTTTCGATCTCTTTACTTATTTTCTGCGACAAAATGGATTCATTTCAAAGCGCATTCGGCTCTATTCTAGCGATGCTAAACTATTTGTTTGGATTATGGCATAGCTTGAAATTCAGTATCATAATCTGATGCTGTAGTACATTAAAAACAGTATTGCAAACTCCACGCTAGGCTATGCCACTACAAGCTTTCTGTACACTTGGTTGAAGTTGTCCTATTCGTGTAGGATGCCCTGAACAACATGTCTAGTAAAAAAAAAAGTGAATATGTCAATACTGTATGGCGATTTGAATCATCCAGTATTTACATATGATTTATGATTACTATCATTATTTCGACTTTCAAGTGGTTCGCCGCCATTGGACTACTGGAAAGAAATCCTTGGATCAGCAACTCTCCTCAGACAGACGGACATTGTCTAGCAGAGCAGGCGAAAAATGTCGCAAAATCGTGACTGACTTTCAGTATGCAGATCTTGCGTGTCTGTTTTCTAAATCACTTGTATCCATTTGAAGAACATTGATGATGTCAATGGACTGCTTTTAAGCAGAGCTTAGTAGCAGGCAATGAAATATTACTTGATTTAAAAAAGAAAATCAGTCCATTCACTATCGGCATCGTAAACTACGGCCATTAGTCATAGTCAAGAGTTTGACACAATTGATGGATCAGAGTAGTCCAAATGTCTGTCCATCCAAAGGTGTTTCATTGTCCATTCGGTAGCACAATGCAGTCTACGCTAGCATTCTCGACAGGATCATGGACAGACAGACTACGGAGTACAGTGTACAGTATTAAGGCAGAAAATACTACAGTATACTGTACGCGAGTATTTAATCGACAGTATCATGGACAGACAGACTATGGAGTACAGTGCACAGTACTGTATTGCTGCACTCTACTCTACAGTACACTGTACTGTACTCTGCTGTTTTCTGTACAGTTTACAGTCTACAGTACTAAGGCAGAAAATGATTCTACAGTACTGTACTGTACAGTTCTGTACTGTCATCACTGCACAAGCGCGAGTATTTGAATTGGCCAAGTTTTTCCTCCAACCATGATGATACTGTGCGCTATATAGTGCACCATGCGCGCCGTAATTGCCCTACTCTGCCACTTGCACTTCTCATGTTAGAAGTAGATTTGCATTTTGGGTTGCGGGAAAGCATCTCTCTTCGTCCCTCTGCTGTCTTTCGCTTGCTTTGCTATTTTCATTTTATTTCCGAATTTCTTGATAGAAAGGATGATCGATCGACCAAATCAACATCGTAGATTAGTGTAAAAGCGATCTATCATTAGCTATTGAAATTGATTCGACGTCGCACAAGTCTTGCCGACTCAATTGATCCCATTGGAAAGCAATAATAACAACAACATTGACTCCATTCTAGCAGGATTGAGAGACTCGTAGTCGAAGAAGAGGTAAAACAATTTGCCCAAATTGGGATTCTTGCAATGATTGAATTATTTATTCAAAGTTATAAATTGTCATTGACATCAGTCGTCGACACACGTATTCATGGTGCGGTATACTCGCTTTGTTGATGCAGTTGGAGCAAATCCAATGTGGGATCCTATTAAAACCAACATGGCAGATACAGTATTTGTACTGGTGCAATGGTTGACAGTCATTTCAATAACTGCACTCGCTGGAAGATATTCAAACTAGCAATTGCATTGCAACACGCGTATTGGATAAAAGTTGAAGGCCAATAGTGATAGTGATTGCCATTCATTTGCGTAACAACCATCGAGATCGGCTTACCACGACGAATTTATACTGCACTCACCACGTTCATTGCTCTACTGTATGTGTTTGTCAGTTTGTGGCATAATTTCTATCCAATACCGCTCCTCAGTCCTCACAAAGTCACGATATCTACTTTACTTGCTATATTCATCGCTCTACTGTATGTGTTTGTCAGTTTGTGGCATAATTTCTATCCAGTACCGCTCCTCAGTCCTCACAGAGTCACGATATCTACTTTACTTGCTATATTCATCGCTCTACTGTATGTGTTTGTCAGCTTGTGGCATAATTTCTATCCAATACCACTCCTCAGTCCTCACAAAGTCTCGATATCTACTTTACTTGCCATATTCATCGCTCTACTGTATATATTTGTCAGCTTGTGGCATAATTTCTATCCAATACCGCTCCTCAGTCCTCACAGAGTCACGATATCTACTTTACTTGCCATATTCATCGCTCTACTGTACTGTATATATTTGTCAGCTTGTGGCATAATTTCTATCCAATACCGCTCCTCAGTCCTCACAGAGTCACGATATCTACTTTACTTGCCATATTCATCGCTCTACTGTATGTGTTTGTCAGCTTGTGGCATAATTTCTATCCAATACCGCTCCTCAGTCCTCACAGAGTCACGATATCTACTTTACTTGCTATATTCATCGCTCTACTGTATATATTTGTCAGCTTGTGGCATAATTTCTATCCAATACCGCTCCTCAGTCCTCACAGAGTCACGATATCTACTTTACTTGCTATATTCATCGCTCTAGTGTATGTGCTTGTCAGTTTGTGGCATAATTTCTATCCAATACCGCTCCTCAGCCCTCACAAAGTCTCGATATATACTTTACTTGCTATATTCATCGCTCTACTGTATATATTTGTCAGCTTGTGGCATAATCCAATACCGCTCCTCAGTCCTCACAAAGTCACGATATCTACTTTACTTGCTATATTCATCGCTCTACTGTATGTATTTGTCAGTTTGTGGCAGAGTTTCTATCCAATACCGCTCCTCAGTCCTCACAGAGTCACGATATCTACTTTACTTGCTATATTCATCGCTCTACTGTATGTATTTGTCAGTTTGTGGCAGAGTTTCTATCCAATACCGCTCCTCAGTCCTCGCAGAGCCATCATATATAAATATATATATACTTTAATCGCCATATTCATCGCTCTACTGTATATGTTTGTCAGTTTGTGGCAGAGTTTCTATCCAATACCGCTCCTCAGTCCTCACAGAGTCACCATACATTTTTTCCCCCATTTGAGTGTAGTGTTGCAGTTTGCAAGGCGTAAATTCATCTTGAATAGTTGATCTTATGTAGAAAATACTTGCATCGTATTGAAGATTGTTGATTGCTAATAAAATTATATTCTTTATGCGTACAGTCAATACAATCCTATATCATTGACTATAGAGATCAACTAAATATCTTAAAACTGATCTTACTACGAGTAGAACTACAATGGAGGATCGTGTATTTCATCCGAGGGATACCAATGCCACTGGAAGAAGTGGACAATCAATGGGGTGCAAATCTGAAAAGAAAACTAACCAGCCAGGTGTGATCCAAGACTGTACACATCCTCCAGACCATGATGATAGCAAAGAGAACCACTTCAACTTTGAGCCTAAAAGTAAAAGCAAATGGCAATCGACAACCATTAACCATTACCAATACTATCATTGTCAACAACCACTTGATAATACCACAAAAGATGATAAGGACTATAATCAAATTACCACCAAATTGCCTCCTAGTGTATCCGATTTTGAAATTATTAAACCCATTAGCCATGGCGGTTTCGCTAAAGTTTATTTAGCACGTCGGCGAGACAAATTATTCGCTTTAAAAGTAATGGCAAAAGAAGAATTAATTCGCAAAAATATGGCTACTCAAGTTATCGCTGAACGTGACGCGATGGCGCTATCCTGTAGTCCATTTATTGTCCATTTATTTTATTCACTACAATCAAATGATCGTGTCTATCTTATTATGGAATACATGATAGGTGGTGATGTTAAATCGTTACTCATGAATTTAGGCTATTTCGATGAATCAACAGCTCGATTCTATACTAGCCAAATTGTTGCTGCCTTAGAGTATCTCCATTCACATAATATAGTTCACCGTGATTTAAAGCCGGACAACATGTTAATTTCAGCTGAAGGCTATTTAAAATTGACCGATTTTGGCTTATCTAGGCTAACATTAAATCGTGGTAAGGTGTCAATGTCTTGTATCGATCTTTCATAAAGAAATATGCTAACTTGTACATGATATTCTTGATTAATTTATTTTATTCTTCGCCTAGACGTTAGCTATCAGGATATGATGAGTTCCCCTTGTTTACCATCAAGTGTGACTCCTTCGCGCTATGCAGCGTATTATAGAACACCCGGACAAGTTGCATCATTAACTAGTGTTCTAGCCTTTGTAAGTGTCCTAACTTCATCTAGTTGCTTTTCTTTTATGATTTAACTAACAGTTCAATGTCATACTCTGTACGTTGGATATCTGATGACAACTATTATAACTGTAAATACTTCACCTACAAACAATTACTCACAGTGTATTGAACAACATTAAAAATAGATTCTTTATCGATGTCATTACCCTATCTGTTTCCTTAGATTGGAAAGATGCCTCTTTTAATTAATTACATGTGATATACATTACTTCATTACTTTTACCTATTATTTTGCCGTGTTGAGCTGCGTCATGATCATCAATTATTATGAAAGTAGACTGTAAGCGGTATTTCACGTTGCAATGTAACCACTATAGTTGAATTATTAAAAAATATCACTACGATAAAAGAAATCATAAATATTGTTAAATGTTAAGGTCTATTACTTCGGTCACCAGGCCACATTCGTAGCAATAGTGAATACGGTCTGTCTGACCTTCTCTACTTTTCATATATTTAAAACTCACCCCACGAACTAATTTCATTATATTATTTTATAATTATTAACACCTTGGATTATATCCTTATTTATGAATGTTAAATTACAATATTCCCACAGAGTAAACCTCCAATTCTTACTAGGTTGAACTATTTAAACATTTAACTTGCTATAACGAAAAAAATTGTACAGTATTTACTGGGTTCACGAATAAAGTCCATTTAGTGATATTGCACTTACTAAGAATCCAATTTATTTAATTCATTCTAGGGTTCTGCATCCCGTGACCAATCTTCTTTGGAATATTACGAACGTCACGATCACTACCGAAATGTTAATAGAACGCATGATTCATCTACTGATCCTATCAAATCGCCGTCGTTTTGTTCGCCATTTATTAGCGATGGTTCTACTCGGAACTCGCCTATGCAAGGAGAAATAGTTGATACAACTGAATCGATTAGAAAATATCTATTTCAATCATCGTATAACGATGAAGATGATGAAGATCGCAGCCATCAGCATGATCATTTACGTTCAGGAAATCGAAAGCTTGCAACTTGCTCTACCGTAAAAAATCTAAAATGTGGACATCATTTTTCTAGTATTATATCTGTCGATAGCGATGGAACATTGTCACCACCTGCAGTCCCTAGTATCAGTAATTCATCTTCCAATAGTATGTTCAAAGAGACACCGTTAAAGACAACAAAGTTTTGCGTTAGGGCTCGGAATGGGTCTCCTGTAAAGCGGCATCAATTGCTTGGTACCCCAGACTATTTAGCACCAGAAGTTTTGTCAGGGGAAGATCATAATGAAGGTAACTTATACTTCTCATTAGAATTATTACTTATTGTGAAATTATATAAGCTGTTTCAGAAAATGATATTCAAGGATTTATCACAAATTATTAGATACCTCTGTTGATTGGTGGGCAGTTGGTGTCTGTTTATTTGAATTTTTAACTGGTATTCCGCCATTTTCGGATGAAAGTGTTGAGAGAATATTCAACAATATTAAAGAGCGCGGTAAGATTACAAATATGCTACCGATATAAAACAATAGTGCATGTAAATAAGCCTATCGCAAGATCAAAATATGCTTTGAAAAATCGTGACATTTTATTTGTCCTACGGAGCAGACATCCCTTGGCCAGGTGGAGAAGAAGCGCTAAGCTTGGAAGCTATGTCTTTAATCGATTCCCTTCTTCAGTTAAATCCTGATGACCGTCCGCGTGTTCAAGGTAACTAGATCTATTACTAGGCTGCATCATGTGATAGCAACTATAGATTGAAAGTTATCTAGGTAATTAATGTAAACCTTGAATTCGGCAGAATGGCATTAAAGTAGATATTTTCTGCTATTTTAGAGGTCAAGGCATACCCTTTTTTTCATGACTTGGATTGGAATAATATTCTTAACGATCCTCCTCCATTTATTCCCTGCCCTGATAATGAAACTGACACATCTTATTTCGAAGGTAAATTCAAAGTAATGATTTTAAATGTTGTCTGTTGCTTTCAGGTATTCTTTCAGCAAACATTTATGATTCGAGCATAATGTTTGCAAATGGTTCCTCATGTTGTACAATAAGAGTATAATAATAGAGGATCGAAGTGTTATATACGCATATAATTTTAATAAGTATGTTTCATCTTTTATTCCAGCTCGAAATTCTATTCGCAGTACGTCTTATTCTTTAGGGATTAACAGGCCAAAGTAGCCAACAAACATTACTGGCAATACTTGGCTTACATTTTGAGAGTAAAACTGTATCTTATTTATTTCAGCACCTCGCAATCTGATGTAAAATAATTAATTGTATTATATAGTATAATTGGCATCAACTGACTATTGTCGTAATTGCCATTTATCTTGTATCTAATAAGAGCCAACAAACAAGTGTACTGGTTTTAGATAGCAATCTTGCCATGTTATATACAAATTGAGCTGGTAGTTACTCGTACGTATTAGATTAAACTGCCACGTACTTCAAGTTACTTACTATTAGAAATGTAATAAGCGGAAATGTTATAGTATTATAACAATTTTGGATTGTAACTTTAGTTGGAAATAACGTAAGAATGGTTAACATCAAGCCTCCATAAATTTGAGAGATCATGAGCCATCTGCCTAGTAACCTAGCCATGAACTGAAAAATAGCAACATTTACGGCAACTATCTTGTAAATTACTCATACTCTTATGCACACAGCTTCTGGTATATAGATATCGATTGATTGTGGCTGTTATGATTTTAGGATCTTTTATAGTAGGTGTAGCACTATGTATAGTACAATAGTAAATCAACTATCTAGCAAATTTACATGATAAGATGATAGTTTTACAGTATCAATCAAATGGATGTTAATACTGCTTATAGCATTACTACTTCTCATTGCACAATATTACACTAGGAGTGAAGAATTTCTTTATATTTTTCTACAGTAGTATGAAACTCAAATTCAATTTTGAAATAAAAAAGTATTATTGGTTAGCAACAAGAATACTTTATACTAACTATGATGGGCTAAAATATTTAACCATAATTATACTATATAATTTATAATATACTGTAGTATCATCTCAAAGGGCGCTAATTTCATTTTTGGTATTGTAGAATAGTTTTTACTTGACATTTCAGGATTAATTATGGAAAACAATTACTAATATATCAGTGCCAAAAATTTAGTGTACACTTCGATGTTGTTTGTTTCAATCAGAATATGTCATTACCGTGACATTAATGCACTTATATAGATGTAATAAACAGTTGCTGTAATCATTAAATGCACATTGGAACTTATTTCCGTTCAGAAACAAATTTTCATTTATTATGTCAATAATATTATAGAGATGTATTAATAATAGCGTTAATAAAAATTTTATATTTAATTTCAATCCATCAATATTTGCTGCCAATAAAATACTCGTATACTACATTTAAACAACCAGCGGTTATCATTCTTACAGCGAGGTAATAACATGAATGACGATAGCTAGAGTATATGACAAATGAAGTTCATATTCCATCGATAACGTTATTATTGCTTACAACTAACATATGCTCAATATTAAGTTATTCTACCTTAACTAATTGTTGTACTATAGAATATAAATTATACCTGTAGATCAATCAGCTACACTGAATGAAAGGAGGCATATCAATGTATAGCTATAATCATAATTAGATAAAATATGCAAAACAGCTGCCTTCCAAAACGATCGAAAGGCTGTGAGAATAAATTTCTCCGAATAAACTTGCTACAATACTTCATTCAGTTGACCTATTTTGGCATCATTGTTTGAAAGCTTGGCGCCAATTTTAATTTTGGTTTATATTAAGTAACGTCTCAGTTAGCAACACTGAAATCAACATTAACGGGAAAGTATACATAAGGATAATAATCTCCTTGCTGAGTGGTGACTCCTGGGATCTCAAATCCAATCTATAAAGGCATAATTGTAAACATATCAAGATGTTATATCTTTATCAATTTATGAACTGATGCACAACTCTGTAACTTACATCAAGATTAGTATTCGCGGTGCTATCTAAATGACGATACAAATTCATCAAGGCCTCCCTTAACCTCTTACTACTTTTCTTAGTGGGCTATTTGTTATAAAAAGATATTATTTAATGAGTACCATCATAAATACATTTAGTACGCATTCAAATGTACGATTACCAGAAGTAAAGCGGCTTGAAAGTTTACTGGAAGTCCATATCTAATAAAAATTGATCAGGAAAGTTAAAAACGTAATTGTTGCATTAAGAGGAATACCGCAACCCGTCTAACCTTAAAACAGATTCAACAAATAGCCGTAATACCTATAATAATGAAAAAAAAATACATCATTTAATTAAAACTGATCGCCCCTTCCTGCAATAGATTTGCAAATTCGTCAATAAATTGTAAAGCTACAAACTTTGATGTGAACAAAGGCAATAACACATTCACCAAAGTTGGTTTTCAGCCAACGCATTAAGGGTCCCTTAAAATACAGTTAACAATTAGAAAAAAGTGCAAAACCAAGAAAAGATCTGCTATACGAAAAGCGTACGAATTGTTTTTTCTTATCGGCTTCTAATCGGGTAATTTCGCTCTTGCCGGCTTGAACTTCTGCTTCATTATATTTAAAATCACGTACTATAAACCTAAATTGGAACTGGTATTTAGTTCCAGGCAATAATGATAATGTAGCGATAATATGTAGAAGAAAACATAACATGAATAACCTGTTATCACGAGCGTGATGCTTAAATTCATCGATAACTTTATTAAAGAGAGTGACGCTAAAAAGGGCATGCTCGTTGTCTTCGTAGATTTTTCTATGCAAAAGACGATAAAAATTAACTATATCAGAGGATTGTATAGTCATAATAAGTTATAAAATTAATACGATTTAATAAATTTCAATCATCAGCATACTTTGAAGATCGTGGAACGATCATATCGCATAACTTTTCGTAATTATTAGTCCAATCATTGACGGAAGACCTAAAAATAAGTATTTCTCTGTCTAATAGCGTCGCACTGAAAACTTCTCAAAATTTATCTGGCATAGCATACTTAGAGACAATAACCAACAGGGTTGATAAATATTCCGAATTCAAGACAAAATCCTCCTTTTTCACCAAGTCACTTAGATCACGGGATAATAAACTACCCCTAAAAATTGTAGCAATCGATGTTAAAATTATAATGGTGATCAATTAATACCACGGCTTGCACAGTAACAGTGCTTAGTTGCTTCTTCTAAATGTTACTTATTCATTAAGGTATCGTATAATATCAACTTACGCTTGTTTGCGCTCTAATGACTGCAGGGTATTCTTAATGGCATTATACGCCTGGGATTTAACTTTAAGATCTGCATCAATGTTTGTAACTTGCTAGAAAATCCAAAGAATAATTACAGTTAGTATCTAATTAGGTACGAATCAATTATAATTAGGGATCTAATCCTAGCAAATAAGCGCCAAGTTAATACATAAATATAATCTTAAATTGCCCGGTAATTTATAAGAATTCAATGAGGATGTCTTGCCTTGTTGATGATTTCAACGATACTCCTTAAATGTTGCTTAACGGGATACTTAGCATGATCCCATTGCCATTTGGACATGTACGTTTGTAAATCATCTAAGCACAATTAGGTTTTTTGGCCATTTTCAGTAACATTATTTAAAAATTTCATAGATTATTTCCAATTTTAGCGAAATACAGTTAGAATACTTACGTCCAGAAACTTTCATATTTTCTGGAAGTTTATCCTGATGATGAATAGTATTAAAAAGCTTATTTTAGATTAGTCCTTCAGATTTTGTAATCATATGATACAACTTTCTATAATTGCAAACACTCTCTACAGTTTATTACAGGAGTTATACTATAGTTAAATTAGGATTAATCTGTAAGTAGTACAGTACGTATAATCACGAATTCTTAGTAGTATATATATTGCAATATTTTAGATTAGAATAGTCCAGCCACAGTTCTATGTAATATGATGAGAAAATACTATAGCCTTAAATCCAGTATAAAGTGAACCGTTGCAGTTTTATCAATTGTCTAGAATAGATCAATTAATCTCTTAACCTTTTGTTCTTCCAAGATGTCAGCCATATATTGAGTAAGTTTTCTCGTTACACCTTCGACATATCCATCCACTTTGACTAGGTCATCGGATAATCCAACCAAAGTATCTAGAGTACCGACCTGTTCAAAGTCAATGAAGATATAAATATTGTTGTTCTAATTGGGCTTTACTTTTTTAATTCATACATCATAGGCATACAATATGCCGCATACATGGTAGTACGCATATACATGCAGTAGAATTTGCAAATGTACAGTAAGTATACGCGTACGTGAATACGACAATCTGTTCAATAAAACAAAATATGCACGGTAATTATTATTTTTATATGCACTATGTTGTTTCTTAACGTTAACTTCTCGAGAAGTTATTCCGTGGATACTGCTATATAGAGGGCTCTGCTTACAGTAGTATTGCAGTGTACAACAAGTCTTTTGGAATATTGGACGAGTTAATGTATCGTATAATAACTTGTTACAAAACGATTGATATGAATGGTCAATCAGTTTGTTATCATTACTAAAAATTAAGTGTTATCACGCCATATTTTTTGAAAAAGGAAAAAAGAACTGTACCATTTAGCATTCATTACGATGATACTCTTATTAGCTACTTATCCTTTCAAGATGTAAGACTGATCAAGTTGTTGAAACAACCTATTCTTCAAATAGATCGATTGAAATCATTACTGACTGATTCATTGATGTATCTTTTACTAGAGCAACTAATTAAGAAATGTCATATGGTGCAGCAGTTGAAGACGGTAGGGAAGTAAAAACGTCACCATTACCAACATGCTGGGTGAATAGTGCGCTATCTATTGGAAATTTTTCGGATTCAATGAAGTGATAGTGGCCATAACGATATTTATCGCATGGTATTATTAGCAAAGAACTAAAAATTAGACAAGATTAGCAATTTTAATTTTAACTTTGACAATGCGGTGGGCCGGTGGCAGTTGGGTGTAACGTAGTAGTGTAATAGTAATGGATAGAAATGGAAAGTACCCTCCATGTTGTGCGTACTGTCATGATCGACTGCAGTTGTACAATGTAACGTGATCAAACATCTTCTGGCTAGGATAACGTATTAAAGTAATGTATCGTAATATCATTTATTAGAATCGATAGGATAGATTACATAATGATGATTTATGACAGTGTGATTCAGACAATTCTACGATGTCTATTGAATACTTGATGAATTGACTATGATCGGGGCTAACAAATGAGAAAAAACAGAGTTGGCCTAATGATCAAGCGATGATCGATATTCTTCCAATGTTAATCATTGTTATCGATCATAATACCATGATCAATAGGAGATTTATTGGCTAGGAAGTATTATTCTATGCAAAATGTTACCTTCAAATCTGGCAGCTGGTACTTGGAGTTGATCGATAGTGGCTTTTCTATCTTTGAAGTTGCAGCTTGTAGCTTGTCCCATGTTTGCTGGCAGGTTTTGTCACCTGGTGCAGAAATCAACCAATACTCTTGACTAGCCATGGATCTAAAATAGAAAAGAACTTATATCATACCCATTTATGATGGCAATCGTTGTCCACTGAATACTTACAGGTGAATTATATCAATTTGAATCAAGGTAAATGTCGAATCGAGCAACAAGCAGCGATTTCAACCAGCACAACTGCTCCAACTTGACGGAGCTTTGGAAGAGATTGGTGACATATGGAATGCTCGACACTAGTATCAACGCAAGCGCATCCGATGATCATGTGATCATCACATTCTGCAAATCCAGAACTTCCCAGGACTACCGTACAGTGTACAGTACGGCACTGTACAGTGTACAGTACGCTGTACTGTACTGTTGTCGTGATTCTGGTGAAGATAGCTACAGTCAGGTCTACAGTACTGTACTGTACTGTACTGTACTTGTTATGCTGTGCTGTACAGTACAATACAAAGTACAGTAGAAAGAAAAGGCTGTTAAACAGCCAACATTGGGATTGTATGGAGCACTGACGTAAAGCAATCGCTGACTACTCGTATACTAGTAATTATGTGGAGGCCGATCACTTTTTGGGGTTATTTCAAGTGTATCCGCATGTCTGTAATATTAATGGCACATTGATGGCCGCTTTGAGTCCCTCTTTCTTTCCTTTTAGTACTGTACAGTAGTCCCTGATCTTACCAAAATACAGTACACTACAGTGGAACACTTGTATCGCGTGCGCATGTTTTATGTTCCATTCCATAAATTAGTACAAATGTACACTAGAGAGTAGAGACCCTTTAATGTACACTTCAATTGTACTGTACACTGCGCAGTATGTTCCAGAAAGTAGGAATTCCGTTCCATTTTCCGTAAACTTTCCGTAAATTGGTGCCACATTTTTGGACATACCTTCGTATTAGTAATACAAAACAGTACAAACGTATGGACTGCATTGATACCAACACATTCAGCTGGTACTGTACTGTACTCGTATAAAATGGACAGTATACTGTGCGTATGACGTAATCATAGAGTAAGAAAAAAAATTCTATGGACGTAATATTTACAGTTAGCAACTTTTGCGGCGATATGACATGACTTCAAAAATAGAACTTTCTTGCTTTTTCTCCTTCGAGTTTGTTGTTTCCAAATAGATTTATTCATATGCTGTATGTTACCGTACATTCATGCGAGAGAGTTCAGGATCTGAAATACCAGACCGCCATCCGGTAAAACGTCAATTATTTGAACTTTTCTCACAGAATCATCCATCATTCTGTGAACGATAACACTACACTGTAGTGTACAGTGTACAGTACTGTCATGGACTACTAAATTGCATCTAGTAGTCCTTGGTACTTTTTGAAGGTACTTATGAAATTTGATATAACGTTAAAATAACATTAACATTAATTATACAATACTGGCTAAGATACTGTACAATGTAGACTTGTACTAGGATTAGTACTGTAGAATGACTTCGTAAGGATCAGTCTTAGATGCGCACGTATTCGAACCTCATATGTACTGTATGCAGAACCTTCGAGAATACTCATTCTATGTATATTTTAATAACTACTAGTAAGTTCTAGAATATTCCATGATAGTACAGTAGAGATTATATATACATGAACGTTGCTGTCATATTTTATTAGTTCGCACTTCAAGTGTCCTTCTATTCTCTACATTTGTTCGAGGACTTATTACAGACGACAGCGGATTAATTTAGCTCGAAGAAAAGAATATTACGGCGATGATACCTGCTGGTCGATATAACAAGAGTGATCCTTCCGGATCTAATCCACCGCCATCAAGTCAAGGCGTTTATAGACATACTAATTCTAAAAATGACGTCAAGTATGTGGGTGAAACAAATAACCTCGCAAGAAGAAAAGGCGAACATGAAAGGTCTGGTAAATTAAAAAATATAGAAAACTTTGAGTACAAACGGACACATGGAAATACATCTACTGAAACAAGAAGAAAAATGGAAACCAAGCTGATACATAAGAATGATCCTCCTAGAAATAAAGAAAAACTGCCAGATAATTGAGAACATTAAATAAATGAAAAACTGTGATATGTGTAGGAACATTGACTACAGTACAAGTAGATAAGGACTATGATAATTATATTATGAAGCAATGTACTGTAGTTGCAGAGTATACGTACTGGAGCCTAACTGCATACAATCTGATTATTTTCGATGTCTCCCCTTCGTTAATTCAATAATCAAAGTTGTATTCCGTTGAAATTCCTGTATAGTATTTATATATATACTCGTAGAAGGATATCTCCTAAGATATACCGGAAAAGTATAGAATATCTAGAGAAATAAGAACCAAATTGGTATTCCTGAGTTATTAGGCTACAACCAAATATAGAGCTCTTATCTAGTTTGGGCCTGATTTAGCTTATACAATTATATGTTTTCAGTTGTACTGTACAGTATAAGACTGTTAAATAGTAAATAGTATTGCTTTTGCTATATAATACAGTACATATACTCTACATTAGTTGTTACATAGCTATCTCGGAATATCGATCTTGATCCTGTATTTTCGCAATAAAACCTTATTCTGAATCATCTGTATGTCGTGTTTGATTGTTATCCTACATAGTCTTGGATCTAATATATGTATATGACCTGGCACATTACAAAAATATCAAAATCAACCTCTAAATCAAAACGTGGTTAGAAAATCATCTTGTTACTATCTCAACAGGGTAGACTTCAACGTGACAGTTTCAGTTGATACTATACACTGTACAGTACTTTTGACGTGCTATTAAAACTTGCTAAATACTCGTATATCTCTAGTTCATGTACAGTATATTCAGTACGTCAGTATGTAGTCTATACTCTATGCTAGCATTTGAACTTCTGCTTTAATTACACGTACTGCTTATTCGGCAGTCGCCACTACTTGATCAAGCACGCACGTCGCACAATAGGCTCTACGGGACGGGTACACTCGTATCTTATCGAAGTAAAATACATTTCAGTGCAATCGTTGGGATAATTTAATACTATTTTACTTAAATATTCGCTGTGATATGTGCAGAACACTGAACATGTAAAGTACACTGGTACAAACTCCCGTCGCTTTGCTGACGGTTTACGATAATGTGCTCATTTAACAGATAGTATTACCATTTGATAGACCTGTCAGAGGTTCAGTAACTTTATACCGTGTACTCGCGCAGACCTGTTGCGTACTGTAGCAGATGTTATCGATGCTGTTGATTGACGGTCCTTGACGTTCACAAACACCATGGACAATTGGAGATGCAAACACCTACAGTACATACTGTACAGTTTAGCTTGCTGTGTACTGTACCGCATTGTACTGTAAGTTTCCTGGGAAACCAGAAACGTCCCTAGTGATGCTGTACCAGTAAAAAGTGAAACGCGAGTTTTAGAGTAGTTCATTGATTCACTACAATGATGCAGGAGGATTGGATACATCAAGAAACTCCTCAATTATTGCTAGCAAGAGGCAAACTAAAAATCAGTGATGGTCATACTATTGATCCGCCTACGATATCTACTAATAACAGACAAATACCTTCGCTAGATTCCTTACCTTTACGGAGTACATTCAATACGAATAAAAATACAAGCGATGTCGACGTTACGGATGTCTCTACTCCACAACGAATGTAAGAGTTGTTGTGATATTGTAGTGAACTATTATTTACAGCGCGAAAATATTAGTAAATATGACCTCCTACCTGCGTGAATATACAGTATGCATATATAGTATTGTTCAGTATTACAGAATGGCGTATTGGAAATTGATCTCTTGTACAGTATAATTCTGTGTTACGCTACACCATTGAGGTACAATTTGAGGAAAATGGCTAATTGAACATAATAATCAAAATCATATTGATAGTAATAAGTCTTGACATATGTAATTTTATTTTAGGTCCTACAAGTTACATTATAGCAGTATCTTTTCTAAGTAATGCTCTCTTTATTTATATCAGAAACTATTTTATTGCGTATGCCTGTATATTGTATGCGTATAACAATCACGAGCTGCAGTTAACGCAGGAGCTAATAACTTGATCCATGAACTTTTAGAAAATTAGTGTATCAGCAATTAGAACCCGATGTTAGTGCGAAACGATCAGAAAAATACTTTGTTAATTTGATTCAATGCTACAATTTCGTGTTTTATGATCTATCTCACAGCTTCACCAGTGATACTTATAGCATAATTCATGAGCAAATCACAAAGGAAGAGGTAAGCTTTTTTATACTTAAAACTATGCATTTTGTTGATATGCAATGACTGAGATGATTTCATGAATGAGGGCTGCTTTACTGCTTAAATGTGATTTAACTAGAAACAGATAACAAGTAGCTTAATTTTTTCGTTATGTCCTATTATTGAGTAGATAACTAGCGATACCGTAGAGGAGATTGCCGATAAAATAATTGATGAAGTTATTAACGAAGTTATCATGCTGGATTGCAGCCATGTTATTGCAGATGAGCTAAAGCTTACGAGAAAAGAAAGAGATACGGTAAAACTATTTTACTTAATGTAAATAGCTAAAACATCATTAACACATCAATATAGGGTTAATGTAAGCATTGTAAGGTACTATGGCATGTAGAAATCACGTACTATAAAAGTCCATTTTAATTATACGCCTAAGGAATAATCTAGTGTGTAACACACGAGAAGGTGCAGTAAAATTATTTTTTTGTGCAATGATAGGTTTTGTACCAAACGCAAGAAAGGTTAGCAGATCATGTTATGTTGGATGTTTTATTGGATCAAATGTTTAGCTGTAGTGGTAAAGATATAGTATTTAGGCTAGCGTCTGAAAGGGTTATTGAAGGTGAGAAGTTGATATATTAGATTCAATAACCTTATAACCGGGTTTAGTTAAAAGTGGTAGTGGTTATCTCTAAATTTGAAGAATATGAATTTGACATTTCTGTTAAGAAGCTATCATAATTTCAACTGCATCTTCTTCTACTGTCTGCTAAAATGATTAATCTTGTACTTTGATTATCGTTTCGTATATCTGCAGATATTATGCTAAGCGTATTATTATATCAACATAACGCAATTGAAGATAGCTGTGAACCGACTAAAAGCAATAGCATTATGTACGGATTACTTAAAGATGCAGCACAAGAAATAGTAAGGACGACTATGATTAAAAAATACCTATGTAGTCACAGTAATAAATTAGACTGATTGTGTATCACTATTGTTATGTGCTGACTAACCCCACTTGATTACTGATTTTTTATAGCTGAAAAAGACTCTAATAGAATTACTTAGTGCTCACATGAAGGAAGATATGAAAATGCGAATGATAGAAGAATCTGAAGAACAATTTAAAAATTATTTGAGTAGCTTATCTGCTTCTCAATAGATTGAATAATTTGTTGTTCAGAAATATTTATTCTAATAATTAAATTTTTGAAACGAATTTTACATTGCTTTAAAATCGTTTATTAAAAGAGTAATATACCTTGAGTTAATATTGCTACCATATGAATTATTGCGATTTAGTTGTCATAGTTATTATTCAATATACTTGCTTGTATTAGTTTAAGTGTCAAATGTATTAGCATTGATTGATTGATGATGTATTCTATTTTATGCAATTCATATGAACTACTGACTGTTTGTGTAAATATCGGAAACTTAATATACCATGGAGCAATAAGGTTCCTAATAACTGTAATACGTATATACCGTACTCTTGTATACTACTCATTAAAAGAGGCTAAATGGATAATTTATTTATCTTCGTCTGGAATTTGATTTCTTAAATTCTTACACTTTGAAAAGTGACATAAAATTGGAGTTATAGACTATAAGAGTGATGTATCATTGTTGAAGTCTTTTACGCTGAGTATATAAGATATCGATATCAACATGGTTGAGCCTGCTGTGTATGTTGAACATACTCTTAATAGAGATACCAACTTTGTCAATCCTATACAGTATTTCAGTTAGACTCTACTGTAAATTGTACTCTAGGGGGTACTATAACTGACTTTAAAAGCATCAATATCGCTGATTTATAATTAATTACATAATAGAATTAACTGTTCTACGTTTCCGTTATTAATATTTTAGTGCACGTTTAATATACGTATGTACAGATGGTACAGTGCATTTGAAGGAACTTAGTTGTGAATATAGAATCTCTATCTTGTTAGTGCAACCTATTGCATAATTATAAATAATGGTTGCGAAATGTACTTTATTGATAATTTGAATCTCCATAATATGACTGGTTAAACGCTTGCCCGACACTGGTTAATACTCGTAACTCTGGTACTCATCTTCCTTCTTATTACGTCATTGTACGTGTACGATCAATTTTATGTTGAATTTTAAATCCCTTTCCTGTTTCATTGATTTATTTACTTTGGACATACATAGTATGCCTAGTGAATAAAACGAATTTATTTCATGTTCAATTTTAAATCTTTTTCCTGTTTTATTGATTTATTTATTTTTGGCATACATAGTATGCCAAGTGAATAAAATGAATTCATTTCATGTTCAATTTTAAATCCTTTTCCTGTTTCATTGATTTATTTATTTTTGGCATACATAGTATGCCAAGTGAATAAAATGATTTCATCTTATGGTCAATTTTAAATCCTTTTCCTGTTTCATTGATTTATTTATTTTTGGCATACATAGTATGCCAAGTGAATAAAATGAATTCATTTCATGTTCAATTTTAAATCCTTTTCCTGTTTCATTGATTTATTTACATTTGGCATGCATTTATTTTATTCATTTCTGTGGGTGTACTAAGCGATATTTATATGGTTGGAAAATTGCTGCAATCATCGCAAACAAACATGGCATGGCCCACAACCGGATCGCATCTGAATCGATACGGAAGTGTGCTCATTCTTCACTCGTTAACTCATTGACCGTCATTTGTCTTGCGACGTACGACGCATTGTACTGTTATGTCAACATACAGTGTGTATCAAAGTATTTTGTCACTTTGAAAAGCATCAACCAGTAATCTTAATAACCAAATGCTGATTAATACTGGATTAAGAGTTGTTACATTCCATAGCATTTGAGTTACATTTTAACTTGACATCTAAATTTTTCCTTTACACAGTATGGTTTAATCATAAAATCAAATTAAACGCGAAATTTTCTACAGTACCAAGTAAAGACACTCGAGATGTTTTGCGCCAACACTCACTTTACTGATATCATTCATAAATGGGGATATACAGTAACGGTCAGTGATACTTTCATTATTTATGGACTTAAAAACAAGTTTAACTTGCTAACTTTACCAGATTCAAATCTTTCAGAATCTCTCCATCAACCAAATATATCATTCTATTATAGCTTTACTGTATTTTTAAAGAAAAATATTGCCCGAAAGTGACATAATGGAATGGTACACGGTACATGTACAGTACTGTATGAACTACTGTACTGTACAGTGTACAGTACAGCAGTATGGAGTCATCAACACACTACGGTCACTCACCCTCAGTATCGTGTTGCACGGTAGTTACAGTTCCGTATGCGACGACAGTATGCTCCAGCTGACGCGTATTAAACAACCTACAGTACATCTCGGACTCAAGAGATCGAGTCATGCATAAGTTCACAGCACGATCCAGACTGGGATAGGCTACGGCGTAAAGATAACTGTACAGTGTACAGTATAAGAAAAAACTGATATCTCAACGGGCTGGAGACACGACCCTGTACGTCACCTTGTAAAGGAGATAAAACAACGGTTCAGTCATCGAGACGTCAATGATTCTACGATACGGTACGATACAGTACCATACAGTGGACGACGGTTCGGTCTCTATATTATTTTCACTGAGAATCCACACCCGACGTACGTATGGTATGGAAATTTCACTTCACTTGCTGGTATTTTACGCTCTCTGCACCTTCCTACCTCCCATTAATAACTAACTGTACGCCAGTGATTCCGAGCTTTGAAAGATCAATTTTTTCAAAGACAGCAATTCCAATTTTTTTTCATTCCTTCTTTGATTTTAGAGCTTTTAATGAAGGTATTTGTTTTTACTTGTTGTAACTTGGGTTGATTAAGTGACGTTGAATATTTTATTTTACATCAATTGGCTGACATGGTCGTAGCAATTTCCTCCATCTTTCTTACATGTCGTGCAATTTTTCAATGTACAGTGACAGAAAATTGAAGGAAGGCTTAATTCAATACAGTATTATCATTTTATGGTCGGCTCATTGAAATTGTGTTTATTCGTTGAATTGGTTCAATAAACGTCTGGACTAGTTTAAAGCGTTTGATAGTTATTCAACAAAAGCAAATTATTGTATAATTGAAGTATCAATCGTTGTTAACTACAGTACAACCTGTGTTCATCAATTAGAATTGTACGGATTGCAAGTCGAGAGACAGAGATAGACGTACTTGATGTAAGCATACTTGGCCTACTGATTATGTCTTCATTGCTTAAAGCTGTTACTGAATTTCAAGGTGAACATGAAGGTGATCTGCCATTTAAATGTGGTGATTTGATATGTATACTAGAAGAGGTAGATAGTAATTGGTGGAAAGGCAAATTAGGTGAAAACATTGGAATTTTCCCTGTTAGTTTCACTCGAGAAATATCCTCCCAATTTATTGCTACTGATGATTTCCGTGGCGATGTTGGTGGCGATTTACCCTTCACACGAGGGGATGTCATTACTGTTACGGAACAGATCGACGAGAATTGGTATCGAGGCGAAATGGATGGACGTCATGGTATATTTCCTTCATCGTTTGTAGCTGAAAGCTTTCAACAACCTACTGCTACAACTGATTACCATGACGATTCTTACAATAATAACGATTACACTATCACACCTTCAACACCGACTATATCTAAGGTGGACAATAATGATGACACCAATGTACAAACCAAAGACTCCAGCTTACCACATGCCACAGAATCGACTAGTAGTCCTCAATTAAAAGTCAAGAAACCTCCTATTTCACCCAAACCCAAGATCGATCCCATCCTATTGCAAAATAAACGTTTAAATAAATCCTACAGTGAAAGTAGAGTCAAAAAGCAATTCGCTCCTCCTGTACCGACACCTCATCAACAACTAGCATCAACTACATCCGTTATTACGGAGGGCTCTACGAGCATATCGATCCAGTCTTCTGCAACTGCATCAACACTAAATACTGAAAGCACTAATAAAGTTAAGCGACATGCACCACCTATTCCTGAACCAAGGAGTAAATCAAGTAGTGTAATTGGTCTTTCAGGAACATTGTATGAAGACGGTAAACCTCGTACTCCACCACCTCTGAAACCAAAACCAAAGATTACATCTTCTCAGTTACTCAAACTAGATTCAAAAGTGTCCAAATCTCAATCATTCAATCATGGCATTAAGCAAGATAATCAAAATTTAAGTACTAATCTTAGTGAAGACAATGATACGGTTGCAACCAATTTACAAACCCATCAAGACAGCAGTCCAGCAAATTCTAGGGTGCCGACACAAAGCTCTTCACAAAATATCCTGTCTAAATCAGATCATGATGACCATCAAAATGTAGATCGGAAGAGCTCAGAATCTGAAGCTCGTGCAAATGATATTAACACTACTAAAGAAGGATCTGATAGCTTAGCTTCTTTATGGCAAAGTTGGGAAAGTGGTAACATTGGTGCAAGTAAACCTAAAAAGAAGGAAAGGGTTCCTATGATTCAAGCTGAAAGATTTAGATCACATACCATTGCAACAACTTCTATTGCTGAAGTTGATCCTGCAGGTAAAATCGATATTATAAGTTCTGGTCTTTCCATGAACACCACGTTGTCAGCATCATCCGCAGCTAGGAGTGCTTTCAGTCGTTCGAGCCAGGCTTCTATAATGGGTTCCAGAAATTCTACTGTAGCTAGTAACCAACAATTGGAAACTATTGTGGATAGTGATAACGAGTCTTTGCAAGGTACGATCCTTTTTAATACATGATTCTTATATGTCTTTGACGAATAAAGAACAATAAATTAATCAGTGGCTTATTCTTTGCATATTTTTTTGACAGTTGGCAAAGTCCTTGAGGAAATCCCTGAGGAAATTTCGTCTGAAAAATATACCGAGGACAATGCTAAGGTGTCCTCGGATTCGGCTTATTTCGTACCTTCTGTTGACAATTCCAACATGACTGTTGCACATACCACAGATGTAAAATCTACTTCTCATATGAAAACGGATAATGAAGATCATGTATATGAAAGCTTCGACATGGATTACGGCAATAACGATAGCTCCGATGATTCCTTTGTTGATGCATATGATTTTATTTATAACTCTCATGAAGAGATCAAATCTGACAGTTTTGAGAATATTTATGAAGATGTAAATATAGAATCCATAATGGATGGTAAGCTTTCTATATGGTTTACGGTGAAATTGGCTACTAAATCCAGATTAAACACTTACTCTTGACACTATAATCATTCCTAATATTATAGATAGCAATGCAGAAGAAGAAACAGAATGCGAAACTATCGATAGTGTTTTAGATAAAATAAGTCACCTAGAAAAGGAGTACGATGTACGTAACTTAGAGATGAAATTCAAATTATTGTTGCGGTATCATTCTTATTAATTATGATAGGAGCCTACTTTCATTTATTATCGTGGAACTTTGTTGCCGATCCCCATAACTTAAGCACTATTTTAATCCCTTCCATTAGATTACAAATGAAAAATATGAACAACTCTGTAGCATATGTCAGGATGGTGATAACTCAGATGCTACTGCAATCGAAGTTCGGAATACCTATGATCAATTGACAGATTTATATAACAAACTTGGAGAGCAACATGGTAATGCTCATGGCTTTCTATGGATATCAAAATCGAATAATACTTACGTTTAAACTGTACTTATCATTATATTTGTAGAGAAACTAGATAAGTTAAAGAAAGAAGAAGCTGAACTTAGGGAAGCGAAATTAAAGAAGCATGGAAAAGTCGTTGATGAACTAATATCTACTGAAGAATCATTTCTCCGTGACATAAAAATATTGCTGAATGAAGTATTTGAGCCATTGAAGGCAAAATCTCTAAAAGAAGTTAATTATGTGGTGTTATTTAACAATCTTGACGACGTAATCGAGTTTGCAGAAGAATTATTCGCCGGGCTTAAAGATGCGCAAGCTTCTGCCAATATCGATAATAATATAGGTAAAATAAAACGCTGTAATTAATTTTCGCTGCTGTTATGCCAGTACTACAACTGTTTTCACTGTGGATATTTTTTTACTTTCAGCGCATTGCTTTATTGCACATGCTGAGAGAATGGGAGATGTTTATTCGCGGTACTGCAAAAATTACCCTGATTCTATTGGTATTTTAGAAAAAGTAAGTAAACTTCAACTATATAAAATCGTTTTAGGAATTATCTAACTGATTGATGATTTTACAGTATATGGAGGATGAAGATTTATCGAAACATTTCGATGAATTATTGGATAATGCAAGGTATTATACAGTTGTGCGTATCATGATTTATATTAACTAACTTAATTAGTATGTACGCTGATGCGTCTTATGTAATATTAATACTTAGGCAATACGTAAACTGTCTGAGCTTGGAATCGTTATTGATAAAACCTGTTCAAAGAGTGTTAAAATATCCTCTCTTGGTTGGCGAGCTGATTCAAGTAATGAAATATTTCAATTGTCATATTTCATATTTATCATAAACATAGAATTAGTTGATTAAATGTATAAATTCGCCTTATTTATGCTTATGTATTACAAATACCGTGTATTTTGTAGACGTTGCCTGAAAATGAAGGTGCAGATAAAGAAGTTTTGGGAATTTCCCTGCAAACTATTAAATCAGTGGCTAAGAAAATTAACGAGAAGAAAAGGCAGAAGGAATTAGGTTGCTTGTAGTTATAAAACTACGCGTGATAAAGGTAACTTTGGGGTACTTATTTTACTGTTGATATTATTATTTATAGTTCAAAAGTATCAGAGTGGAACTGGGATTGAATACGGTTCATATAGCAAACTTCCGCATTCTATAAGGAAGAAAGCTGTTCGTGTTGGAATGAGAATGATCCAGAAAACTGGACTTGTTTATCAGGTAAGATCCATTTTGTAGCATACTATACTGCAATAACAAAGTCAGTAAAGCTTTATTAGCACATAGCATTTTAGAAGTAACGGGAGATATGTTAAACGCCATACGATTGACGTTTAGGCCCACCTTGCAGGGTCTATTATGTTACCCTTTAATCTTAGACGACCGTTGCACTGAAAAAGTAACAAATTTAAATTTACTATGATTAGACCAATGATGGTGTGTATAATGAAGAAGTTAGAATACTCAAAGAATTGGAAAATTATATAAGAAGATTTGTGCGATCTATTAAAAGTTATCTGTCGCGAATGAAGGTAATTCATCGTTAAAGAAAAAGTATTGCCAATCTATCAAGAATCATTTACCTTTAATCATTGCGCAATGTTGTAGGAAAGCTCTGAAGCTTGCAATTCATTTTGTAAGACTATAAGCAACTTATATGAAGGTGATATTGAATCATCCTTATATAAGCAGCTAATAGCCGCTTTAAAAGAATTCTCTGATGTGCTATCCCCAGAGAATGTAAGTGGATCTTTTAGAATTGTAATAAAATTGGTCTATATTTACTGAAACTAAAATGCAGTTATTTCTGTATTCTATTAATAAGGTTTCATATATAAAAAAAAGAGTCATTCATACCTTAAACGAAATATTGGCTCAGTTTAGCAATCCGCAGAAATTGATTAAGAAATGCGCTGATAAAAAGTTAGATTTTGACAATCTTTTACCGAAAATAGAAAAGACTAAGGATGCTGATAAGCTGAAAACGGTACGTCTATGTTCTAGTTACAAAAATCTTAAAGAATTTTCAACACTTCAGAAATTCATTCCTAATTAAGAAATTACTATAATAAATGATCAGATCAAAGCCCAACTCGAAACAGCAGAAGCCGATTATAACGCTCTCAAATCTCACCTACTGGAAGAATTACCCCGTTTTACTAGCAAGGTCGTCGAAGCTGTTAATATAGCTGTTGCATGCTATATATGGTCTAATAAACAATTAGCAAAAAAGATGAAGGAATTGCATGAAATGGTCCTAGCATTGGTTAGAGAAAATATAGTTGATTCGTTGATTCTGGAAATTATATATTAGTCGCATTTGTACTTACGTCATGTCTTTCTTATTTCTCTAGCCTTCGTTTGGTGGTAGTGATCAGATTGTAAATGAGTATGTGTATAGGGCAACTCCAACAATTGAACGTTTGAGTTATTTAAGCTTCGTACCTGGTAGTTTTGTTCCCACTCTATCTCGTAGTTATCTGACGAATACTAAAGTAGCGAACTCCAGGGTAAATATTAAAATAGATTACCGTAACGTTTCTTTCTTTTCAAGATCCTAAAACTATTTTTAATATTTCTATATATGAAGAAATACGTAAGAAGATCGCAAACCTTTTCTTGATGACTAAGTCGTCTAGGATTCAGGTGGCAATTTATTCATTACTTTGGAATACAATTTGTTATTTGATAACGATGTTGACTGTATATCTATAAAAGCATAAGTCTAACAATTTTGCTTTGAAATAAAATTAATAATGAGCAATGTTGATTTTACAAGCCATAGCTTTGATGAAAACGCATTATTTTCCAATTAATTATCTATCGCTAAGCTTGAAGCGTTAAAGTTTGCTTTGATAATAGGAGGACTATGACTATATCCATTTTATCATATTTTTCAATTAATTTGATATTTATTTTGTTATTACCATATTAGATATCATTAGTATATCGCTTTTGAATGAAGTATTATCTGTAAACTTCGTTTTGTATACTTTATCTTTGATATACAGTATTGATCTATAACTTAAATTGCTATACAGTATATATACATATTTTATCCTCGTTAAACATTACTTAGGCTTAGATAACTATAAGTGTATGGCTTCGCAAGACAAGTGATCATATTCCAATAAGTTAGGAATGTAAACGATATCATCAATTGGATATACTCTATTGGAAAATATCACAGGCTATAAGTATAATAGTTAGCTTTTTAAAAAACATATCTATCCGTACGATATGATCTTTTAACCGGGTTATATTTTTTTAACCGATGTTTGCAACGTTTTTGTGACATCATATTATTATATTCTATACATTAGATATGTCATGAACAAGGACAGCGCATAAATTCTTATTTTATTAAGCATATCTATTGCATTATGAGAGTATAGCTATGACTATTCGTATTACTAACGTGTACATAACTATTCGTACTGATTGCTATCTATAATAGATAACGGTATGATTTATCAATTCCGGATATATGGTACTACTACACCAATCCGAGATGCAAAAGAATTTTCATTTATGTAGAACAACTGCGCTTAAAAATATCAGATATATACGCGTATATTATAATTCATAAATATCATTTTATAGCATATGTTATGTCTATTTCTTATTAAACTTATTTATGATACAATTTTTAAAATTATAAAGCTTACAACGTTAATGATAAGCATTGTTGTTGTATAATACTTCGACTCTTCAAAATAGCTGAAGTAGATCAAATCTAATAACGAATTATTTCTTAAATAGTATTGACTGATATAGTAAACTTAAGTATATAATTATAAGATTACTGCATGTGTTTTAGTAGAGAGAGCAGATGTGCGATGTATTTCGGATTTCTCTCAACCTGCAAGAGGTACTAATAACTTTTAAAGAACGATTGATAGCAGTAGACGACAAAGTGTTATTTCCTAATTATACTTAAATGGTATTTAATGCGATTGAGTCATATAATCTCATCGGATATTTATACTTGTATAATACAGCAATTTAACACCTGGAGACATGATCTATGCGACTTATAGTATTACCGATTTGATAATAATTATAATAAGTATTACTAGTAACTTCCCCACCAGTGATGAAGACTTTAATCACGATAATAATTTAGCTAGTAATGTTCCTCAGTTAAGTGTCTGACTAAAGGGTAAATATTCATCATATAAATAGATAACGAATTTAAAATTGCAGTCATACTTAAGGTCTTTGAGTTTCTGGAAAGCTTTAAATATGTTATCAAAGAATAGTGGTAATTTGCATCAGCTTTATAGTAATTTACTGCTGAATCTTTAAATTATTTGCCATATCGTTCATTCCAATTTAACTTTTTTAAACAGCTCAATAAAGTTGAGCATGTACTGTAGTTAGTTAAATCGACACAACAGCAAATAGTTATGATTGCGAAGTATCGCATTAAGCTCTAGATGGTAATAAATAACGTACAGGAAATTCAAGTCGTCTGCGTGCGTATCATGTCACTTATCGATATTAGCTAATACTTACGTCAACAGGCGTTGATACCAGAATAATTGCCGTATGAAGTCGTTGTTACTTTAACACAATGCTTGAACAGATACCATATATTTTTTTTATACTGGTAATGCATATACAAAAGGATATTTATTAGCTTCTAATTCTTGATAGACAGGCGCTTATTAGGAGCAATACAATCATTCATCATAGCAATTGTTTTACAAGCCATTACAAGAAATTATAATTTAGCCTAAACTGATGCACTTCGAAACGACAAACTATAAATTATATCATCATTGATAGAAAAGAACAGGAAATCGATATACATTCTCGAAATTTTTGCAATTAGTATTGAGTGATGTATTTATTATTGTTCTATATAAATACGCATCAATTTCGTATTGATTAACTTTGAACGAATATATTCCTGACTTGCATATCATAATCCGGCCTATCCTCTAAAATCGATACCTTAAAGTCAAATTACGAGTACTGTAGATTGATATTATGATGAAACTGTGTTTCAGCATTGTATACGGAATATGACCTGTATTGACGTTACCCTGTTGTAGTACAAAATAAACTATTGCATGGCTACAAATAATAGGAATATAAAATGTAACAACTGATCTATGCTGAACAATTATCATCGAGGGCTATAATACATGATAGCGATATTATTATCACCAAAAGTCACAAGGCTAAACGCAGATATATTTTCTAGTGCTTTATCGGAAATCGCTAACATAATTTAAGGAGCTAAAATTGCAATCAAAACAATAAGAAACAGAAATACATAGAGTTGGTTAGCGAAATCAATTGATAGTGTCCCTACAGTACAACTTAAATAGAGATTGATCCTTCACGAAATTTAGTACGACCAACAAGGACATTCAAAACAGCCGGTTTTCCTTCCTTAGCAGCAGCCTGAGCTTGCTTGATTATAGAAATGGCTTCATCGCCATTAGAACTATCAATTCTAAATCCAACGCCTCCGTAGCCCTTTGCTATCGTATGATAATCCGAAAACTGAAAGATTTGCATAGGATATCGTTAGTAAATAAAATGTAAACTGAATCATACGCTACTGTGATGTAATATACGATGCGATTATTACTGAAAACTTACAAGCAAGTCGCACGCAACACCACTACCAAGTAGTGGTACTTGGTCTCTCTTGATTTGTGACCAGGCTGCATCATTGCCGATGATTGCTAACACAGGGGCCTAGTCATTTCAACGTTACTTAAGTCTTTGCGATATTGTAAACTAGGTTGTAAGTATAAAGTTTTTTATTCAGGATATCATCTTCTTACCTTATGTCTATAACAAGTATCGAACTCTGCAATACTATAAGCTGAAGAGCCATCACCATATATTATCCAAACTTCTGCATCAGGTCGACAAAGCTTAGCTCCCAACGCGAAACCGCCACCGACGCCTAAGGTACCGAATGGGCCGGGATCTAACCATGTTAGAGGTCCACGAGGTCTTTAAATAAACGAACAAACATTAAGCGAACTCATTCAATCGCGTGATTGATGATAAAAAAATTGTGCGTTAAAAAATTACCGTAACACATATGCAGCAGTACCAACAAAGTCGCCTCCATCAGCAACTAATATGCTATTATCATCTAAGCACTCTTCTAATTGGTATAGGACTTTTATAGGATTCAGGTGTTGAGTAGTTGGTTGTTTTGCCATTTCTAAGTTTTTGTTTTCTTTTTCTGCATCACGTTGCCTCAGGGTTTCAAGCCAATCCGATGGACATTTATAACCTTTCAAGCGATCACATAATTTCAAGACAAAGGTACCAACATCACCTATTGCAAATAATATTTATAGCGGTTATTCAATCAACTGATGTTACCCAATATAACATACGTCATATTAGTAATCCGTTTAGGGCTGACCTTCTATACCCACAGTAGGTGACCAAAACGCAGGCGAATTCTTTTAGAGCAAAATCAATAATAGTTAATTAGTATTATTTTTCCATATTAATTTGGGACTAATAACAATAAGCGAGTTTAATACCAAGTAAAGGAGTTCTATGTTACGATTGACAGCTATTATCTTGGATTTTTTATTAAGTATTCTACCATAATTTAATCGAAAGTCACATACAGCTCCTATTTTTTGAAAAGATAAAATGCACATAGTAAAGCAACTATATTTGGGGGTCTTTAGTATGAATATGTTGCTATCTATCATATCTTGGTGGTGATTATACTGCATAATTATTGAAGAGTATTGTCGTCATCTATGGTGACTATAATACATTTCTTAGGGAAATTACCAGCTAAAATAACAACATCCGCTTCATGAACAGCTTGACGTCTCTGCTGTCGTATATGAATGGGATTTTTTCGTCCTAATAAGCCGCGAGACATACCGCCAAGAAAGCAAGGGATCCCCAATGACTATTTGAAAGGACAACGCAAATGCTTTACTTTACATGATTAATTAGTAAAATATTGTATGAATATAGTTAGCAGTGATTACAATGTCGTTAGAATAATTACTTCTAGAGCGGTTTTAACATCATTCGCGGGAACTGGAGGTAAAGTTGTTTGACTACCTAATAATATGACCGGTTTCTTTGCGCGAGACACAATCTCTACTGCTGATTGTACTAAAGAAAACATGAACCAAATATTAGGCAAATATTACAAGGTTAGATATATTCCGCTTGTTAGTAAGAATGATCGCTTCGTATTATATTCAAATCAATACTTTGACGGTTGGAAGGCATTGTAATCTTTGGAGGAATGGGTTCGCAGTTTCGTTGAGTAAAGGCCCCAGCGAATAAACCATTTACATGGTTTAAAAGATACCTATATAGTTTAATTATTACATGATTACTTTTTATGCATATGTTTCGTTATTATCAAATGCAGGTAAATTTGAATCTGACCAACGAAGTAATCTCGCAAGCAATCCGTTATCCGAACTCTACAATATTGGATAAATGAGAAAAATTTTTGTTAACTTTCTCAAATATCTACTACATTTATAGTTGACAAGATAAAAGTTTGTAATGCAAAATAAATCAATGCGTTAACCTTTCCAACAAACTCAGTCGATACCGACGGATAGGAGTATAAAATATCAATCGGTAATTCTACGAAGACGGGGCCTTCAGAAGAGAAATTAATTGCATTTAACGACACACGATTGAGAATATAAAAATAGTGCTAGTTGTATTCTGATCAGTAACCAATTTATGAGTTCATTTTGTACATGAGATTTGTACCTGGTATTCCTGAGGCAGCTTCATAAATTGCACGCCTAAGCGTTGGTACTATTTCACGAACTCTTTACAGTAAATACAAATACAACGTTAGAATTTTGCTTTTGTACAACTTTTAACATTGTTATGCATGTCATTAATTCCCAAGATGACGATTAAATTGTTAATACTTTTCTACGGTAGCAGTATATTTGCAGAGAGGCTTAAACAAGGACATTTGATCAATATCTTGTAGAGATCCACGACCCTATTGTGTGTAATGGGTTGATAAAGTTAGTATCGTCTTGCTACGCAATCTACAACAGCACACCTACATAGCGTTAACTTTTTGCAAACAGATAACGATGATACTTTTGTGTGCTACCTTAAGTAACGTCGCTGCGGCACCTCCTATGAGTAAAACAGGGGATTCTGCCATTTGAGCATTTTTTATAGCAGTAATAGTATTTGTGACACCTATAGCGATTGCAAAATAGATACAAAATGAAATATTTGTATTGGCCAGATAATTAGGGTTCTTATTCATACATTATCGTAGCTCTAACCAACTCCTGTTTGACAAACCTGGTCCAGCAGTTACAATTCCAACACCAACTACACCTGACATTCTTGCAACGGCATCAGCAGCATAGATTGTCGTAACCTGTGACATCATGATGAGAGTTATACGCGTACAGTATGTTAAAATTAATTAACATGGCATTTTTAAGATATTGGTGAGATTGTAAAATTATAAAACGATACAAACGCTATTTACTTTAATTCCATAGTAAAGCTAACCTCATGGCGGACATCGATCACTCTTATCCCTAGACGTTCACAAGCTACAAGAACGGGTGAAATATGGCCACCACATAGCGTAAATACGAACTTGATATCATGTGCCTTATGAAGAATCATTGAAATAGGTGTCGGTTATGAAATATATCCTTAGTTAGTCTTTAAAGTGCAACGGCGCGTGAGTAGTAACAACGATTTGTATAAGCTTTTATTTATAAAATCATATAAAGCTTTCATGCTGCGTGAATTAATCTACAGTAAGTAATACTTGTATTGGGTTTTATCGCTGCTAACGCTAAATTTAAAACAATATATTAAAATAGTGATAGTAAGCGATAAAACTAGTTGTAAAGAATTAGATGGACAATTTATTGATTTCTCTCACTGAAATACTGTAGGAAAGGATACGCCATATTACTGTAGTATCTACTTGTAATTTTCATTAATCCATTCTTATGTGTACGTTCCTTAATATTATTGCAATTACAATTACTTGCGAATTTGCTATAATGTCAAAGTAAAAATTGCTACAGGATTACACATTATCCAGTGTCATGAGGTTTATCATCGATATCCTCCTACATGATCGTTTCTTCTATGCAAGCAAGTACAACAGATTAGAAGTATCTCAAGTACATGCAGAACATTAGGTTATGTACTGCTTGCTTTGATATCAAAGGAAGAATTGTAATTCAAGTACTCGTCACTAACGAGATTACATAATGCGTTATAACATCTGTTTGATTTAATTATATTTATTTGTTCTATTTAATTCAAAAGGCAATCTCAAGGGCGCATTTATATAGTTTAACGTACCTTTAACACTTCTCCAACCAATTCACCACCATTGCGAGTGCATTTTTTATCAACCTAGACGTAACACCATATTAGAAAGTTAACATGGGCTGTAAAGTAATTCATTATAGGCAATGCAGAAATTAAAATTCAGTTTTGCCATTTCTTAAAATAAAACGGAGAGAGTTGAGTTAATCTGCGTGCGTTGGTGCAGGACATACTCGTAAGTAGTATACATCAATATATTGCACAGTTAATTACAGCTTGATTATATTAGTCAAGTGTAGTAATCATTGCGCAACTTAAAATTGCAATTGTTTGCTATTATTTTCAATCGTATAGTACGCTGAGTCTGTCACTACCATGGCCATCAAGGATGCAATGATGCTTCTAAATAAGTTAATTTATTGTGATATGAAGAAATGTTGAAGGGACAGCACAGTACATAGTGATGTTATATATTACAGGACGTAGCTTGCAAAATAGTAGAATCGCGCGAAAGGAAAGATTTGAAATATGAAATTGGTCAACAGCTTTGATGAATTATGGAAATCAATCTCCATAGGCATATTCCACATAACCGGAGGTAGGAGTGAGTGTACAACACTTTTAAACTTCTGATTTGTTAGGTTACATTCCTGATTGATGTATCCGGCACCATATCCAGCGGCACTACGTATAGCAACCACAGCGACGGACTACTCCAATTTTTGACGTTCAAAATTTAGTAGTCCATGCTATAGTACACAAGCACTCTTGCATACAGTCTCCCATATCAAGATTTTTTCCCCAACCCTTACGGTAATAATCAATAATCCTAATCCTAACCCTAGCCCTAATAATGTTATGTAGAAATTTTATTTCACTCCTTTAACAGTAGTGTGCATTATTTATTGATATTATTCGTATTTAGAGACCCTCTATCAAAAGATCGGGTCTGTCATATACAGTACAGCATGGAATATAAGCTCAATTCTATTAGGCCCTAGCTTAGAATATTATCGGATATTGTACAACACTAATTAGATTATGGTATAAGAATGAGGATATGAATCATGGCAATTTCCAATGCCATAGAACATCAAAAATGGATCGAAAAACAAGTGAAAATGCTGAATGGGTTGAATTATCAACAACACTAAAAAACAACATGTAAGCCCCCAAAATTGGGGGATCGAAGTAAGGAGCAGGGGCAACTAAAAGGACAAAGTTCAGTTAAAATTTCTGTTGCAAGAGTTGATATATTACTGTATAGTGGAAGAGCATTTATTCAATTTAGAAATACCAGGTAGGGAGATGTAGCTGTAGACTACCGATGCATTATCGATTGTACCCGTCTTATTTATACTATCGTTGCAAGCCATGATTTATACTAGGAAATAGAATAGGCCTAGCAAGAGTATGAAGGAATACAATATTAAAATAAACATTTGTCAAAACAGCTTGTTATTGCGTCAATACGATCAGCAGATGCAAAATGAAATTGTATGACGATGATGGATAGAAATGCGGCTTTTTGTGTATCGTTGGAGCTATGTAAGCCTTTCTGTTCGAACGTACAGTCGTGAAATAACGATTTCATTCCCACTATCGGGGTAAAATTCTACTTGTGATGCTAATAAAAATGAGTTGGAAACGGCAGGATATCCACCCATTCCAAACATCGATCCATTCTGTTTATTGTATGAGCGGCACTACTATCCAGTTGCAATCAATCATGCATGACACGATTTTGGACGCTCCATCGTCGAATAGCCGCGTTTGAAAATTGATTTACTATCTTTACGTATGCTATGGTCTCCATTATACATTAGGGGATTGGGAATTTGATCATTTGCTAATGCAATGATGACCACCAAGGCAAAGGAATCGCATCAAAATGGATAGTGTCGCGACTTCCAATAGCGAATATGTGCTTCATTATATCAATGAAGCAATGAATGACTTGAAGCGCTTGTCTACGCCGTGATGACCGGATAAATGAAAAAGTTGCTAGATCATTTGAGCTCATGGCTTTATCATCGTCTCCCTATCGACCTTAACAGCTTTGTTGCTAATGGATAGGATGTAAGAAAAGTCTAGCAAAAGGAAAAGATTGAACTAGAAAGAAAGAAAATGATACGATCGAGCGCATTGGTTGGTGTTGGTAGTAAGCTAGTCGGCTAGAATACGAGTTGTACTACAGTACTCTCGGATGCTTTCTTTGCTTCTATCCGTGTTGGATAGTACTAGTAGGTCCTATGAAATGGCAACATCATCCCGTCTGTGGTAGAGATTGGAAAATAGGTGGAAATAGCAATCCTCTCCATGCAAATTATCATGGAATCGTTGTCAAAACATCGACAAGAGTCCTAAAGCCAGCCAAAGGTATATACAGTATGATATACTCCATATCGTGCATCCTGGCGAGCATCATCTCCTACAAATGGCGTTGAACAATCGAGCATCGCATCAACCGATCGTATCCTTTTAACCTACTGCTATAAACATGATGTCCATTAGGGATTGTCTGCCATTTTGCAGTCTATGTTATTTGTAGAGCAAAGATGGAGAAGATGGAAAGAAATGCTAGCATGAAACGACTCCATTGCTAGCCAATGGTGGTCTCCCACGACAATACCTTCATAGTGACATGATCGTAGGTATGGTAATGATGGCATTGCACTGCCATCACTACTCGTGTACTAGACAGTAGGGTATGATAGGGCTCCATGCAAAAAATCAAAAATAAGCCTCCATCCCACTATTCATCAACCAGACCATCACGATGGACAGCTACCTTATAGATCCATTGATCGATCAGATGCAATTGCTTGTTTAGGAAGGCAAAGATGATTAGAGCTATGGCAGCAAGGATGGATACTATGATCAGGATAGCGTGTTGCAATACAAACTGGAAGAAATCATCCCAGGTTAATTCTGCCATGGCGATGGTGCTTTAGGGTTAGCTTTTGACGTGGCAAAGTGATGCAGCCCGCAAGCCCAGGGCAAGTTGAACACACCCCCGGTCGGTCGGGCCCGTGCCTGATGCATGATTGTATTGAGTCCACTAGTCAGTAGCAAGTACGGCAGTCTCCTGTTTATGACACGGCAGTATGGTTGTAAAAATCCATACTGTACCACCCCTACAAGAGGGTTCGTGAACCCTGCCGGCGTACGTACACCCTAGTCACTCAGTAGTCAGTAGTCGTGGCTCATTGGACGCTGACATCCAGTAGGGTCACCCTGCCTACTGGATGTCCTACTGTACAGTACAGTGTACTGTAGGATCGATCAAGAAAACCGGAGTGGTCCGTCTCGGACCGGATCGGATCGCTACCGTCAGCGTAGTCCGTCTCCGCTCTTGACCTCTGTTGTAGTGTAGGCTACCAGCAGTCTCTCTCTGACCTCTTCTTCCATCATGACAAGACGTTTTTGACCTCTTCTTCTATCATGACAGGACGTCTCTGACCTTTACTTTTATCATGACAAGGCATCTCTAACCTCTTCTTCGATCATGACAAGACCTCTCTGACCTCTATCATTATTTGATAAGACGTCTCTTGAACCTCTTCGATCATGACAAGACCTCTCTGACTTCTATCATTATTTGATGAGACGCCTCTTAAATCTCTTCTCTATCAGGACAAGACGTCTCTTAAATCTCTTCTTCGATCAGGACAAGACGTCTCGAACCTCTTCTTCGATTTGGACACATTGCAGTCCTGCCACGATATACTGTACAGTCCTTGGCAGTGGAATAAAACTAAGAAAGAGATGATATCTCAGGCACTTGATCCTGATTTTTCATCCAGTGCATTTTGTGTATTTTTAATTCAAGTAACATTGCAGTCCAACATTGCTGCAAGCAGATACTTGTAGTCTAAAACAGGTGTAGGTAGGATACAATGATGGTGTAGTTGTTCTACTCTACAGCAACTACAACATCATTCTAGCCTACCTAGACTATGGACTCACCGTCGATAATGCTCGTATCATCGGCAATGCTGCACATAAACTTTTAAAATTCGATCCTATTTCCATGAAAATAAAACTAGACTTTTAAACCTTCTAAATTGGCTAATTGCAGCCTGTAGGCTAGATTCGGTTGTGTGCAAAGCGATTGTCATGCCCTTCACCTTCTCTTGTCATCCTTGCAACATACTGTAGAGTGTAGTACAACATCCAAAAGGATATTCTAATGGCTGACAGCTCATTTTGCACAATACGGTCCTTATTACTCTACCCACAGACAGAGATTTGGACCGAACCGTTTTGGCGCGCTATGTTCGCATTTTAAATACTGTATATATAAACTATAGAGTACTAAATTACAGCAAAAGCAACTTTGGGACAAAAATCGATCCTTAAAGTTAAAAGTCCCGGGTAGTAGTAATCTGAGATATCAAATTGTCTTCTACATTTCTATAGGCGATAATGTCCATTTCGTTAGCGACAGAAGCGAGAAATCGCAGTAGTCCAAATGCATTCAATCGCCACCATCACAATACTACAATTTACTGTATAGCCATGGGCTACTAAAATACCAGCAGTCTAGGACGAAGCACATCCAACAGAGGTTATTGACAGAGCGATTTCTTCTGACCGAAGTAATAAAATCAAATCGATTGCACGAGAAATAAGATATTTCTATCTGCTAACGTTAGTTACTGCTTGCATGTAGAACGATCCAGATCTCTCCAGTAGCTAAGCTCAGGAAAGATTTTGGTCGGCATCCCCCGATACTGTTACATTTGAACTCCATATCCCAAGATAGCACTGGCAAAATAACCAACTCATGGAGTAGAAAAGACTTCTAGGATCAGTCTACAGTACAGACATTTTGACGGCGGATCCTTGTAAATGAACTCATTCTCTTTCGTTCGCTATAAAATTTAAAATTTATTGCCGAAAACCCCCCAATTTTGATACATTTGCTTGTAGCAAAATGTGGAAAAATTCACCGTCCACAACTGCTCTAACCCTAACATGGGCAAGGTTAGGGTAAGGGTTACAGTAGGTGTTCGCTATACGGACAGAAAGACAGATTCTGTTCAGGTGTAAGTACCCCTTGATACGATTTCGAAAGCTCTACTAACGGTGGTCAGCGCTATACTGATTTATGGCTGAATCCAACGCTAAGGCAACATTCAATCTCTCCCATTATACCCTATACTACCATACTACCATCGTATTGGTAATTTGGTATACAGTGGGATCGGAACGGACCACTTCCAGCAACTAGTTCTACCTTCCAGCTGCCATGGAGACTCCTGACACGAAGAAGCAAAATGTTGATAAAGGAGAGGACGCTGATGAAATCTTATCGTCATTATGGCGTAGTGCTAATGAGTTAAAGGTGATTTAATACAATTCAAACTGTCATGATGTATCAGTTTGGCGGTATGAAATGACAAAGATTGAAACCTTGATGATATATCATCATAACTATTTCAATATCTTAGGGCCATATTTACAGTACCATCATGAAGCAGTATGATGAATTTATCCATACCTACAACACTATGAATGAATTGCATCTTAAAGTTAAAGAAATGGATGTTAAGTTACGCAATGTCAGTAAGAAGATGCAGGTAAGGACCTCTAACCTCCTCTACTCGGGATACATTGTATCAGTATACGACAACAAGTTACCCAATTGTAGTGTCTTGTCATTGACTCAGGGTTATACTAGTTACTCAATACCAAGATCTACTGATGTTGATAGTCTACAATATTGACGTTTCTTCAATACTTACTTCAATCATCAATAAGCTAGATTGATCAAATATTACAAACCCTACTTATGATGCAATTAATCCATAGTAGCCGTTAAATACACTATATCTACATTTCAGAATTCTACTGTACACTTGCATTCAAGTAAACGCAATTCCTTTCACCCCATTTCAACGTTTTACCCTAGCCATTATCCTAACTGTGTCAGTCTAGGCAAAATCAGCCAATTACCTATAGTACCCGTATTCCCTGCTGTCTCTATTTTCACTAATTCAAGGCTAGTCTACTTGCCAAAATTAATTCCAGCTAACGAACCTCGACAACAACCATCAGCTTTTGCTATAGATATTATCGCATTATTTTCACTCTTCTTGTTATCCTTCTTAGGGTGATATTAAACCCTTGTTGAAAACTGCAAAGAATGAGCAAATATCAGTGCAAGACAACTTGAAAATGGTAACTGTCATTGTTGAAGCATTAACACGCTTAAGTCAGGTAAGGAAAAGGCAATATCCAAGATTATAGAAACAAGAATAACGAGAATATTCCCCTATCAATTGTACTATTATAAAAATCGTTCATGTCTTACCTGCTAGATAAATGAACTTTTATCAAGCTTTTCCTTACGCTTGGATCATAAAGAATTTGATCTAGCTGCCAATTGTATTGTTGAAGCTGTAAGTTGATTTCAACTTATTTAGACAATCATCCAACAATAGCACGATTAGTTGCATTTACCTGTGCTATCAAGATTACACTCTAATCCCAAAATCCATTGTAAGGCTTCCTTAATATATTTGCTCTAATAATTGATTTAATAAATTTTAGCAACACATGTTGAGCGAAGTATACGGAAATTGCGATGCTAAAATTTTTAAAGCTTTAAGGGTAGGTAAACTGTGTAGATTGCATTATTCAACTTTTCCCAGTATACATTCACAGTACCTTGAAGCGAACGACTTGGCTGCTATAATTTTATATACGTTTACATTAAACTCAACTTTATCACTTAAGTATTAAGATCCAATTTCCATTGTAGCAAGAAGCTAGAAGGAAAAGGGCAAACTTACAGTCAATACTAGAATCAGAGTGGGATAAGAGCATTTCATGGGCCTTACCTCAGATTTCGTTAAGTACGCCTGAGAAAATTCTTTTAGGAACAGAAATAAAAGTTTGTGCTGATTTAATACAAGGTAAGGTAGTTAGCTAGTTTTTGCCTTCTAAGCGATTGTAAAGTGCTACCAATAAAAAGTCACTGTAAAATAATGAATTCGGACTATTTTTCACACAGTAGTAATCAGAATATGACTATCATATTCTATAAAACACTCAATGCTGTTATTGTTGTTAGAGGGTGATGATAGTGAAAATAAAATTCAACCGGTGGTAACTGCTATGGAGGTACAATGAAATGATTGTTCAATAATTGCCAGTAGCCAATATTTTCAGTTATAACTGATTGAAAGCATGTAGTTATGCTGTTGATAACATTTATACTAATATTTTTACTAGATTCTTGGCATGTTGCGTCCGAAATTAAATACTTTCGGTACTAATTATTCTGATATATAATGCTACTTTAAAACTATAGTATATCTTATTCTCCTGTACCTACTCGTATTTCTAACGTTTATTTTGGATTCTAGCCAAGAAGTTGCTACGTTATGTTCTAAAGCCGTTAATCGCTGAATCTAGGTAAAATATCTTTACAAAATTTTTGTAACTTTTGCTACTATTCATTGTATCCATTCTGTTATACCTCAATTCGCTAGCGTCAAGCCTGCACAAGAAAAATCCAAAACGGTATCACAAACACATAGGCTCTAAAAATTTCATAACTAACATTGAATAACTAAATAGCATAGGATTACACATTTCATACTTGATGTCTATATATTACTCTAAGGAAACCAAACTGCACTTCGTAGTTAGCTTATCTATGAAAAGAAAACAAAGTGAAAAATCCATTTCTCCAGGTATTTCTTTCTATTAAATAATGACATAACTTTACAATTTTACGATATTTTGTGTGTTGAATTTTACAAAACTTTTTTTGTCATCTTGCAAAATAAGATAACTATTATAACAGGCTGGTAGAGGTATTAGTCTTCTTGCATGACCAAGTGTTTGATCGCATTAAAGTGACAGTCAACACAGAAGAAGATAAAGATGATACGAAAGTGTCAAAACCTTTACTTTCGATATTGGGTAAGAAAAATATTAGATTAGAAATTTATTTTTGTAAAACATAATTAACTCCTACTAATTTGCTTATGGATTTGTTAGGTCTTATCATTTGGCCAACGTTATCCAAATCTATTATAGAGGAATATTTAGCAGCTTCAATACCAACATCTTTTTCCGAGGTGCTTTATTCTTAATACTTTTTCATACTATTTGACTTGCAGCATCATGAATTAAATCCACACTTCTAAATTATGTATTGTGTATCAATCCTTTAAAAATTATTGAATATCATTTTCTAGTTGGAAAACTATGCGGAAATTTCTAATCAAACAACTCTATTTGAATATACTCTCAAAGGATTGGGTAAGAGTAGGATTGATAGTATATTACCGAGATTAAAATTTTTATAAAATCTTAGAGGTAGTGGATACTTATTAAACAATTATTCATAGGATATTTGGAAGAAACTATTGATACGTTAACTGACTATACAAAACACGTAAACATGAATTTCGCTAATAAACAGGTTAGATCACATCAGGAACTTTTAATATCCTTCTGATATTTTATCAGCTAAATTAAATATTTCGGAATAAATTATCAGGTGCAAGATCTGTTGGTCACAGCTCGAGATTTACTTAAGAGTGATTTATATAATACTCAGCAAACACAAATATCCCCTGATAAAGCTTTATTCGGTAATTATACCGTAGAAATTAGGAACTGTCTATCAAGTCAAAGTAATAATTGACTTTAAATTATTATATCATACGTAAATAATAAAACAGATTGCTTCATTTTTCAAATTAGATGAATGGAGCCAACCGGATGATTCGGCTTTGAAGGTTGAAAGCGCTCAAATTTTACTACCTGATCACTAATTGAAATCTTCGCCATGATAAAATAAAATTGCTGATACAAATTTATAATCTTTCAGGAATTACATCAAATTGACGAAAACGCTGCTACAGAGAACCCGAAAACATTAGAAATGTCCCTATTTCTTTTTCCTCAATGCAGAGTAAGCACCAATATTTGCGAATTGATGTCGCTCGCGTATGAAACCTTACAAGAGGCTGTAAAATCTACTCCGGACTGGTAAAATTTCATTACTTTCTCTTATTATATGTCTTTATGTTGCTTCAGTTAAGATTAATTATCAGTTGGATATGTTACTGCTTTTTAGCGCTATACAACTGTTTTATGCAACACGCAATATGTTCGATTTATATCTTGAAGTAACCCCCGCATATCATAAGATGAATTTAGTAAGTTGCTATATTACAGTAGTAATTCTCGTCTAAAAATATTAATTGTTGGTAAAAAATTTTTTCCTTATTTTTATTTTCATTATCAGGAAACTATTCCACAGTTATCAGCTTTGCATTATAATAACTGCATGTATGTTAGTCATCACCTTTTAACACTTGGTGCTGAATTTCGTGATCATTTGCCGCCTCCATTATCGAATGGAGCTGCTACATTTGTTGACATTGTACCATTCCTTCGCAGTAGTGGTCAGCAATGTCTTTCACAGCAGTTGGTAAGTAGGTATCTTTCAGTTTAGCGTCTTTCTTCGCCGTATGTATTCTACAATTTAATGACTTTTGCAGCAACGTCAAGAGCAGATTATCAAGAACTGCCTCAATTCCACTGCCAGCTGGAATGAAATAGCTGAAAATAATCGATCTAATGATATTTCGCAACATCTAGAGCAGGCTTTTCACCAGTTAAATCATTTAAGTAGAGTCTGGTTCGACGTCTTGCCGATAAAGTTATGCATGAAATTGATTGAGGACTTGACGAATACACTAATTGTCGATGTCGTAAATAAAATTGTCCAAATTGAGGTTTGAAGTATTATTTCTACATTGATTTCTATTTACCACTGTTGCCATCATGCTTACTTCGTTCTTTAAGTTCATAAATGGATAATTTTTCCCTACGTAGGATATCTCTGAAGACGATGGACATCTGATTCATGACTTATTAGAACTCACTAAAAGTAAGATATTGGAATTATACAGTGGTATTATCAAGAATGACGACAACTTGGTAAGTTGATGCAAATTTAACACTTCAATTGGATGAAATATAGTGAAATTGACATTTAATCACTTTATTAGGACCAGGAAATATCAAACCATGTATCTGGTTGGAACAAACTATCGGAGCTAGCTCTAATATTGGCATTTAATCTTAAAGGAATTGTTGAGAGATGGAATACTCCACAGGTATATAAGGACACTATCTCACTATGTAGTTTAAATATCGCGTTAGTACGTTGTAGCTCCAATTATCGTTTATACTGATTAAAAAATATAATAATCGCTGACAGACTTACAAGTTTCAACACCCCGTTATGTGATTTACTTTTAAAATTGTAGAGCACATTGTCCGCTGCATTTACTGCGCCAGAAGTGCATTCCTTAATCCGTGCTTTGTTCCAAAATACCAAGCAAAGATCAACGGCAATTAACAGCATCAAAACGCTGCATTAACTGCCTGAATAATTATTGTCAGTATGAATGAGGACAAAGCTGCTTTCCGATTTGTATAAATGTTATCTCGTTCAATCATTTACTCTGTTATTACAAATAAACAAATAATATTCTCTATACACAACAGACTACAATATAAAAATTTTAAAACTTTCCATCATTTTATTTAACGGTAGAGATGATTTGTTAACGAATTTTATTATTTCCTATATAGCAAATAATAAAACTTGTAATATAATGGCATCTGTGTGTATTATTCTATTATCACGAAAAAAATCATTGAATAATATTCCATATACATTAAACAAACTGCAGTACCAAGTTAGAACTTTTCATTAATTTATTTAATAGTAGAGAAAATTTGTTGATTGACAAATTATGTTACCTTCATACCTATTGTAAAGAATAAAATAAAATTTATAATGTGATAGCGACAATAAATTTGCTTTGCAGGTAGGGAGCGTACAATTTATTTATTTTTATCACCTTCTACTGTACAATTTAGTTTATTGGCGATCGTGATTGTCATAATTGAAACGTGTTAATAATGTATCCCTGATATATAAAATAATTCGATCATGCATAAAGTCCAGATTAAATCCAATTTTCAAATTGATATATTTTAACACATTTTTACAGACTAGTCAACGCGTAGTTGAATTCTCTGGTGGTAAAACAACTACTTTTAGAAACATCTTACAAATTAGGTTATAATATATAGCTATACTAACGTGCAAATGATAATATTTTAAATAAGCCTTTCGCAATACACAAATATTCAGATAGATTATATAGCACTGAAAAAATGACTACATAGAAAATATCGCTGAATAGAAACCATATGAAGATCTAAACAAAACTAGAGGCTCTCGGGTCTAGTATACGAAATTGGTCAGAGATAGTACTGCCCGGATTTAATTTATGTCTTGTTGATAATGCACTGGACTTGAGAGCTAATTCTGCAGATTCAGCCGCTTCCTTCGACACATCAGCTTTACTATCGGTTACCCGCTCATACCCAGTGTTTTTTCCAGTGTCCCAAGGTTGTTCTATATCTTTACTTGAAGTTTTATTTTTAGGTAACGTATTTGTGTTTACAGGTTTATTATGGGAGTCAGTATCTCCTGGAGAATCATAGTACTGCAGTCTTGGGTCTTTAATAATAGAAGCTTCAGTAGTTGGCTGACGACGGGCACCAAAATCTTTTAGTGCTCCTATCCGTGGATCTTTCGGAAATCTCTCAGCTGTTGCAGGATTTGCATGCGCAGAATCGACATTTTCCAACCTCGCTAATCTTGGATCTTTCGGTCGAGTTGTACCAGCAGCTACACGCCTAGCTGGTGCAGTAGGTTCTTTCAATTGTCTATCATCTTTTCGTGGATCGAATTGCTGTGATCTTGGCTTAGCTTCAACGCTACTATTATCGCCATATTTATGTTCTTCCAAATATTGCTGAGTATGTGCTTGATTTTTCATATTCGCAGGATCATTTTTTCTATATCGTTGTTTTAAAGCCATGTTGTCAGGTATTTTATGCTGATGATCATTATAGCTGTCCTCCGAAGGTAATGATGATTCGGGATTAGTACCGTGCGCTTGAAATCCAGGTCTTACGTTTCTAGGATCTTCTGGTATACGAGGTCTCGGAGCTCTTGACAACTCTCCAACTGATCTTCCAGCGGGCGGTTTCATATATTGTTCCTCATATACTGGATGTGACATTGGTGTAAATCCACTACCTTTACGTAACGGTTCTCGAGCAATGTTATCATGTGATCGCTGTGACGGATAATCAGGACCAGGGTGGCCTAAACCTCTCATATCTTGAAATACTTCACTAGATGTTGGAGCCTGTTTTCCTTGGCGTGTCGATTTATCTACTGGATTTGATCTTGAATTTCCGTAGGATTCTTCGTCATCAGGTAGTACTTGATTATTAGCGCCACCAGTTCGAGCTCTTTGTCTCTGAAATGAAGCATATTCTTGTTCAGAGCGATGCAAGCTAGATGGACCAAAATTTTTATCTTCATTAGGTGCTGATCGGTAACCAGTACGAGGTTGGTTATTGCCTTCAACCGCTCTCTTTCTCCTTCCAAGATCATCCCATGATTCCGACTGTTGCTGACTTGCAAGAACACGCGACGTTGATTTTTGCTCTGGCAGTAAATGGCTTTCCTTTATGGCTTGAGGACGACCATGAAGATCCTCTTTCGATCGTATTCTACTTCCAGGGTGCCTAAAAGATATAACAATAGAAATTGAATTCTTAGTGATACTATATGTATAAAGTTGCCGTTACAATATGACTTTTATTTAATAATTTTTTTCCAAACTACTAACTGTTGCCTAGGATCCCGAATGGGTATCGCTTGCTTTGTAGTTGCGTGCAAATTTGACGATCGTTCAAGCCTACGTTCGTCAGTAAGTCCTGGTCTATCTCTTATTTCATTTCGATTTTCCATCTTATCTTCCATGTTTACAGATCTAGTTTTATTAGTAAGATCACTACCCGCATTTTGTAGATGTCTTAATCTGGGATCTCGAACAGTACTAGTACTTCTTGCAGGTTGACTTTCATTTTTGATAGGTCTGGATGTGTTATCTTTGTGTTCCATATCGTCCATACGATTTCCATAAGGAAGTTGAATGTTACTAATTCTTTCAGGCAACGCTCGATCTGGGAAATTTTGAGATAGTTTTTCCGATTCATTGGTTCTTATTGATGGCACTTGATAAGATGAATCATTTAGAGAATTAAAAATTTTCGGAGCAGCGATGACGCCATCATTGCTACGATCATCAGGCCCTATAGGATCTATGGGTTCATCAGATTCTCTGCTTGATTTAAGAAACTAGAGGACAGAAGGTGAATAATTGTAATCATTAAAAGGAGTAATAAAGTTTTGAATCACAAGTTGCGCTAGCATGCTAGATGAACGTATAGGTTATACCTGTGACAGTAACTGATGTCCTTCATCGTTTAGTTCAGCGTGAGAGAATTTGCATTTATCACCGGAATAACATGTCGAGTTAGTATGAAAAAATTTACAGGGAAAATTCTGTATGAAGAAGTTAAGGCAAACACTTGATCTAGTTGCCAATTATGGAGAGTTTACGTTTAAAAATTGAGTTTTATTCTCTATTACAACACGAGATAGAAGGAATAATGTAAGTACAGGTAAATTATGGTTAAGATGTACGTGTACATGTAAAAATAAAAGGATATCATGCATAAAGGGGCAGCTTGAACCTTTACTACAGCTGTCGCTGACGTAATACTTGCAGAGTTCTTGCCTCTTCTTAATGGAAGGTATTCCATCATGAGCGAACGTACACTCATCGCCCTGTTGCAAGAAGAAAAATAGATATCACATTACTGTGCGGTAGACGATGTCTCTAGGCCATGCAATTGAAACTTGTAGCCCTTTAGGAATACATTGCATTAAAATCGGATGCATCACCTTAGAACAACGCCCTTCTTGAAAATATTTACATACAACTTTAGGTATTGGCTTCATTTTATTATCTTTATGTCTCTTTTGGAAACGTGGTTTGACTTCATGTTCAGCTTGTCTCTTGCGAGATTGTTGTATTTCAATTTCCTATAAAGTTTCAAGGAAAAGCAGAGTAGGAAGTTATAGTACAATATAAATTTAATCTGCAGCAACAACTGGTGGTCTCCAGCCTGCAACATTTCTATTCACAAAATATGTGAACGAACTAATAGGTCGATCATGACGCAATCTTAGCAATTGGATTGATCCATGCGTAACTTATAGTAGTCAAAATCGGGCGCAATGAAATGAAATTTTTTTATCCAAGTGTAAAATTATAACAGTACAGATCAAGACTGCATAAGCCTATACGTAGACGTAGATAGTAAATATTCAATAATAAACAGAAGACGGCAGTAATAGCAAAACAAGTCGATAGTCATTGGACATACATTGAAATTATTATCATCTACGCTTTGTCCTAGTATAGGCGGTTGCTTTAATGTCGAAAAAGGTGGTGGTGGTGGAGGTAACGGAGGATTATGATCGCCAAGTTGATTTCTGAGATCAATTTGATTATCATTTATTACAGGCCCCATATCAAATCCGTGAAATCTTGGAGGCATATTGGATGGCGCGGGTAAATTTCTTCCAAACTGTTTCAAAAGATATAAAGCAATTAATTATTCGATGATTTTGTTAAGTAGAGCATTACTTTGATTGTATATCTTATCCGCTTTTATTTCAAAGCATAGAAATGGCCAGTACTATAGTATTCATCCAAAGTACAGTATCTTGACTGTGGTTATACATCAATTGGTGCTCATATGGCTCCATATGAAGCGTCCATTATGGGATAAGATAAAAAGTGACATTACTCTCCGATCATTGCAACCTATGAATTGGTCAAGTTTTAACGTTCTAGCGTAGCACTTGTATGTATATCAACTAATTGTAACCACTCTTTAACTATCTTTATGATATACAATCGAATGAATTACCAGTAGGTCATGTTCACTTCTATTCTATCTATATGCATATTTACAAGTTAATATTGTCGTTAATCAATTTGTCACTATTTTATGAGAGTGGAATGGAATTTTTGCGGAACTGGAGTTTAAAAATAGGCACACTTTATGTTTATCAATCATCATCCTCATCATAAAAAGCGCTGTAGGACGAAGTGCTGCCATCATGGTAGCTACAGTAGCCATGTCAAATCACTGCCTCGCTGATACAGTAGGTTGCCATGGGCTACAAGGCGTTAGTATACAGTACTGTAGTGTATTGGACGTATCGGAGAAGAAAAGGCTTCCCTATAAGCTAATGAGTTAGTTGTTCATTTCATACAGATCTATCGAACAGTCGACAAGACGAAAGGATACTCGATGTTGCTCAAATACCATCATATAGTCTATAGATTGTGTAGAGTAGCCTATTGCATTTCTTGAATTCATTGATGAATGTTGAAAACTACAAAGAATTGACGATGAACATGATCATTCCCACTGTTATATGTACTGTACAGTAGTAGTACAATGCATGGGAAAGTGCGCTACCGTCAACAAGATTGGGGGAAAATGATAATTATAGCCATGCTTATTGAAAGGAAGATTGGAATTGAAAAATGGCGACTTTACCTTGTCTACAGGGGGATGCATTGCTTCCAGATAGCCACCAGTTGTATACGCGTAGTCGTCGATAGGGTTTTCGACATCGTCCATAGGTCCTCGACGATAGATCGTTTCTGGTCGTGGCATAGAATCGTGGTTAGGATGTAATGGTCGAGAAAGAAGAGATGATGCTTGCAGTGATGGTTTGCCTTTCTTACCATGAACCATGTCAGGTCCAGGAGGGAAATGATTGGATTCTACTGGTGGTGGTGGTGCTTTCTTATTTTTATTCTTTGCTTTTGCATGAAAACTACCACGACCAGCGCCAGTGGGAGTCGCAGTAGCAGCAGCAGCGGTGCGAGCACGTTGTCGTGCTGCTTTATTTCGACGGGCATTCTTGGAGGGTTTTTTCTTACTAAAGCGATTCTCGCGTTTTTTCTTTGTTGGCGGTTTACTACTTTGATCGTTTTGCAATTGGTTTAATTTATCTTCGTTGAGTGAAGGATAAGCACAAAATCGCTGACTTCTATTGACATCAGGGTAATGATGGTCAGTATTGTAATTACTGTCATGATTGTTCTCTCCTTGAGCAGGTAGTGAAGGAGAGAAAAAAGTAGCAGCATTGTCCTGGTAGTTACGATCAGGCGTTTCTTGGTTCGGAGTTTCGTTTTTCAATTCCCCATCCGATTCGCACGATGAAATGACTTCCCCTTCTTCCAATTCATCTACAGATGGATCATCATCATCTTTGAAGGATGATGGATCAGTATTGGCGGAGGCTTGATGGTTATTTTCTGCACTAGGATTAGCATTGGCTTGCTGAATCATAGCATAGCTCCTATCATGACTTATTTGATTGTTGATTTCGTTGTCTTGGCGTTCGGTGACGTTTTGGATGGCGTCGCAATTCATCATGATATTATTATTATTTTTTGGGGGGGTTGGAAATGAATTGGATGCAATGGTTGAATTAAGAGTACACAAAGTTATTAGATAGGTAATTGTCTAGAGCATATATATCTATCGATCGCTATTCTATACCTAGATACACCTCTATCTCCACTACTTTGGATGTCAATATGGGTGTAGAATAGAATGAATAATGTCGAGTAGAAGTTATGTTGTAAATGTAGTATCAAATATTGGTATGGTTAATTTTGGGGGGGGGCTCTATGACCACTTTTTGCAAAATGCTACAATCGATATGAAATAGGTTATAAAATTTTCCACGTTGACACTTTGCAAAGTATGATGGAAGTGATTGTCGACAAGTTGGTAGAGTGTGATAGAAGGTTATGTACCACAATGTACAATCATATTGACAAAGTTGATGAACAATTTTGAAATGGTTTTTTGGAGTAAAATAGCCGTAGTAAAACTAATGAGTAGAAAGCGTTAGTAGTACAACGAGAGGATTAATGTTGCATCAGTTTAGAGCGACAAGTTAACATAGATAACAACTTGATAAATACACTTTGTAGGTTAAGTTACAGTCTTTCGACACACACATTGGAGCATCTCTTGGATGCAGATGGTTTTTATCTTACACTTTTTTTATGGCTTGCCAGAATTGACTTGGTCTGTATCACCTTTTGTACTGCAAATGCAATTTGCCACGACTCAAGCTAACAAAGTCAACTTTTTTTTTTTCATCACCACTATCCGTAGATAGCGTTCAACTGATGCAGTATTAATGCGTTTTAAATGCAGCTTGTTTTCTTCTAATTTAAATTGTCACAACAGTCTGTGCGTTCAGTAAAAGCACGTACCCTTTTTGCGGTAAGGTTACCAGTAGCAGAAGAGATTTTTTTAACAAAAAAAAACTCCAATTTGGTACATCAAATGCACCAACAAAGTTTACCAGCTTAAACGGTAGAGCAGAGCAGAATGATGCAGTTGCCAAGTGGAGCTTGGTTTTTATACTCTGCCGAGTGGCGTATCGTTGCCGCCAGCTTTGTACTGTATTCTACGGGACACAAGACTGTAGCATCACCATTTCTCTGCATAGTAGCTGTGTTGTACACAGTACAATTTACTGTAAGGGTACAGTACTACAAAATACTGTAGAGCTACAGTACAGTACTGTAAATGGACTACCAAAACGATTCCTCCAGTACAGTACGGTACTGTACTGACTGGACAAATTCAGAAGACTGTAGCATCACCATTTCTCTCCATACTGTAGCTGTGTTGTACACAGTACAATGTACTGTAACGGGGACAGTACAGTACTGTACTGTAGTAGCTGTGTAGTACACAGTACAATGTACTGTAACGGAGACACTACTACAAATAGAACTACAGTACTGTACAGTGTACAGTGTACTGACTGGACAAATTCAGAAGACTGTAGCATCACCATTTCTCTCCATACTGTAGCTGTGTTGTACACAGTACAATGTACTGTAACGGGGACAGTACTACAAAATACAGTACAGTACTGTACTGACTGGACAAATTCAGAAGACTGTAGCATTACCATTTCTCTCCATACTGTACTGTACTGTACTGTAGTAGCTGTACAGTATAGTACACAGTACAATGTACTGTAACGGAGACACTACTACAAATAGAACTACAGTACAGTACAGTGTACTGACTGGACAAATTCAGAAGACTGTAGCATCACCATTTCTCTCCATAGTAGCTGTGTTGTACACAGTGCAATGTACTGTAACGGGACAGTACTACAAAATAGAACTACTGTGTACAGTACTGTACAGTATTGTGCTGACTGGACAAATTCAGAAGACTGTAGCATCACCATTTCTCTCCATAGTAGCTGTGTTGTACACAGTACAATGTACTGTAACGGGGACAGTACTACAAAATACTGTAGTAGTACTGTACTGTACTGGAGTTCAGTACAGTAAATGGTCCCAAACGGTTCCTACTGTGCTACTACTGTACTGTACCTACCAAAACGGTTCCTCCAGTACTGTATTGATCCATCTTTTACCATGGACACTAAATAAGGTACGTTCACACGATGAACTTTTTCCACGACTACCATAAGGACTCCAGTACGTTTTAAGGGTCTCTAAAAATGCACACTTGTACAGTACCATCGACTACCAAGCATTGACTAGTCCAATGACAGTACATACCAGTGATGGACAGATCATGAACGTTCTCAATGTACAACTCATTTGGTCATTGGGCAATATCCGTGTCGTAGTGTCCGTCCATCACTGGTATATTGCAGAGTGCAGACTTCTGGATGATCAATGCATTTTAGGTAGGCTACAGTACACTGTACTGTAGCCCATTTCTTTCTACTGTAGTACAGTACTGTAGTCGGTCAAGTTTGTCTTGTAAGACCAAGACAAACTTGTCATGGTGTTTCTCGTCGATCCGGTGTGTCTGTCCGATCCCACTGTTGTTGTTTTGTCCGATCTCTGGATGAGAATAAGGGAAAATAATTTTTTCATGGTTGAAATTGTCAAGGCTTACGTAAGTCCATTCTTCAACACTGCTAATCCATGCAGGATGTCCACAAATAGTTATCCTCTACTACATTGTCTACTGTACTTGAAAGAAAGAGAGATTGATATGAGACAGCACAGTAACCGGTGATCTTGGACTGTACAATGTGGACAACTGCAGTACCTACAATATAGGATGGCCATTTTACTGTACAGTACTGTACAGTAGACGGCATGCACAACCAATCCAACTTGAAAAAAACCTCTTTAATAAGGCTTGCCACCACTTGAAGAGTTCAAGTTGTAGCTACAGCCTATCTAAAGAGTATCACTATCTAGCGCTAACCATAGCATTTTCTTTTGATGGTGTGCTCTTCGACATTTTCGAAACGACATCATGACAGGATGCGCAATGGCGTTGAGCCTGTCCATACTGTCAATGAATGGGTTGCTTTATTCACGGACTGTAGTCTAAATCATTCTATTCGAGTAGTCGTACACTATTTTCGGTATGCCAGCTCTACTCCAATCCAATACAGTGTTGATATTGGAGCAATCTACCCTTTCTTAATTCAGCGGACTAATGATCATCCACTACTACTATCCGGTCGCTAGTCCATGTCCCCCAGTCTCCTAACACAGCCATACAGGTATCCAAAAGTGCTTGGAGATCCATTCAGTACAATGTTGATATTAGAGCAGTCTACCCTTTCTTAATTCAGCGGACTAATGATCATCCACTACTATTATCCGATCGCTAGTCCATGTCCCTAAATCTCCTAACACAGCCATACAGGTATCCAAAAGTGCTTGGAAATCCATTCAGTACAGTGTTGATATTGGAGCAGTCCACCCTTTCTTTCTTAAGTGGTTTAATGATCATCCACTACTACTATCGGTCGCTAATCCATGTCCCCAAATCTCCTAACACAGCCATACATTTATCCAAAAGTGCTTGGAGATTCATTCAGTACAGTGTTGATATGGGAGCAGTCTACCCTTTCTTTCTTAAGTGGTTTAATGATCATCCACTACTACTATCGATCGCTAGTCCATGTCCCCAAATCTCCTAACACAGCCATACAGGTATCCAAAAGTGCTCGGAGATTCATCCAGTACAGTGTTGATATGGGAGCAGTCTACCCTTTCTTTCTTAAGTGGTTTAATGATCATCCACTACTACTATCGATCGCTAGTCCATGTCCCCAAATCTCCTAACACAGCCATACAGGTATCCAAAAGCGCTTGGAGATCCATTCAAGGCATTGCCGAAGCATAGACAGACGGATAGTACAGTAAACAACGTCGTGTTCAGTACGCCGTAGACAAGTACTGTACCATCGCGAGTCTACGGTCGAGAAAGCCCTTGAAAGAAAATAGGCGAGAAAGTCCAAAATCAAATTAGTTATTGCAACAGCAGGCATGGATGAAATGGCCAGTAACCCAGGCAATCATCATGATAATTATAATCAGCTTGAAATCTTAACTGGCCAGTGTCCTTTTAGCTCGACCACTTTGGTCTTCGATAACACCACCATTCAAGTGGATTGCCCTAATTGTAGCGCCACTCATCCTGTCAGTAAGTTACACCATGTCGATCAGTTCAATTGGAAAGGCGATCATCATCTCCATTCTCTGGTGCAATCATTATTCAAGAATGATCAATCGATCGCAGACAAGAAAAAAATGGCCCATGAATTAGTTGTTGTCAATGGATTATCCAATTTTCATTGTAAAATAATATCACCACTTTTAACTTACTATGGTATGCATAAACAGACGGCTAAAGCGGTGCGCCTGAAAGATTTAAGCCAAGCTGAACCATTTCAATGTTCCCTCTTGGCTGATCGAGCCTTTCGAATCCATTCCGATAGGATAGCAATACTAGGTATTTATCCTTCCATACCTTCAAATTGTTGTCATGCAGTCTTGTATTGCTCGTACCTTGTCATTCTTATTGCTGACATAAATGGTTATGCACGATCGATGCCATCATGTTATGCTGTTAAACAGTGGCTGTTTTACTTCATCATGTCAATAGTCCATTCCACTCTCTTTGCCTACCGTAAATAGCGACTACTCGACTATGGTAGTATTGCAACATTTTCGTAGTAATGCAGTAATTCCCCACACCTTTGAAAAGTTACTGATCAATCCATTAGTTCATTCTCTCTTTGCCTACTGTAAATATCGACTACTCGACTATGGTAGTATTGCAACATTTTCGCCTGTACGACTAGACTAAAGTAGTAATGCAGTAATTCCCCACACCTTTGAAAAGTTACTGATCAATCCATTAGTTCATTCTCTCTTTGCCTACTGTAAATATCAACGACTCGACTATGGTAGTATTGCAACATTTTTCGTCTGTACGACTAGACTAAAGTAGTAATGCAGTAATTCCCCACACCTTTGAAAAGTTACTGATCAATCCATTTGTTCATCTTTATTAATCCCATTACCACTGCAGTTGGATAATCACATCCTCCCAGTTGCTATTGCCCACATAAACGTTTCAATTCCCTTTTCATTGACTACACCAATAACAGTCGTATCTTTTTCATTGAACAACAACAATTTATGCCAATACATAGTCCAAACAACTACCAAATTACCATGCAGCAGTAATAGATCGCATCCAAATTGTGCATCATAAATTCATTTCACTTTATGTTGTTGCCAACATAAATTGCTTAACATTAAATAGGATATTGACGAATTACTGATGGTCAAGATACTATTGAAATTCATCCGATATGAAATATTCATTTAATAATGGTCATCATCCAGTGTACCCTATACTATATACCAGTATATCATGCCATATATATATATATATAACACTACAGGGGATATTGGGATAACTGCTGACGGTTAAACTGCAATTCACATTAGATACGCGTATTCAATACAACCAACTATGGAGAATGCAATAGCCTGTTTAATCTACCATTTGTCAAAGTAATTGAAAATGAAGTGAGAAACGTATTGGCCTTGAAGAGTATACCAAGTTTACCCAACCTGCAGCCATACGGCGATTACCGTCATAACTAGCTATCACTGGATTAGATAAAATCCAAATCCTCTGACTTTTTTAAAATATTCTTAACTTAATAGTCATCGGTATCCACTCTTCAATCATATTGTGTATGTTCGTATCAATGAAATGGATTACCTATATACAGTAATGACCGATAGCTAGTCAACTTTATACAATTTGCTTGCAAGCCCTGCTGTATATTGACCATCCAAGTTATACTTTCAAATCTTGTAACATTTTTCTATATTAAAGGGCATGATTAGATAGCGTCATTGGTTACCGATGGCTTAATAGTCCACAATCATGATTGGCGTTTTCGTAAACGCTATTAGTAGAAAGTATTCATTGAAATTTTATTTTATACAAGGTGATTGACACGGAAGAATCAATCGACTTGCATAACTTCTTCTAGGTAGCCATGCTCGAATGCCGACAGGGCTATGTTCGAGGTAGCAAAGAAAGCGCGCCCAAGTTTACTAACGATGTCATATGTCGATATATTGTCTATAGTCGGTATTCCAATGGTGTATTCTGGTGATTTTACCTTCAGATGTAGATTATAATGAAACTTTCAAAAAAAAGCAAAATATGACGGTATCAGTGGCAGCACTTGATGTAAATCAACCAATGGATCAGTGATTAATTATATATACGCGTATGTATTATATCAAGAGATGGGAGAGATAATGTAATGATGATGATCAGACCTTAACTGCTATTTTGAGGAACCTAGCAGCGGAAATCTGATGCGATAGTTATGATACGCGTGGAAAAAATCATTATAAGGTATTACGCATAAGTACTGTCACTGGCTACTCCAATTGTACGCAAGCATGGAAATACTTCTGCAGTTGTAGAAAAGATACAACTATTATTACTCCTCCTATCAACAGCACTATACAAGCTTACTGAGCACATCCTGACATATTCTCATACTGCAGTAGATATTCTGTCAAGATAAAAAATATCTCCTTCATATTATTACATCGTCCATTACTATCCCCTTACAGCATTGCAACGGCAGCCAATCTAAGTGTTCATGATGATCAAATATTAGACTGATTCATTAATGTATTACCAAATACTCAATCAATACTTTATTCATGACTACAGGAGTGTCTATTGAACTTGACAATCTATTTTCAGACACGATCAGCCCGATTTATGCTAGTTGAATACTGTGTAGTGTTAAACTTTACCATAGAATGGATCATCGCAATTGAACCTTAAGTCAGAAAATATACAGCAAACAGGATTATTAATCAATAATGTTAGTTATACTCCATTCCAGATGTGCGTATTAGAAAGTGATCATTAGTTGTGATAGAAAATATTGAACATTTCTATCGTAACTGCAAAAGTTGGATAGACTGACTATAAAGAGCTTATGTATGCCTAGTTACCTAACATGTCCATCTATTACACACTTATTATAATTTCATTGCATACTTCCTTTTAGTTGCATACTAATCATGACAATATGATGGATAGGTTCATAAAACGTAGGATGTTTCGTGCGTATAAAATATGCTAATTATTATTTTTTTGTTAAGGCTATGGACGTGACCGTAGTGGATCGATTGAATACTTAAAAGATACGCTCAAAGTTTTAAATCATTTATGTAATCAAGAAGTGATCGTCCCTATTCACGTTGATGGTGATGGTCATTGCCTAGTACACGCTATCTCTCGCGCTCTAGTTGGCAGTGAATTATTTTGGCATCCTTTACGGGTTAATCTCAGATTTCATTTAAAATGCAACCAATCTCGATATCGATCATTACTACGGGATTTCATAAGTGATGACGAATGGCAGGAAATTATCGCGGAAGCTGATCCAGACTTTGTACCTAGAAATGGTGAAAGTTTAGGATTAAGAAATGTCCATATCTTTGGTCTAGCCAACATACTCAAACGACCGATATTATTATTAGATAATTTGGAAGGCATGCAATCGTCAGTGGACTACTCTGCCATCTTTTTACCCGTTCTATCGACCGTAATCGAATGTAAAGGCAAAGATGGGCGATTGCATAAACCTCTTGTGCTTGCATGGAGTAATCCAGCTCGCAATCATTTCATTCCCTTAGTGGGTATCGATGGTAGGCCCCTAGCCAAAATATCTCGTCAAATGTTACCCAATGTGTGGGCAATTAAACAGGATCTGCTGGACGATTACATCGAATTTGATGACGATAACTACTGCACTATCTGTAGTGGGAGAGCTTTGCCAGAGCAATACATTTGTAAATTGGTAGGATGCATGGATGAATTATACTTTGAGAAATATGATGTGATACCGGGATTAGTTGAAGAGTTTTATCGACAGCTATCCAAGTAAGCTATAATTCATTCTATTTCTTTTACTACTAGTTTACAACTTTACATGTAGAACTTTGTAAAAGTTTAGTATGAAACAGTATTTGATTTGAATTAATATCTGGTACGTCTTTTTATTAGTGATATCACTAGTACATGGTTGCAACCTCGTGAAATTGCTACCATAACATCTAATGCAGTCCGAGAAGGTCGTTTGTTAAGATGCTTATCTTGTTATGCTATAGTGGAGCATAATGCTCGGTTTCCTACGTCAGATTTGAAATCCGGTAATGAATTAATGAACGTAATGAGTTAAAAATTTTATCATAAACTTTCTTCAAACTTGCTATTGGTATGAATAACATTGATTACTGTAATGTAATGGATGCTCCTTTCGTTGTATAGGCGGACCAATATATGAATGGATCCGTCAAAGCCATGAAGAATTAAAATCTGGTCAAGTTTATAAACTGCAGTTCCGTCGAAGAGCCAGTTTTAGCTATGATGTAATTGGCAATTGTCTCAATCTAATCAAAACTAGACAACCTAGCTACTGTCCATTATGCCTTGTTGGCAAAATGCGCAGCCTTAGTGGACAAGGCAACATTGCATATTGTAACGGTGATACTACTAAAACGCCAGCTGATCCTAATTTTTCTCAATGTTGTGGATATAAGCATTACTGGGATGGAAAAGAGTACGATAATTTGCCTCAAATGTTAGTATAAATGTTACGCTATAGACGTACAAATTACAATTATAATAATATTATCAATCTATAAATGCAATACTTAATTAAGCTATTGCGTAATTATTTACATTAGAATTCCTATAACTTTCGAAATTCATGGAAAAAAGATAGAAAGTCAATTCACTTGGTTTGAAAATGATTCAGATCCAAGTAAAAATTCCAATGCGTTCCAGGTCGCTAAAGAGCTAATTATGAAAAATTTTCCTGATTACTGTAGTAATCATTACCTTATTCAACGCCTTGCTGCTAAAGTGTTCGAGAATTTAAAAGACAATGGGCGTAATGATATGAGACATTTTAATTCAATGTCAGATAGGTCGTGCGATCAAAGAGTCATTAATGCTCAGCAAAAATATCCATCTACGCCCTATGAGCAACCATTATTAGCAACTACCTCGGTAACGAAAGTAAGTACAAAAGTCTCAACGAAGAAGTTACAGGTAGCTTTGTCATTTGAATCTAGCATAGTCGATAATTCTATCAGTTAAATGATTTTGGAATAATGAATTAATTTAAATGCTATCTTGATTGAACATTTTTTGTACACTATACATATGTTAGCCTGGGAAAGAGGCCGGCTATCTGCCACGTCCTAAAGCTGATCACCCAGATATAAGTGACGATATTAAGAAGGAAAATAACAAGAAAATTCGAATATCTACTCCGGGAAGTGGTAAAAGTGTAATGATGACTATTGACCGATCAACTTCTCTTGTGGAGCTTCAGAATAAAATTGAAGCCGAATTTGGTATTCCAGTTAAATTTCAACGCCTTCGTTATGGTTTTCCTCCTATGGAATTAAGTAGTAAAGATTACGATAGCCGTGCTCCCCTTCCGATTCGAGGTGGAGAGAAAGTAACAGTAGACTATATTTCCGCGGTATCATCTGACATTTTGTCGTCGCCCCGTGAGAGTACCTCATTATTCAATAAATGGGAATTAAGTAAGTATCATCATATACGTATTATGATTTAATTTCAACAAATATTTTCTGGGTATACAGTGCAGTCAATTATATCTTGATATTTGATTGTTCATATGTCATTTTATTTGATAGCAGGAAATAACGTAATGGTCAACGAAAATAAAGTTACCAATGAGCAGGAACACTTTAAATTAGAGGCTGCTATGTTAAACCGTGGTGGTGTATACTATACTCAGTTTAAGCAAACAAATAAGACTTTAATTGATGGATTTCACTTCAAATTACATAGTCTTCCGAATTTTCTTCTTGTTTATAGCCAATCCAAAGATTGCTTAGAGATTTGTACTGGCCAGTGTCATTTATCAGATCATTATAGCAATCCTACAGAGAATGTTAAAACCATGAACGATTTATATCAAAAATATCGACATCTTACTTCAGCTGACTTTATTTTTACTAATCCTTCATCCTGTTATCAAGCACTCAATGATCGATACAACAAAGTGTGCGAATCTAAGCAACATGAGCCGAATGGTGCTGTTAGTAGTAGTAATAATAGTAGTACATTCTCAATCCAATTAGATTCGTTTAATTGTTCACCGGAAGAACCTATCAATGGAGCCTGCGCTTCCATGCCCGGTACCGTAAATCCGGAATCAAGTCATGATAACAACATTAGTAATAATACTACATCTTCGATGAAATTTGAAGGTACGACTACTTACAGCCCCTGACATTTTCAATATACGCGCAAGTATAATTGTTTGGAGATTAAATCTTTTTCTTTTTTATTTAGATTCATACTGCGAATATGAGGTAAGTAAATTTCGCTTGAATATAATTTATTGTTTCATATTATTTCAAAGTAACAAACAAACGAAGATGACACCTGATATGTAAATGCGAGAATGAGCGATTCACGCTATGTAATAATGCAAACGATTTTAAATATTTCAGTTAGCCCATAGTAGAAGGCTGTTAATGGATATAATTAAGCAGAGAGTTGATGATGTTACTTCATCCATAGCCAAGAAGGAAGCTGAATTAAATAAAGTGGTACTACTTATAAATAAGGTATCATAATGTCAGAGCACCTTGCATATCTGATATGCATGGATTATTTTTACTCAAGATGTAATAATTCCTTTGTAGAGCGAAAAGCAGGAGCAACTAGCTGTACTTAAAGATCGTAGAAGGGCAATAAAAGCTGCATTGGTTTGTATTACTATCTACTGTATCTATTTACAAACGTAGATAATATCACTCACTATATCAAACTCTCTTTCGTAGTTGACTCTAAAGCGCGAACTGGAAGCAACGTTAGAAAAGCAAAAATCCATCCCTAAAAATTGCTGATTGTTAAGTCTCGGCTTTGTTCCATTCATGAAATTTGGAGTTACTAGGTGTTACGAGCTTTATCTTAAATTAATGTAAATGCATTTAATAATATCAATCCTCAGCTATTATTCGAAGCCCTGTAATATTATTCACCAATTGGTAGTAACTGTATGTACTTGCGCATATAACATGTAGCTTCATGGATATTATTTAATAATGTAATGATAGTAAAATCTAATCTATACTCTATCGTTCACACAGTTTGTCATAATTATGATTAATTGCAGTTATCGAACGAGACATTTAATGTCACAAACGACGTCAAGGTACTATTACCACAAGTTATTTATTTTAAATCGATATCTTCAGAAATTTAGAAACTTTCTGGGCTACGTAAATTAGTATATCTAACCTGCTATAAGATCTAATGATATGTAAATTTATAAATATATCATCAAGACGAATAGCATACAAATATGTGCGTTGAACTAAATTTAAGACGTGATGTTAGGTATTTACATGATTTTGAATCAATTTTTACAATTACAAAATTCTGATAATTGTACCGAATAAAAATAAGCACAGCATACTATTTCCATTATAATATATATATATAAATGAGCGCTTTTCATATTAATTCAACAAATTCTTATGTGCGGTATTGTACCAAGGCACCATGTACGTGTAGTGTGTATACATAGATACAATATAAATAATTCCAAATCAAATAATCCCAAAAATGTGAGGAAATGTGGTAATTAACGACGATCAGATATTGCGACATCCTCAAATACCTAAGTGTAAGCAAAGCAATATACAATAAATGTAATCAATTGAGATAGTGAATTGAAATTTAGTCCAATTAATAATTTACCTCTAATAAGTTTTTCGGTTCAACGACACACTGAAATCTTTCTTTTAGGTTTTTATTACCGACCGAGTGCGGTGTGTATGATCTAAAGCACCACCAAAAAAACACACTAATTAGCAGCTATTTTACGTAGCACAATGGACTTAAAAATCTCTCGTAGTATATATACGTCAGTGTTATCAATTCATGTCAACACAATGCTCAATATAGTAGAAGAATATACTACACAGTACTGTACCGTAATGTCAGAAATTCACCTTCAAAGAAGCCAACCTCATATTAAAAGCATGCACTTGTCGCTGCATTTACGTTAAATTAAAATTCAAAGTTTCCGTCACACTGTATGTGCTACGTAGTACAATACAATCCAAAATACTACAGTCGCTCTAGGAGGAGCTCAGGTGTACTAGGAATAAACTTATTTTACAGTTAAGCAAACTCGCTCCAATTTTCTTTACTAATAAAAGCATTTTCTAACTGTGTCGTAATACAAAATCTAATAAGTAGAAGCTATTCTCGCCCGAACGAGCTTCACTAGTGTTGGATGCAGGCTTCCTTTCGCGTGAATAAAAATTACTATAAGAAAACGGATAGCCGCTTATTTATTAATGGCTAGTCCGCGGTCAGTAAGATTTATCAAATCGTAGCATTTTTTTACCTTTCTTTAACTTTGCTACGTTGATTAGGAGTAGGAACTGATTCTAGTACATGATCAAAATTTAGCCTACAGCTTAGGTCGCCCACTGATGGATTCGGAAAGGGCAGATTCGCAGGAGTAATATCAGTTCTATTATAATGTTTTATACAAAAGACTTAATTAACTTACAGAGAGATCGAAATATATTACCATAAAATACAAAGAATTGCAATACCATTAATCAACAAACCTTGCGTTAAAATTTAACTTTGCTGGTGACGATGAAATATCGTCATTATCCCACTCATCATCCAGAGATCGTTTCAAACTTGTAAAAGGATTTAACCGCAATGATTTACAATTATCTGATAAAGATTCATCTATAACGGCGAAAGGATTATAAACTATTAAAGATATATAAATGCTAGGCAAAATAGAGGATCATACAATAAGTGAATGTCGATGGGTTATTTGAAACAAGTAATAATATCATAAAATAGTTATCTTATAGCCGTATTTAGAATCACAGCAAAGCTTGCACTCCATACCAATTTATTTTATTTTTACGTTATTACCGTCTGATATATCTTTATCGTATAGATACGAATTGCCAATGCTGTTCGGTTTTTCAGTTTGTGGTGTGCTACTGATTGGCTTATCATCAATTTCATCCATGGCTTTTACTTAATAACAATAACAAATGTACGGTACTTTCTTAATTTTTAAGAACTGGTTATACATTCTAGCAGGTTTTCACGGAATTCTTACCTCCTTCAAGACGTAACTCCTAAAAGGGAATACATAAAAGCATAATGAGTTCCGTATAATAAATTATCTTCCAATAGCATTACTTAGAAGTACTTAATACATACTTTAAAGATAGCACATATTAGTTAACTAATATTACATACTAGTCTATGCCCATGAGAATTTTGGTTGTGCAAACGCTCATTCCTTAGCTGTTTCAGATATTCATGAGCTAGCAGCTGATCAACGGTGATTCTGCAATATTGAAAATTAGAATCCACATAATCGTTAGTACAAAAGATAATGGAGTAAATATAATAAATATTTTAATACCTTTTGTTAGGTATAGGATCGATCATAGACATGATCAACAACTTTAGCTCGGAAGAAATGTCTAAGTATCATAATGGCAAACAAAAACAAAGATTTAAAAATAAATATGATCAAAGTGACGACTTTTAAATTGTGAGAATATACCTTTAGTAAATTCTTCAGGCAATTCTCCACTTCTTAATTGGTGCCACCCTTCGCCCCTTGATGGCAATTCAACATCACACGCTAACTCGAACGTGGTAATTCCTACACTAAATATATCGGCTGGTTTTCCAAAACTTCCCTGTAAAACCTCTGGCGCAAGATATTTTGAGTCGCCTTCCTGGCAATCTGATTCATTCATCTGTAAAAAAATAATTGTCAAATTGCATACTTTAGTGTGTGCTATTGGGTATTTATTACAAGAAAAAGGAGACCAAATAAGATAGCATTACATCGGTAAGACTGAGAACCAGTCCAAAGTCTCCTAATTTACAAACTAGATCCTTAGATACAAATATATTGGCAGGCTTTATATCCATATGTACAGAGCCAAAATCGTGTAGGTGTTTTAATCCCTAATGTTAGATAAATTTAATAATGTTACGAATCATGTACATGAAATTATTTTTAAGTACAAAAAAACTAAAGCGAAATCTAGAGAACGAGATTTAATGGCGTCATTTACCAGGGCTAAATCAAGAAGAAACGACCATATAGTATCTTCATTGATATTAGGATGCTGATCTGCGTAATCTTTTAAACTAAATACATCGAAAAAATATACTGTTATTCACGCATGTTCGAGGATGATAGCAATTTCTATGATGCATCAAACAGGACTAACCTCATTGCGCAGAGTTCTGTTTGAATATATAGCTTTAACCTAAAAAAATTAAGACAACAAAAATTGTATTAATATTAAATTATATGATTATGAAGAAATCCGCAATACAATCACAATAAGTTAATTACTTTTCTTCCCATGCACGAATAAACCTGACTACATTAGGGTGAGCTGGTAATTTTTCGTGTCTTTCGACCTCAGCCAACTTCCGACGTCTAATGAATGATTGAGGGATAGGAAATGAACGTCACGATTAAAATTTATAATACGATTAATTCGTAAGTCATAATTGCAGAATCAATATATAATCTTAGTTTTGGCCAATTACTTATTTTTGCTGCATTGTAAGTATTACTTGCCTGTCTGCATTGTTACGAAATTTTTCGCGAGATACCTTTACGGCATAAGATTGACCATCTTCTTTATTTTTAACTTGGAAGACCTACTCATGAAAAATACGATACACATTATCAGTGTTAGGTGATAAGATATGTATTACAAAATTTAAATTAGCTCCAGGTTTCCGCATTACTACTTTACATCAATATTTTACAGCATTAACACAGAGCATTATTGTGCCATAATAAGTAAATACTGCATTTATACCAACAACGTGGCGTACCTCTCCAAAGGAGCCAGATCCTAATTGCTTTTCGATATCAAAACACTAATCAAGGTAAAGATAAGAAATAACTTCAAAGAGATGCAGTAGACCATCGATAATTACGTTGAAAATTAATTATGCAGTTAGGATCATTTATGAAATATTGAGAATGTTGGTTTAAGCCACGATTAGTCTATTGTTAAATAGACTACCAAAAATGAATGCCATGATTATTCTTTATGACGATCCCGTACTATATAACTAGACTGAATGCCTGATTTTCATGGTTAGATTAGTATTACGTGTATTTATTTCAATGTTGGACAATTTCCAATTAAATAAAGTAGCGGTCTCATTACGAATCGGAATCTAACTTTTCGATCTATCTAAATAAGAATATCATGTAGTTGTAATTGTACGATTTTTCTAGAATACGGAATAAATTACTTCAGATAAATTATTGGTATCTACGATTTTGTTTCATTTTTCACAATGATTGTGACATGGGATGAAATCATTGCGAAACGACGGCACTGTACTAATGAACAACGGATAATTATAACCAACAATCATTTCTAATGACTAATACACACTTGTGTAGAGAAGTAATTACTTTACGTTATTCCGATAGCTCTTTCTAAAACCGTTAAAACAGAAACAAAAGTATACCAGTACAGCAAGAAAAATAAAATGCACTATCCATTTATAGCAAAAAAGGTATCGTACAGCATAATCCTTCGACTTTACTTGTACAGTATTTTAGAATTTCTCGTCTTTAAACAATTACAGTTTTTCTGTCAATTAATAGAATGAAGTAAAATTATTGATATTCTACAAGAATGCATTGTCTATAATATTCACTGAGGGCTACTATCCAATAAGCGTTTAAAATCCTCAAAAATGAGATTAATATTCTGATCGTTTCAATTATGCCTCAACTAGATAGAACAGTAATGTCCTAATATAGATAAAATTCTAAATGCAACCCAAGCACAGGGTGCTAATAACTTGTCCATACAGTTGATAAACACCTTCGCCATACCTGTTCGAAATAGGACCTATTGGTGTTCTTGTTATATATTGGACTATTGACAACTGCAGAAGCTGTAAGCAAATAGTCAAGGATCATAAAATATCATATACAATAATAAGTAGTTCCGATAAGATACGTGTACAATAATGCGGAAGGTCTACTTGTAATAATTACTATACAAATACGGTAGACTAACATCGAAGAATGGTAATATGATCTGCTATACCAAACTATCAATATTTTAAGGAATAAATGAGGAAGGTCTACTTGTAATAATTACTATACAAATACGGTATAGTATACTAATATCGAATAATGGTAATCTGATCTGCTAAACCAAACTATCAATATTTTAAAGAATAAAATGTTTCAAGACAGCCAAGTAGGTTTCGATCTCGATAGTCTGTACATTGTATCTAGTTGCAGATTGATCAATACTGTAAATCGATAGATCCAATAGGTAGTAGAGATACTATCACGTCCCTGAACTTATTTCCATTGTAGTCTATCGGTCAATACTAGGTATTGTTCATGATTCGGTCTTGCAAATTATTCTAATCTCGTATTTCGACTATGTTAATCTTGAAAGTTGACACTAGAGAAATAGACATTATCATTTTACAGTCCATGGATTTTAATCCATCTAATTTTATGCTCTACTGTTGCGGTTGCATTCTTCAGTTCGAAATACCAACATTGAATACCGGTATAAAGGATACTATTCTCATAACTTTGCCCTTTGAAGCTAACAGAATGAGCTCTTAAATCGGTCTGTCGATGTCGAAATACTCGACTAATGGGCGGAACAGTCTTTGCTGGAGGCTTAGGAGGAGGCAGTTGATAACTTTGACGCGATTTTTTTCTTAGACTTTGACTGTTATCATAAAATGTTGGCATTGGTATTATACGCACTGGCGATGAGGGTAAATTGTTTTTCTCCATCTTCTTTCTCTTGATGAGCAAAATGGGTTACAATGAGAAAGGATATCAGAGTTAAATAAGACGGTCTTGATCAATCAGCAGCAGTTGCGTTTGTCCACTTGACGTGAATAGTTGTGGAAAAATATTGTTATTGATTTAAAGGCTACTTCCATATCTTCTTACCTGCTGTATTGACCACACTGAAATGGGCATCACTGGAAGACACAGTCATCTAGTCGACGCCAATCATGGAGCGTTCAACTAATTACAGTACTCTGTCCTCGATTTACTATCAAGCAGTGATCGCCAAAAAAGCAAACAACGTCATGTACAGCTAAAAATAACTTGTTTCCTCTTTCACACTACACTTAACAAGGACAACTCAAAGTAATTTATCCACCGTATATAGAAGGAGTCAAGGAATAGACGCTAAGAATACCTCAATGATAGGAAGAAACTAGACTCAATATGACCAAAGACTCTTTGTAAAAATCAATGCTAGCAGCCCAAAAAGCACCAACAAACAAAGGAAACGGATGCGCTTGTCAACACTCCCCTTGAGAATTTTACCCACTTGCAATTAAAAAATAAACTGGATCAGAAATGCCAAGAAGAAACTTGCAATGTTGTTAGCAAGGAAAAGCTAAAAGAGGAATAAGTTGCTAACCAATTTCAATGGCTGTTGTAGTTCAAAGAAAAAAAATTGGCCCACCAGCGTCAAGACGCTCAACGACGTACACTACGATACTGGAAATGGTCACACCAAGGTTGACTCACCCCTAACGGTGAGTCACAGTCAAGCGATTCATCGCTCCAACGCGATCAACCAGTCATGTCCAAGCTGATGATAGGGTATCAGCCTGTAGGGCGGCTGACACGTGAATGGGTCATACCACTGACATGGTTGACGCCGGCGCTGGTGTCTGCAACAGGTTTTTTTTTAGATCATGACAAATCAGCTCGTGCCCAAATAGCGCGGGAAAACTTCTATTTTGGGGCAAGACAATGCCATACGGATAATGGATGTTTACGGATCATCATCCTTTACTATGCTAATCCAATGATAGTAATTTATATTATTTTGAGAAGTGTTTGATGCACTTGTCGTTGTGGGCGATTGTATTAGCGTATGCTAATTTGCACCGTGCATTATACTGTAGGCACAGGACTGTACTGTACACTGTACGTACACCACTTTGCAGTGTCATTACCGTATCGTACCGTTTCGCTTCATTTTCAAATCTTTTGTCGACATGTTTGTGGAACATTTTCCTGCCCCTACGATGGAGAAAACCTTCATTGATAGTTTTCATGTCCGAAATAGCATTACAGTAATCGATGTTGGCCAAACTATTCAATACCTCCATAAGCTGCACCATTTTACCTCATTTTTCAAATCATGTTGATTTTTAGCATTTTATTTATACAGGACAGTATGTCTTGTATTGCAGTGGACGGAGTCATGGACTACTAGTGAGTTACTACGTAGTTCTAGTAGAACGTCCATGACGGAGTAATAGCGAGTATAGTAGTCTGTTGTTATACGAAACAGTGTGTTGACGACAATCAATGCAGGCCAAAATGCTGCAATGGTCCGTACACTGTTCATATTTTATTGATTTTATTGAATAAAATCAAGAAAAGCTGCTGGATCTTCGTCTTTTTACTCTTGTTTAGAAACACCCATAGAACAACAACAAAGATACATACGTTCTAATCGCCTTTATTGACGAAAGCTACTCAAAAACTTTTGCGTATTGATAAGTCTATGATGACAGTAATTAAAGTCAACAGAAAAACAGTGATATCCTTTTCTGCATCTTCTAGATTCTTGTAGAAGAATCTAGAAGATTACACTGTACAGTACTCGTACATTTTAGCGCTCATTCTGCTTTGGGTGGCAGCCAGCCTTGGCAGTGGTAGTACACGACGTAGTCCATTTCGCAGTTGGGCAATAACTTTAATTTCAAAATAACGAGAGGCTCTTTGCTCTTCATCACACGCATTTAGTCATTTATTGTTCTCTCATAAAGCAGACAGTATGATTACTATTGACTAACAGTAGGGACGAAATCTCCAAAATTCATAAATAAATCCTATATATACTGTATATATATATATATATATATTTTTCTACTGTACCACAGTACACAAATAATGTTGACGATATTTTATCTACATTAATTAAATGAATAAGTTGAATAAAAGTTGAATACACCCAATGCTATTTAGGAAATCATTACCCAACACGGAGACGTTGTACCTCGCCCACTGCGAGACTAGTAAAACTTTCGGTATAGCTCCAATAGGGGCGAAAAGAGTTTATCTTAAATGGTTGGAGGTTAAATGAGTGAATAGACGTCGTAAAATTAAATTGTTTTCAGTGCAAACTTTGATAAAATCATATTGAATACTTTATAAATTTGATTCGATATGGTGTTAATCATCATCTTCTTCTTCCAGATCCTAAGATTAAAAGCAAAGGCAAACGTTCACAAAACTATCATAATGATATCAGCATTGTTAATTAGAATGTAGTACAGTAAGTACCAGTTGTAAGGTATAAATATAAAACCAGTCGAAAATGGAAGGAGGTTCTATTTACCTTTGCAATCAATTCTCTAGCTAACTTAACATTATAATATTCATTATAATGTTGCGATCTCTTCTTTTTAAAATCTTGTTTTCGTTCTACAAAATAGAATCATGTTACCGGTCACTACACCATATATAAATAATATGCAACTTGATACTAACAACTTGAAACCCACCTAATTCTTCAGGTGTTAATTGTTCATCATGGTTCTCATCGTTTGAGTCATATTCAGCCCATCGAGAGCCACTTGCATCATCAGAAGTACCATGTAATCTAAGAAAGCCGCAATATTTTAATCATTGTAAGGCGATCAGAGGAGAGAAAGTAGACTATACCCAAAAGAAGCAACATGACAATGTAGATTTTAAAATAAATTTACTCGCTGCTTAAGGTCGCAGGATCTATTCCTTTGACATCAGTTTCTCCTTCCGAGTCAGCATCTGCATAACGATATGGTGTTTTCGGTTCATCAACCTTCATATGACCATAGTCCTTGTCTGCTGGATGATAGGTCATCAAGATATTCATTTCATCCCAACGAACACCGCTACGTAAAAATGATTAACGGTTAATACCTTAGCAATATACCGTACCATCAATTTTTGGCGCATAAAGTTATCATCGTGGCAACAACGATACTCGTAATATGACAGAAATACAGTGTAATGTAGAAATTATACTTCCCAATACTCCGTAGTTGTATACTAAAAGTGTCTTAAAGCATCTCAAAAGAGAATTTGCAAATGAAATAGTAACGAGTCAGACTGAAGGGAATGGTTGGATTCAATAATAAAATTTTAATAGCACCACTGCAACTGACTTAAAAAGATGATCAATTCCGTATCATGATCAGTCAAACATGAATGCAGTCTTGAATCAATCTTATAGGTAGAGTATTCCGGTACTAATACACCTATTGTATAAGGAATTGCTATTTAGAAATAACAGATCCATACGACATAGTTATGCCACAAAATATGGCAATTGTACTTAAAGCAATATAGTAGATTTCAGAATGCCGGCTTAATAAGAATTTAGGCGAGCGAGCGCTAGTTGAAAATCGATATACGAGTAATATAATCTTGGACATTCATTTTGAAAAACACATTGAAGATGGATATTTACGTATAGTTAATCTTAAATTGAGTACGTTCTTAATAGCTAGTGTTATAATACTGTGCATATAGGTTAAGTAAGCTTTGCCAACATTGAAGCATTGTATAACCCTTTAGTCACTTAAAGTGATAGTTAAGATTCGCTAAAATAAAGGTCTCCATTAAACTCAATCAATCATGATGAAATTAAAATCTACCAAAACTGAGATCACGAGCTTCATTTACATAGAATACATTGGATTAATGTGTGAGTACAGTCAATCGGCAAGGCATGTCGCTCATATCTCTTATGCAAATCACAAATTTCTGGATAAATGGTCAACAATATTACATTGACTACACAACGGAATAAATAATAAAGACTTGACATTCATCAATATTTGATCTAAGATTAAGCCTTAAGTACAAGTTAACGTTTAGAAACTACTCAATACCACTACATGAATCAGTGGCTCTATCTATCGTAATCAAAAATTTAAAAAATTTATACAACTCCATGTTACAGTAAATACTATTCATATTCCTGAATCACCTCTATAATCGAAAATATTGCACAACGATCGTAAAAATTGTATAGAAACACAATGTAGCAACCCGTCTCGAAAATGACCGTAAGCAATAGGAATATATGTAACGGTGATGCTAAAAATCTACCGAAAATATTACAGATTTAATGTCTACAATGTGGTAATAACAAGATGAAGTCTGAAAACGAAAGATTGTCGTCAATTCTCATCAGATAATAGAACAATAATACTATTCGTTGCAAGTACTACAATAGCACTGCAAAGCATTGTGTACAACATTAACGAAAAAGCACAAACTTTCTCAAAATTAAATATCTGATCATGGTATGATGAAATACGTATGTATAGGTGCTGCTATTGCAACATTGATATTTGCAACGATATATAAAACTTTGCGAGGCTTATTAAAGTTTCATTTCTAACCGTAATTCTTGTTTAACGCAATTGAACAGGGCGAGTCAAGTTACTAATTTTGAAGTTCTAGCCTATTAATTATATATACAGTATATTATTTAAATCGGAAAGGCACCATCTTGCATACACGGTTAATATCAACTACAATTCAGTAGGTTAAAAGTGCATGTGAATAAGACCACATATTACCGTTGTTGATCATTACTGTCAATACCTTTCTGAGGATATGGTCCATTTCCAAAATAACAACTACTATTTTAAACAATAGCATCAAACGTGCTGTGAGAAATTCGTAAAGCGTAATTAATATAATATCTCTTTTACAGCTGCAATAGTACAGTAATATTTTCAATGAAGAAATTAGTGTATACCCAATCCACCCACAATTTTAATTTATATGATGAATTCAAGAAATCCGATCAAAATTTTAAAAATTATGCATGAAATAAGACGATGAGCGCCCTGTATAATTGATAGAGTTAAGATAATCAATCTTCTTAAAGTATTTCACATCATAACAAAACAACATACCTTCTCTGCACCAGTATATTCATTAATTATTTAACGTCAATTTTTAATTACAGTGAAGTGAATTTCTACTGCACTTTAATGAGAATTATCATTCTCTATCTAGTCTGATATTATTTTTTCTACAGGAATCATCTGTTATTATTATTATGACGTTTACATCAATGATCGTCCTGCATTCATTGACAATAAAAAATGTAGAACGCTTTGTCTAAAGACTTAAGCAATAACATGTTAAACGATAATAAATTGTCAAAACTAAAATGCTCACTCTCAAAAATTCACTATCTTCATCGTCAAGGGTAAATTATAACAACACTACTTTATATTAAAATAAGTGGCCTAATCAGTCATCTGACAGATGAAATACTTGTTATGATCAGTATTTTTCATCATTGAATAAATTGCCATCACTATACGTATGCTCGTATATCATACGTTAACTTTGTATGCACTTAATAAGATAAGTAGAGTAATACCATGTACGCACAGATGATAATATAATAATTAAACTACTACAGTATGTACTGTGCAGGCTATAATTGGATAAAGCTCAATTTCTATATTATCGGAGTACTCAAATGTCTCGGAAATAAATGTTAACAGCATACGAGTAGAGTTTAAAGAGTCTTGAGTAGATACAGTAAGATTCCGCTAACTCCGTGTTCGTCTACGAATACAAGGTACTACATATTTCACTACAATGCTATTAGTACAGTATTTTATTTAAAGACATAATAACATTAGATAATAACAAGGATATAATTATTAATTAGTACTTATATAAAGCAATCATTCAAATGTTTTTTTTTATTTTTTTGTAGTCGATATCGAGAATTAGAGTTTTACTATGTAGACGTCAATTTTTACTGGACGCATTTAGCAAACTTTTAGTAAGTGGAACAATAAAATTAAAATTCTTCAGAAAGTCGTTGAAAACGAAGTTGAAGAATAAAACTGGATTGCTAAAGAAATAGTCCATGAAGTGGGTTTGATCCGAAAAATGTATAATAATGATGAGCAGGATGTTTTGCGACCAGCAGATCGTGCCGTTATGATTTTAGAATTTAGAATCTAGCCGAATACTCATCTACTATACCGTGCACTGTACTATCGCTTATACCATAGAATTATATTTTGCTACAAAACTATTATACAACACAACAATACTGACTGATGTAGTTACATAAGAGGTACATTGGATTTTAGTGGCGTAAAACCTTAACTTTATGAACTTCTAGACGCACGGAATTGTAGCAGGCATATGCGTATTTGTATATTGATCCCTTAATTCTTAAGTAGGTCTAAAAACATGTTATTTATAAGAACGAGAAAAGTTTTACACATTTGAAATAGTTTTTAGTCTGCAGTGAATGGTCTCAATGAAACTTCTTTCAAAGCATACCGGTATTTATTTATTCTTATAGAGCATATCGGACGCCTTTACGATGCGAATGAGAAGACAGATTTACGGTGTGTGTACGCGTATGTGAGAGTAGTGAAACGTTGTTTTCCATGATAGGAAAAAAAATACGCGTAATGTAATTTTAATATGAAAATTACCTTCTGTTTACCTTAGTTTCTTTCTGCTATCAATTAAAATGTTTAAAAATTAGTTAAAGATATATTCTAGTAAAATCATAGTCACTCGCAGAACATGTAGAGTATTGACTATCATCATGATAAGTGTGGCATCGATCCGGTTCCCATCTTTTAAAATGATCGAATGGGAAAACCCTTTCTGTTACAACATTTGTCCCTTTTAGATACCTAACATTCTACTGTCGATTTCTGTATGATTACCATTCTAATGTACTGCGCTGCAAACTATACATGGTATACAATATTTTAATTGCTTCCTTAACAAGAGAAGCCCAATTTAAGAACTGTACTTGGACAATTATAATCATTAGAAATGACTTGCATTATATCTAATTCAATCAGAGATAAAATACTCCATGAATGGAATCCTCATTCAACGAGTCAAAACATCTCTGATCTAAGATAATCTTTTGGATTAGTGATTACTCAATAGATTACCTGTGTGGTTCTCCATGATCGTGTTTAAGTATACTTCTGGGCATTTTCGGAGAAGGACTATTCATTTCCTTAGCCTTACCGCAGGCAGAATCAGAGTCGGCCATTTCGTTTTCCACTACACAACAGTCTGACGTTCCACGCTACTCTGAACTGATTCAACGCTATTCGGTCTGTTCCGGTACGGTACAGTACAGTACAGTGTACAGTATGCAGTTTACGGTGATCACACTCAGTATTGTACACTGTACACTGTACGGTGTATTTTACAGTGAAAAATTAAACTTACAGTGTACAGTACTTTGATGGTCTACAGTACAGTACTGTACGTGACCGCTACAAAGACCAAAACATCTCGACCTCTAGCTGCAAGTCTAGAGGTCGAGATGTTTCCGATATATACGTATGAGTAATCCAATAAATGAAATTGATGAGATCGGTCCTCTACAGATAGTTTTTATGGCTGCAGCAACACTTACTGCCAGCCAAATTAAATGTGGATATCAGTGTGGAATTACTGTATAATAGCTACTTCTTACAAATTAATGCTACGCATTGATATCATTCAATTCGGCTTTCCATTGCATAGGATGATATGAATATATTGTACAGTATACTGTATAGCGCAAGTAAATTTGTAAGATTTAAACCACAGACTTCTACATTTCTTCCAAATCTGGAAATCCATGATTTAAACATTTATCCGGGCATGGGCAACTTCAGGGATTGATTATGACATAAACATACACGAGTACTGTATTTAGCATGCATGATGACGATGCACTAGTAGTGGACAATCACATCATCGCCTTTGATTGGGAAATACTCGAGGATATACAGCATGAGCATATCTGTGAGCACTACGCAAATCAGCTCTGCTAAATGTAACTGGGCATTTATATAAATATCAGTGATTTGAAAAGGAAGTAATCGCAAATCTATTGATATATCTATGAGTTCTTTCTAAGGCATTGACTACTATATAAATCCTCTTACAATTTACTATACATTACCATATGGAGCTATCATGATCATGGTACGGTATGCATTATGGTTTTCAAAGTCCACTTGTAGTACTCCATTGAAAAATAAGAAGTATTTTAAATGTTGCAAAATTCATATTTACAAAGTGCCATAAATCAAGCTCGCTCTAATACGTATATTCGCAGTCCACTGCATTACTCAATCAAATTTATCTACTACAAAGCTAGTCAATCTAACATCGTCAACCGTGCAAGTGTCCTGCATTTTACGACTCGTATAGCGAAAATTTCGGCAAGAATAATCGATACTTCACACGTTTTTTCTACCTTGCATTAGTCATTTAACAGAACGATTTTATTAGTACGATTTTGCAAAATAGCTTATAGCGTGAGTAATGTTCTTCATCATAACATGAATGATGAAAGTGCTCAGTAAAATTTGAACGATATATGATAAAAATTTTATTGCATAGCATCCCTTAAAGAGAATCAGCAAATCGTTCGCTTTAGTGATATGTAACGTGATTACTTTCACGGATATTTTCTTTCTCTAGTAGGCCTAGCATAGGTTCGTAAATATCACTACTAATAGGTACCATAACTCCAGTTCTGGTGATTTCTCCTAAAGAAAAATAATCAATTGTACGAATATTAGTTTAGCAATTGTCATACTTCTGTCTTGCAAAGTACTACAGTTAAATAAATTATACCTCTTAAAATTTGACGTGCTGCGATAGCCGACGGAATACCGACTGTCCAAGCCATAGCGGAATGGCTGTCCGGACTACCATAAGAAGCCAATGTTATATGGCGCGTTTCCTATGCGTATTGATCAGATATAGCCATAAACTCACGAGTTAAACGTGATTCAAAATTTGAAGATAAAAGCTAATACCTTTTTGCCATTAGGCCAATCAACACCAATTTCGTGTCGCATGATTACAAAATCACTTTCTCCTTTCTCTATCGAATGAAATAGGATATATATCAGAAATATCCATCCATCTATTGCAAAAGTTAAAACTAACAGCCAAAAATCTTATTACGTAGTGTTAACGATTTGCTCAGTAAAGCAGATAGCGCATCAATAGTGGTTCCCTCTTTTGCTACTGGTTGATCAGACAGTAAACCAAGACTAAACCAAGTTAATCAATTCATAGTTAGTTATCTAATTATGTATTCAGTAAGCTCAATCATGACATAAAGTATTTACTCGATAATAGCTTTCAGTTTATTCTCGTTTCCAGAAACCCTTTTTAAGACTTCAGATTTTAAGTCGTCAATAGAAATATTGGCTTCTAAGCCAAGCAAATTTGCAGTCAGTTGATGCTAGAAAAGGGATAAAAAGAATTGATTGCTTCAATTATTATATTCAAATGTTAGCATGTATTACTTCAACTTTTAGCTTAACATACCCATTGAATATCTGGGGCATTCCTCATTAATATTGGATTAGGTTCTCCATTAATTACGCCGATCTTCAGCAAGGCAGTTGCAACTTCACTAAAACCCTATTATTAAAAAGGTCATGAAGCTTATTCAAACCGTTTTTTAGAAGTAATTTAGTACGAGAACCGGACTGAAATATTGCCAGTTCATAATTTTATCTTGCCTTGTATCTTATAGTTCCTCTTTCCACGGTGTGAGCGGAAGTTATGTCGTAAAGGTCAGCATACATCATACTGTCACGATTAGGATAACCTTCTAAATTGAGACCAGGATAATAATCAACGTCTTTTGTGTAAGCCAATAGTGAACCACCAGGATGGATCTCCTTAATCTGTTGATTGAAATATTGCATAAATATAAGGCTAGTCGTTTAATTTTGAGCTAAATAACTTAAATCATTAGAAGAATTTTCATCTTAGCGTTATATAATGTAAAAAGAATATAGACTTTAATCATTAACAAAGTTGTCATACTTCTCCATTTGTTCGATATCTGGCACCATTTAAAATAGCGAGCAGAGCTCCACGCGGGCTCCAACTGTTATACAAGATAAATTAGGTTACCGAAACGTCTTTTTGAAAACTATACCATAAATAATAATGAATACAAAACAATTTCGTAAGTACACAACCTGAATTTATATCTTAAAGGATTGTCAGATAATTCAGGAGCAGGTAGACCACCACAATACGACACGTACGACGAGATCTATTTAAAGACATCAAAAAATATAGATTTAAATCACCTATTGATCAGCTTTCTTAGGTATTTACCACAGGTGAATGCAAACAATTGTTAGACATCGAAAAAATCTTCTTTTTACTTTATGCCAATTTTACATATTTACATACCTTTCCTCCTTTCGCTCGTACTTCATCAAAACATTTTGCGGCCAACATGTGGTCAATACCTGGATCTAATCCCATTTCATTTAAAAACACCAAATTTTTATCCAGTGCACTATAAAAAAAAGCGGCGTATTTTCAGTAGATGAGATTTATTACACAAAATCCTAGCCAGAATATTATACATGATCTGAAATACAGAGAGACCGAATTCTACCTCTGATGAAGTTCTTTCATTGCCGGTGATACGTAACTTGCCGTTACCATATGCTTATCACAAGCCAGGCAGAACTTAGCTACTTGAGGGTGGTACGTATACGGTAGTAAACTATAAATAAATTGAAGTAGTTCACAACATTTGCAAAAGAAAAAGTGATATTATAGAATATGTTAACCACACCTCACGGTCAAATCATGACGACTGATCAACGCTTTCAATTGATCTAAAGCCTTTTCCTCTCCGAGCCTAAAAAGCATGGCAGCAGTGTTTCGATAGGTTTTTGCTATATCATTAGCATCGCCAATGCTGGCACTTGCTAAGAGAGCAAAATATCCAATATAAGAAAAAGTAATCAATTGCAATGATAGTGTAGGAACTACTTCGCATATACTACTTCTTATTCAATAATCTGGCATCTCTTACAAAATAATTTTAATTTGAAACGATGATTAATCACTATGCACTAACCAATGGTAATAGAGATATCAGGATCTCGTGTCAGGTATTCAACGACAGGTCTAGCAACAAAACCGGATCCAAGAAGTAAAACGTTCTTCTTCCTTGGAGAACTAACATGTAACCTACCATAAAGCAAACTCATTATTGAATCATAATGATATCCGAAAATTCAATTTTGCTAATTTTATTCTACACTTATCGATATTAATTACCTTTCATTTCTTAAATGTCGAATATACTCGAACTTTGGCGTTAACTCACCGTTGCTAGCAATAGTAGCCTACACGAATTATGTATATATACAGTATATAAGATACGAAAAAAGTTAGCATATCTAGGCATATATACTTAAATACAATTTAAAGCTGATAATTAGTTGAACAATAACGCAGCTCCGAAGTAGCATAATTGTAACAAGCCTCATATAATAGATAAGACAGCCGCGAAAGAGATCTGCTAATGAAATAGCAAAGGTTCATCAACATACATTCATGACTTCCTCCGATACTTTAGTGATATCTTTAAATGGAACCGAGGCTTCTGCCTTTGCCTATTTGATATACAAGGGGCGATTTAAATAAATACAAAAGAAAGAAATTATCTAACAACAAGTTAGGAAACAACTTCAATATATTATACACTTTTTGGGGTATTCACATTCAAATGTACAAAAATTAAAATTTTTTACCATTTCTATCAGGTGTGGCAATAGCAGATTTCCAAAAAAGTCCGTTGCTTCTCGTGGTAACTGAGTGGGTAGGTTATCAATTGAAGTTATAAGTATTCCATCCCCGGAAACACTGTTAAAATAAATAATTACGCATATGCTATTAGTGAGCTAGAATGAGATATTGTTAGGAGGTTCAAAGTAAAGCATAAGTACGCTTTAATATACTGTATACTGTAATACTAGCAACTAGTACAAAAACTAGCTATACTAAATCCAGCAAAGATTATTACCCTCTCGTTGCAGCATCGCTAACAGGATCATATACTTCAAAAGGATCTCCAATATTTGTTACACTGTATAGGAACTCGATCGAGCCCTAGTTCAAACGAAATCCCAGTATTAGTATGATGGAATTAAAAATGAATGATTTCTCTTTCGTTAGTACCATAACACTTACCTGCGGATCAGCTGATATATCAGAAATAGCAAGAAGTCGATGTGGTAAGAGTTTATCCGAAAGTCCTTTTGTAGCAGTTGGCTTTATTTTCATTAAATTCCTAGCATCTTTGCAAGTGAGGAGTCGAGGATCACCAACGCCCCAGTATAAGCCATTAATTAATACCGACATGTAAGGAGCAATCTAACGAAAAAGATTGATATAATTTTTCCGTAATACAGTGTTATAGTTTTACAATATTGCAATGAACCTTATCAGCAAAATTAGATCGATATTGTTCTGGAAATTTCCTAAAGTGACCCTTATCAAACTTGCTGCCGTCTAAGCTTTCAATATGATCTTCAGCAGTAACAATAGTTCCGTACACTTTGCGTGTATCTAGATGGAGTAAACACGAAATATAACGAAAAGACCCAATGAATTTTCTTCTCTCAGGGCTACTTACCGCCATGTTCCGTCACTTCTTTTAGGTCATTCGGGGATACAAATTCGTGTGGAAGCTGCTGGAATATCTCCTTTGCACCCTATCACAACATTGAAATAATCACATTAATTAATTAATGACGGATTAAGTTAAAGTCGATTATTTTAAGGCTACATTAATCACTAGAAATACCTACCCTTTATCTCATATTATAAATTAAATAGAAAGTAAATCTTATTAAGAAGCTCTATAGATTCAATTCTCACCTGGAATACATTTCCTGTTCCCGTGAATACAAATGTTAGTGGACCTAAAGCAGTTGGCATTTGACCTAGTCTAATACGACTACCAGCTTCGGCGATGTCAACTTTGGCGGATGTAGTGCTTGCATAATGGTGCGTACTACAAATGTACTAATTTTATAGTAAAGAAGTGATCATTAGAGAGCTATAAAAATCATAATTATTTCTACCGTTAGTTCGAAGAGCCTTACCAGGATTGTAAAAATGTATCAGTACCTACGCTAGCATAATATCATTAAAGTTATTTCTAGCTCTATAATTTCAAAGCACTCTAGACTAGTAACACAGGAAAATGGCCTTGCTATTTGAAGCAATAGATCAAACGATATATTACTGCTCAAGAACATACTTAAAATGAAAATAAAAATTCCTTTGTCTAGTGGTATTACCTCAATTTAAACTTTGAAGCGCTACTTTCTTTTTTTACACATGTAATCATATACATCATTAATATATTATGATATTATACCGTGATACTGTATGCTTGTAACTCATACATCGTTATTGATAATTTGTAACCGATACTATTTGCTAGTAAACTATTCGATGCGTAAGTTTATTTATTTTTTACCATAAATGGCGTATGGAAACCAAGATTCAATAATCTTACACCCATTCCATGCAGAATATTAATCATTCCTAAAATTATAACAACAAGAGCATAGTCATAACTCTAAATTGATTTTATTACGATATACAGTATCGATGAAATGGTATAGCGAATACTATAGAAAATGCTCTGCATAAATATAACATGTTGTATTCGCAATAAGTCAATGTAGTATACATTAAATTACAATGCATGTATATCTATTAAGTCCTTTATTTCTCATTGAGATTTACCTGCTATTCCGGCGAATTGTCCGAATGCTACTAAACGTTTACCAGAAGAATCAACCAATCTTTCATAATCTATTAGTTTAATTTTCTATAATTAAGAGGAAAATTTGGAGCATTAGTTGATTAATCTAAGTATGCTTACAAATTGTTATAGATCATTATTCGGATGTTTGGTTAAGAAATATTCGTAGCTAATGGATATAACATAATCGCAATGACAGTTAGAGAAAAGTAACCTGAACGATTCCAGGATCGATATTTAACATTTCGAGCAATATGATTCCGATTTAAATATATGAGAAATCGGATCAGATGCGAAAAATTTACAAAGATGAATATAAAAACTATGATGGCGATACATCATTCGGTAGTCAAGTTTTAAGTATATGGTATTGACAGTTATGCACATTAGTATTGTTGGTAATATATAAAATGGATGCTTAGGTAAAAACAGATCTGTTTAAGAGTAATTTCATGTTCTAAGCTGCGGTGTATAACCAAAGCTTGATGTCAAGTACAATGAAGTCGTATCCCCCATCGACGATCATGAATGCATCGTCATAACTGTAAAAGGCAGTTACCGCACAGCAGGAAATATCCATTTCAACCTGTGTAGTTGGCAACGGGCGATGTGTTGTGGAAAGAAATGAATACCAATTGCTTGATTTTATAGCCGTCATAGATTAGCTAGTCATCGCTCAGTAGTTGGTCATTTCAAGAGTAAAGAATTAAAGCGGCTTTCTCTGACGATTCTATTCATTTCACCACTATTCAATGATGCAAGTTCATGACACCAGCACTTTAGCATTTACTCAAGAACAATAATAATTATTATTAATGTATACTACGACGTGTATACTCGTCTAATAATTATATTAATCCATTGCAAATATGATGCAGTAGTTTTTGACATCATCGTCAGATTGATTTGTGTATTAGCTGAACTATAAATGGCCAAAATGTGGCCATAGCAACTGAATAGAATATTTTCTTGCAGACAAATTACTAAACTATAATTAATTGTTATCAATCAAAGCAACCGTTATTGGCTATTGCGTTGTTAAGATCGTTAGGAGAAAAATTTGAAAAGCGATATCTCGTTAGTAGGACTAACCATAAACGCTATTAAGATAATGCAGTTGAGTGTATATTAATTAAATCCTGTAGTTATGAATTCAATAGTATTTTAGCTAGTTTAGTATTCAATGACCACAACATGGAAGCCTGTTGCAGCATAACCCATCATGAATATGACAATATGCGATTACGATATTCTTCGGCAAGAGCGACAATATGCTGAATGAATACGTCTCGGGAATGATGATAGTATAGCCTATGTCAGCGTATCCATGTTCAGCACATGGCATCAGTGGAATGCGATTCATTTCATAGACCAATGATAAAGTAAAGTAAATGTGGAGAAATCATTCAATAAATACACGTTTAGGGGGAAAATTGACAATAGATCGTTTATCCTTGATTCTTTGAAGCAATAAAGCATTTTAAAATTGATAGCGTACTCGCTAAACATTGGCTATTGAGTTGAAAGTCATGCCTAACCTAAGGGAAAGAATGTACTGTCATGTTTTCATGCAATGAAAAAGGAGGCGTCGGCATTGCCGATGCTATGTCAATGTTCATCATGAGCTTGTGAGAGTTTGGTCATGAGACGAGGATACAATATAGAGTTTAAGGCAATCGATTGTGGTATGGTAGGCAGATTTATGAGCAATGACATGACTGTTAGACTGATTGGCGTTCATTGGATCGACATTTACTTTTATAGCAGATTGGAAAATGGTCAAGTTCAAATAAGCTGGCAAGTGCCGTACTGAACGTATTTGTTTGTGCCTGATGGACAATTAAAGCGTTTGCTGATTGTTCACAGTTTGTATGCCTATCATGTAGGACTGATCGATAGTAATGGAATTTACCTTTTCGAGGATAGCGTCTAACAGCGGCATATTGTCTGCTTGAGCTTTAATGGTATGAGAGAAGAAGCAATAAGTTTTATTAGGGAGGAGTTTATCGATGGGTACTTGTTTAACACCAACAACTAATGATGCTTGGGAAATATCTTCTTGTAAAATGGCTCCACATTCTTCATATTCCGATCCCGTGAAAGCACGCTTAGCCGATGGTTGAACGATGACTTTATAGCCAAATTCTTCCACTAATAAATTGACTTGCTTTGGCCCGAGAGGTGCTCTTCTTTCCCATGTTAGATAATCTTCTCGTCGAATGGCGATGACTTTACTATACTTTGATGACTGCCTTGTCCATACTCTTGTCGGCGCTAATCGATGAATGGGTTGAAGGTAAGACGAAGCGCGTAACATATTTCTCTCCTTAACTACACACTACAGTAGAACTCTTTCAACGACTATTGCAATACTCTAGGCAAAATGAATGGCTGGTGATTTCTCTTGATGCTTTTTAGACTACAGATGCTTCAAAGAATTGTTGAATAAAATTGACAATCCAACGCTATCAGCTCCAATATATTGAATACTACTCGTAGATTGATTGACCAAGGGGGATTATCATACTGCAAGCACATTAACTGAGCGTTAACGTCGATATAGCCTGTCTTTCCAAGGGTAAACTGCCGTTCCTGTGCATTGTACTGTACCGTATTGTAACCCTGTACCAAAATGATGCCCACTACTATACAGTACTGTATGTACAGTAGGACTGTACAGTGTACAGTATACTGCGCTATACACTGTACACTATGTACTGTACCGTATGGCGTGATTCATCAGACTATTTCAAAATGGAATCAAATAATTCAACAAGAGTCAATTTGAAGTCAAATTGATATCCATAGATAGTGATCATAGTATGTATATGACATATATATCGTATAATAGTACTAATCCACTAATGGAATGGAAAAATGGAATCAAATAATTCAATACGAGTCAGTTTCAAACTTTCAAGTCAAATTGATATCCATAGATAGTGATCATAGTATGTATATGACATATATATCGTATAATAGTAATAGTACTAATCGACTAATGGAATGGAAAAATGGAATCAAACAATTCAATACGAGTCAATTTGAAGTCAAATTGATATCAATAGATAGTGATCATAGTATGTATATGACATATATATCGTATAATAGTAATAGTACTAATCGACTAATGGAATGGAAAAATGGAATCAAATAATTCAATACGAGTCAGTTTGAAGTCAAATTAAATTAATATCAATAGAGGGTGGATCATATCAAATTTGTACAGTGTATAGTAGTGTACAGTATGTCAGTATGTATATGACATATACTGTACAGTATATCGTATAATAGTAATAGTACTAATCGACTAATGGAATGGAAAAATGGAATAAAATAATTCAATACGAGTCAATTTGAAGTCAAATTAATATCAATAGATAGTGGTTCATATCAAATTTGATCAATTTTATTATGCAATTTACCCACTCAATTATGCACCGATTTATCTCCACCGAAATGAATCATAGTCAGTATACTACAGTACTGTGCTGTACTCTGTTGTAAGATGGATTTTGTCAGGGAGCAGTGGGCAGTCTGCCACCTGTTTGTTCGCTCGTACTAGTGTAGAAATGATATAGTGCTGTACATCCCTCCTTACTGGATCATATTATAGATGCACATCCATTGATTATTCTGCATGGACGCATACTGTATTATTGATTTGATTGAAGCTAGTTAATAATAGAGCATTCTGATCAGTATAAACTTTATAACTAACCTCATAAATAAATTAAAAATTCAATCCTGTTTTCTTGTAGTCTTGACTTAACAGATAGAGTACTGTCAATTCTCAGTCAATTTGAAGATTTTCCTATCATAGTGTCTATGTATCTATAAGAATAATAATACTAAAGTACAGTAGAGTAACAAAATACAGGATACTGCTGTACACCCATTGTACTCTATGCTGTATGTTGCCACTTTTCTTCGACTCTCAATGACAGAATTGCGTCTTGGTTTTGCAGTGTTGTGCTTTGATTGATTCGTATCTTAAGCGAACTGCAGATTGATCGACTAAGAACCAAGGGGAAAGGAAAAAGCCTCTCCAGCAATGGGGACTACATGCGCTTTTATGGCATGTCTAAGTTATACAGTACGCGTTTAGAACATATGCATACTGTACAGTATATGCGAACGTGAAGAAACACTCATAAAATATTCTACAGTACTCTACAGTAAGATTTAGGAGGATACGCTACTATTTGACACATCATCATTCTCGACAGTACAGTACTATATCGATAGTCCACTGAACAGTAACCTGCAACACATGGCAGTCAATAACTGCTGAAATCATTCATTTTTATTCCATCGACAGTCTACAGTCATAACTAACTGTGTGAGTAACCAGAGTAAAGAAACTGATTGCAAAATACTACGACCAGTACAGTACAGTAAGATACAGTACTGAATTTATTTCAGTAGAAAATAGAAATGCTGGCGTCACAATGCTAAAGTCTTTAAGCTAAGACGTAAATCTGAAAGGGAGAAACTGAGAATCGCACGATAAAAAACTTACCGGACGCTACTCCTACAGCTTACCCCATAATAATGGCCACTACTTCCTGGAATCGCCCTCTAAAGGTAGTCATTATTGGGGCTGGAGTATCTGGCTTAGCGATTGCTGAACTATTAAGTCAATATCCATGCTTTAAAGTCCTACTATTAGAGGCAAGTCAGAGAATAGGAGGTCGTGTCAATACAAAACACATTGACAAAGATTCTACTTTCCTCGAACTTGGAGCCAGTTATATCCATGGTTCCCCGGAGAATCCAATCTATGAAATTGCCCATGCAAATAAAATACCAATCACTAGATCGATTCTAGACTTCAGCGCATTGCGTTATGGTATCGAATCCAATCAAAATATCGATGAAACGATACGAAATAATGCTAGCCACTCTTATTATAGTACCATCGAGATGTGCAAAAGTTTTGCTACAGCACCTGCAGCACAGTTACCTGAAGGTATCAACAGCGTTGGAACTTTCCTCAGAAATAGCCTACGCCGAAGAATCCTCGATGTCCATGCAAAGGATAGATCTGCGTTTGCAAGCATATTTCACTGCTTTGAATTAATAGAGTGCGCTATTTCTGGGTGTAACTCTTTACATGACTTACATTTGAAAGATTTTGGAGAATATCATGAGTTAGACGGTCACAATTGGGAATTTACTAGTGGTTACGACAATGTAATACAACATTTAATCAATAATTTGAAGAAAATAAATGTGACTGTACAAACAAATACTATAGTTGAGCTGGTAGATTATAACGATTCATCTTCTTACAATCGAAACGATCCCAATGACTCCAAATCTCAAACTAATCATGTATATCCAATAAATGTAATATGCAAGGACGGTAAAAGTTATACAGCTGATCATGTCGTTTGTACCGTATCACTTGGTGTTCTTAAAGAGATGGCTGAAACTCTTTTTAATCCTACCTTACCTCAACCAAAATTACAGGCAATTAACCGCCTTGGATTTGGTACAGTTAATAAAGTATTTCTATTTTATAGAGAGCCATTCTGGAGTGGTCATCAATTTCGGTTAGTATTCGTCTGGAATGATCAAGAGTACAAAAGTCCCAGCGACAGATGCCTTCTATCCAATGATGATGCTTGGCTAAGGAACGTATCTGCGGTTTCAACATGTCAATCTTGTAAGAATGCTCTGGTTTTCTGGATAGCCGGTTCCCCAGCTATAGAAATTGAAAAATTTTCAAATGAACAAATTTCACTCTCATTAACGAAACTGCTCAAAATGTACATGGATAACCCTCTTATCCAACCACCTTACAACATCATCAAATCCTGCTGGCATAGCAATCCCCATACCCGTGGCTCTTATAGTTACGTTAGTACAGCAGCGAGTGGGGAAGATTTTAAGATCATTGAAGATCCAATTTTGGACAAAGAGAATAAATCTCCACTAATTATGTTTGCGGGAGAAGCCACTCATAGACAACATTATTCTACTGTGCATGGAGCATATCTTAGTGGAAGACGGGAAGCAATGAGGTTGTTGGGGGTGTACGGATTAACTTGAAAGATTATTTTCTTTCCTAAAATTGCTTGTTATCATTAATTCATGCTGTTTATAGTACTGTATAATCGAGTCATATTTGCGCGCGTAGTGAATCTAAATTACAAATGGAAGCACATCCAGTCGTGCACATACAACAAGACATTAGCATTGATGGTGTACTATGCAATATTTTTGGCAAGCTTTCAAAGTATTTAGGATAAATTGGTTGGAATGCAATTTATAGCATATTAACTGTAAATAAACGCGAGAATAGCTAAATCAAAACCGTTTTATTGTACGCCATATTATGTAGCACTAAACTGTAGGCAACAGTTTGTGAATACTGATAACTGAAATGGCTTATTGATCAATGACAGTATTCTCGACCAAAAAATATCGGAAGAGATCTAAATGATCATTGTTAGTTTTCTTATTATAGCCGTAAGTAATGTTAATATTTTATACTTTCGTCACAAAGAGCTAATCTTGTTCCTGATTATTGAATTGCAACGATTCAATTAATCGACTCTCTTATAAAATTTCTTGTGATTGCGATTGACTACATCCGAATGACTAATATACTACCTACGAGTATGTCACAACACTCATATAAACGTATAGTATAGATACGTAAACTTAATAGGACTTGACTATAGTAGTAAATGATATCTTACGAATAACTGTTGCAAAAATAATAAACCCTACTGTCACGAATGACGCGGATAATTTAGATTGTACCTACGTATATACTTATATATAGATAGATTGTACCTACGTATACACTGTATACTGCACACACCGCACAAGTAAATATAAATTTTATAGAACTTGACTTGATTAGCAAATAAGTTCTTACGAATAACTTATACGAAAAAATAACAGATTCTACTGCTGCAAATATACCTAACGTTGATCATTTAAAACTTCTACCATAATCCATTGTACTGCATAACAATACTAAATCGAAAGTTGTAATTCTTAAAAGATATGCAAAAGAAGTACGATTCTTCATTCCTTTAATATTATTACAGTATTCAGGTTACAAATCTATCCTAAAATATGAATCCTTAGACTGATACAACCAATACGATACGTGTACAATAGAGGGTCTCTAATGTACAACATCGATATGCTTATATGCCGTAACTAAACTGAAAAACTGCAAACATTTGCTAAAAATGTTAGTAGTACCAATATTATACTTTATTTATAACCATCTTTGCAACGCGACCTGATAACACAGACAACATCTACAGACTCTTTTATTACAGCTTGTCAAAAAATAAAATTGTCATTTGCTGCGCATTGTTAATTTAGTTAGTGTCGTGCTGAAATTGTATTTACTCAAGTATCAGAAAACCAGTATTGAAATGTATCTACAAGAAGTAATAAACTTTGTGTCCTCTTGAAAACTATAAAAACGATAAGTAAATTTTTGGCTATTGGATTTTAGGCTTAACTACAATAGGTAATAATTAGGATCAATTTGATTTGAAGATAACTATAATAACTATACGCGCATTAATTTCTCTCTATTCGATAGTCACATGGTTCAAAAATAAAAATATATCGATAAATAATCAATTTTCACCATTCCCTTAGATTTGTGAGGTAACAGAGAACGTATAATGAGATTAAGCATTCGAATTGATTAGATTGATAATTCTCGTAGCTTCCCTTTGACCTGTCAGGTAAGCACCATGGGTTGTGGAATAAAAGTTTCGATGCGTAGCTTCACCTGCAAAAAGAATCAACGGGCAACCATCTTCGTCCACTTCTGGTTCAGCTAAAGTATCCACATCATCGCTACAAGAGCTAGTGCTAATATAAGAGTAAGAACCACAAAATAAGGGGTCACTAAACCATTTCGTTTGGATGACATCGTACGGTTCTGGCAGGTTGGATATTCCAGTAAATTTTTGTAAAACACGAGTAATGGAATTGGATATATCCTTTTTCGAAAGTTTCTCCATGACTCTAGCACATTCTCCGCTTATCCAAATTACTAAAGTATCAGAATTAAGTCTAACTGTTTCTATATTGACAATACTTCGTAACCACTCTTCGCCTTCCGCTAATTGGATGCCTTTGCCTCGACTATCTTTGTAATCCTCGTCGTCCCAATAAAAGAAGTACGAAAAATCTCTATGTTTCCAAAACGGTTTAGAGTAACGTAGATATAGTTTATCAGTTAATCCAAAGCCCATGCGATCAATTACTTTCAATTTCTTCTCGCTTAAGCTAGAGTCGAATAAATCAGCAGCTTCTTTTTTTAAAACGCCAAGCGAGACAGTGCATATGACAAAATCAGCTTTGTAAGTCTTAGCATTAGTACACTCAATTGTTACTCTACCATTCTTATTATCTTGACCAGTATCAGTGCTGTTGCGCCTAATTTTCTGAACCCGATTATTTAAATGCAAGACGTCTGTTGGAATATTTTGAGCTATCTTGTGTGGAATTTCACTAAATCCATTCTTAAATTCTTTATCCTCACCAGATAGCTCAATGTAGTCTCCAAAATCCTGGAGATGTAGGTCCTGCAGAGAATCACATGCTGATATAACACATTCAATTGCTTCGCGGCATGAATATATGCTGGCAAGTAATGATTGCTCATCCTTGTTGGGGATAGTGGATAACTTTTCCTTTAATTTCCACTTAATATAACTACCAACATTATTGCTGTTACTGGGTAATTCATTTAAGTATTGTCGATTGGTGCTCTGATTAAGGATATCCTCATAAAAATCCATAGCCTTTATCGCTTTAGAAGTTCGCACAACGTCGCCCCTTTCGGTTAAGTGAAGACTCTTCTCGTTATAGCAGTCTGCTTCATTATAAACTTTAATGCCGTATTTTTTTGCCAATTTATAAATTGGATTCTTTTTATGTCCATGGATAAATTGTGCACCTATTTCCAGTTTGGATTTATCGTCCAGGTCCGTAGTGTAAATTCTACCACCGATTCTATTACTACCTTCAAGTATGGTAACTTTGAAATGTCCGTCAGCACAAAGAAGTTCAGCTGCAGCTAAACCGGCGATACCAGCGCCGATAATGACAACATCGATGGAAGGAGTTGATGAATCAGTTTGGTGGCTAGCTTTATCTGCATCACTTTTAGACGATTGCGATTTACGCAATTTATTTCGAAATGTCTTTTGCAGTTGATTCATGCTTGATAATGGCATCAAAATCAGTTGGTCAATGCCACAGTACGTGCAGAAATTATAAATTATTCGTATAGCTATCCAAAAAAAAGAAGATACAAGTGGATTATTAAGCTTACACCAGAACGATGGATTACGTAATCATGTGCCCAAAATATACAGTATGTATTACTGTACGGGTATCTATCTATTATTCTATTATGATCGTAGCAGCTAGGAGCAATATGACAAAAATTTCGTATATACCCGTAGTTTCATGTTTAACAAGCATGTATCTATCTATCTATCTATTATACTGTATATAATGCATACCAAAAGTGAGTAGAGAACTTGGGCTAGGAACAGAAATTTTCAACGTTGAATTTTTTACTTTCAGCCTTGATAGCAGCAGCAGTCTGGTAGTAAACAATATACTGTAGTACTAACAATTTTATTGTACTGTACTGTACCGTGCAGCTGAATCAGTATGGCTATAGTACTGTAGAGTTACTATAGTAACCTTCAGTGCTTTATCCAAGCGGTCCGGTCCGAGCCACTTCTTACTGTACTGTTCATCGTGTAGATGACATGTATACTGCACAGTGTACAGTCACTAGGCAAGCAAGCAAGCTTTTCGTATAAAATGTTCCAATAATAGAGTACAGTAGAGTACTATACTAGACCGTCGTCATGGACATGGACTACCAAGAATCTAATAGTCCTTGTCGTAGTCAACATTTTAAATATGGATCTTGGCTAGCACTGCAGCTCAGTTATAGCCATAGATTAAAGGGACTACGAAATAGGAAGAGGTCGTTCTATATATATGTCATATATACATTACTCAAAATGGGAAGCAGGTCATTTCAACTTCGCTTGATCATTTCAGCGCTAGAGTAGCGTTTCGTATGGCCGCAAAAAGGATAGGAGTCCGTATTATTCTTACTGCTTTGGTGTGGACTGTATACAAGAGTGTGTCTGTACTGTACAAGTGTACATACAATGGGTAGATGACGTAATGACATGAAGCTACTGCGCAATCAACTTCTACCAGAATGCTGCTATAGAGTTGCGCACGGCGTGCGGATCAACCATAGTAATATCAACAAAGCTTTCAGACCTGCCCATCCATCATTGATGAAGCCATCATCAAGACGGTTGACGTACAGTACGGTAACAAAGCCTAGCGTTAGATTAAATTGAATATCTAGTTGGAGTTGATCTTCCAATTTGGACGGCAATTGAAGACAATTCTCATTACTTTATCATGGGTTGTTTTGGATCGAAATATGGAAATGAGCGTGCTCTTGCACACGAAGAACCCAAAGTGTACAGTTGGTAAGCCACAGCAATAGCGTTGTCATACGGTATACTCAAAATCGGATAGTAATTAGACCGACGATGTGATCGTTCGATTGTGCGCATGATAATCAATTATTATATAATAGAATTGATTTGAATAAACGAAGAGTAAGAGTTTCGGATTAATAACTCTTCAATTTAATTTGCTGTATTTTATTATAATTCACTAAAAGATGTGATACTCGTATCGATTTTCATTCCAATTATTGTTGTCGATTGCGATGGTATTATGGAAGAATAAAAATAGGAGTATAGACAGTAAATGTGGACGCTGGTATATCGATCAATACAGACACGTACCTTCATGAATCGTGCGACATTGTTCACGTTCTAGACCTAGACCTTCCATTTGTTTTTAAAATCGTGTTAGTATCATTCAATTGTAATGCCATCTACAAGATATATCTATGGAGATGAGTGATCATTTCAGTTGATCAAACTGCCAAATTTATACGATAGGACGAAATCGACCTCCAAATCACGATTTTGCTGTATCGAATGATTATCACGCCTATCACTATTGTTCAATGTACTGACCAGTAGTAAGGTCGACTTTACTCGAAAGTTTACAGCATACCTAGTTTATTATTGAACTGAAATGAGCTTTTAATTGAACACTTTGATGGAATATTGCTTTGACTACAACAAGAATTAAGTCTATCTATATAATGTAAAAAGAACTATGCTACAATGAATTAATAAGCCTAGTTGATATGATAAACAGATCGATACGTATACCACAAGGTATTAAATTATACGTACATTAGTTGGCACATTATGATCAACTTACGAGTAAGAATTTGAATTACTCCTATCACTGTGATTGAGTGTACAGCGTTCCAATTTCTGCCATTTATTCTTGTATTACCGCTTTCGGGTATCTTAACCGTAAGTGGATTAGTCCTCTTAATTGAGTAGTACACGAACGAGCATTAATTAAGTAATAGATATGTATATATACGATATGTACTGTACATTGTATCGAGAGAGATAATGAAGCACCTAATGATTTATAAACATGCCGAAGCACTGATAAGTTTATTTTACTGCAGTCAATAAAATAATAAATAAATATCGATCCGTTCCATTTACTATCTTAATCATAATAAACTAGGGATCGACGAGAACGCGTAGACCCTAAAGATTATACCTTGCAAAATCTATCGGGCGAAACTGTTGGTCGACTCCCAGGCGAAGTAAAAGGGCAGCAGTTTATCATTGATAACTGCAAGGTAAGACCTGATCACTAAACTGTAGTAGATAATAACAAATCATAATAATAATAATCAAACTGAAAATACCTACCAAAACGGAGTCTTATTGCTCCTAGTTGCCGCAATGTAGCACGTACCTATTACAGTAAAGTATAAAATCAATTCATAAATTAGTGGGCATGATTTATATTGTATGCCAGTCATATCAGTGCTGCTGCACGAGTATAGTAATCTCTCTCCGCTAAAAGCTAGCCTAAAGAGTGATTGCTGTACATAAAATGGCTGTATACACTATCTAAATATGTTTATGAGTTTGACTATTGCTCTAGGCTCCTACACGCGTAGATTTTCATGCCGTCAATACCGTACCTAACTTGTCTAAGAATTGGGTTTAAACAAGTTATTGAATTAATAATTTCGTGATGGAAAATTATATGTTAAAAAAATGCGCTCTTACTACGTATAGCAATGCATACGATATCAATCATTTTAAATTATCAAGTTATTGCTTATGAACTTTAGATATAGAGTCAAAAGAGCTAATACTAGGTAAAGCTTTGTAACTGTATATGAAGATTTAAGTAACACAATGCAGAATCTATAGTATGGGTTGGATGCAAACTGTGTTAAAATAATTTTTCCTTACTGTTCGCCGCAGTTTCTTATACTGTATTACTGTAAAATTATACTATAGGTATCAACTAGTTAATTAGCACCGAAGAGATATGTTGTTGCATCATCTTAATTCCAAGTCTAAATTTAAACCTTAAGCTACTGTGTGCACAATTGTCGTTTATTGCATTGACATGTGAACCCACCTGCTATATATCATGAATGACTTTTAAAATTTTACATTTGATTTTAAATCTTTTTACTTAAAACAGGACTGTAATATTTATATATTCGATCATTCAGCAACTATTACTGTTGACGACTGTACTAATTGTCGTATTTTTCTCGGACCTATTCAAGGAAGGTTAGTTATTCAATTAATGGAGGTACACACCGAAATTAAAATCATCAATCAGATCAACTCTAGTAACATAAAATTTTATCACCTTTATCTTCTGATCCTTATAACTGTAGCGTCTTTATTCGTGATTGCACTGATTGCCAGATTGCCCTTGCATGTCAGCAATTCAGGTAAGAAATATAGAATTATTATTTTCCAATCTAAGGCATAGATTAGATTATAGTCCAGTCACAGTTGGATCTTTGCTATCCTTGTTAGTAAACTTAACCTTATAATATCAGATAAATGTAAGTTTTGTGCTGCTGCCTGTAGGACTCGAGACTGTAAGAAATTGGATATTTTCTTACACTGTGTTACGCAGCCAATCATAGAAGCAACAACTGCAATTCGATTTGGTTGTTTTCAATACTATTATAAAGAATTGAAAGGTAGATTAAATTTATAAAGATATTAAAACAATATTTGTCGATTGGAGTCTATAATGTTAAAACATATTTTACAATTATTTAGATCAGTTTGCTGCTGCCAAGCTAAGTGTATTTAGTAATAATTGGAGCAATATACACGATTTTACCCCTGTTGCTGGTGAAAACAATTGGATGTTAATACCTGAGGTATAACAGATTGATATAATTACTTATTGATCGTTTTATTAAAGTAAGACGAAGACGTAAAATTGGAAGCCATGGTGCATAATTGAATTTTTGCCGATAAAAATTCAATTTTAGAACCCAGCTGTAGATGATTATTTACCACGTCCGTCGTCCGATAAATTTATGACTATGGATATCTCGACCACAATTAAAGATAGTGTTGTACCAATTACTACGGGATGCAGAAGAAAGTTATCTTCAAACGTAATTGTTTCATCTAAATATTTATGAAAAAGTGTGATTTGGGTAAAACTATATTGATACACATAATGATTATGTTGAATATCTTTTGATCTTCTAGTCTTGTTTAGTAGCATTCTTTGCCGATGCTATTGCCAGTGATGCTCCTTTGAAATATGTAAAGCAACTGCAGCAAGAGGTTAATATCTGTTATGTTTTGAACCGATTGCTATATTGATTTGTCTACTTATAAATGATTTTTGTATCTTTCTTAGACCAACTGTACTGTCGTACAAACAAAGCAATTATCTATGAAACCAGAAGACTCTATGCGCGTTTTTTATACCGAACGTTATAATGATGAAGTCTTAAAAGGTCGGGCAACAGTTTATGCATTTTGCGTCGATTGATCATTATTCCAAATTAATCTCTCTATCCACCACTAGATATGGATAACTTTAACATAATTCTGTGACATTTCACTGTAGGGGATATTATCGGCGTAGAGGTCAACGGAGACAACGTTTTGGAATTGAGTAGGCAATTATTAGAAAGGTGCTGTATGGGTAACTTGTATTACTTATCGGATAGTGCAAGTGCAGGAAATCAAGATATTGATGCGTTCTTTAATTTCAATGACGTTGGCATGGGTGGCCTATAACTGCGGTCGATTCATTTTGCAACTGGATAACAAGATTTAAATACGATTTCTTAAATTTAAATTGAATTTTAGATTTGTAGCAACGTCAAATTAACTGATGTTGTAGTCTTACTGCAGCTGAAACGCTCGTATTATTTGTCAGATGTCGTAGCACCTTGATTGAGATGAACGATTACACTGGCGCGCGCGTTTCTTTACCTATATGGTAAGAAGCCCTTACCAAGTGGTGCTGTAAACTCGTAGGATTTTACAAAGAAGATACAATCACTTTTTAATGGGCTGATCATGATGACTATTGGCCATCTTACGTATAATGTACCTATTACAATCAGTGATGCATCGTTCTATTTTAGCTCCTTGATCAGGATTACTGTATACTGCATTTTGTGCTCAAGTTTTAAGTTTGACTTTTTTATCATTGATCACGTTTTCATTGTAGACTTTGCAGTTAATCATTTTTTTTTTAATTTTACCGATAGGATTAAGGTAACCTAATTGATGGTACCTTTATAAGAAATGAGTTTACTGTTAATAAACAAACGAACCGAATTGACTGTTGATCTTTTGTCTACTCTTGACGTAACGTGCAATGTACAATCGTTGTGCATGTATGTCGGTGATGAAGAGTGTTATTCCCTTCAATATCGATTAACTTAATTCAAGGATATTGAGTTGCAAGAACAGGAGATCAATCTTTGATACTTTGATGTACAGAATAGAAGAAATTGCAATGACCACCATGTAAAGCTAATTTCCCAGCTACTACACAGTCGTTGCGCAAGGCCTGCTGAAAAGAGCAAGAGATCGATGTACAGTACTGGTACGGAACCATTACATGTGCAGTATAACTTGTTTGACTAACTGCAAAAGTACATTACTGTATGCCTGACATTACTCTATCTTCAAAGACGCCATTTTCAACGTTCAAGTTACTATGTCCATTTGTACACAGTCCTGTATATATTTCATATACACAACAATAAGAGAAGGTTATTCCATCGGTTATCCGCACAGTAAAAGATTAGGGAGACCACTAGCAGCGCGGTGGGGCTGTTTCCTAGCAACTGCTTTTCTGGAGATTGAGTTGCTGTCCAGTGTACATGACGCGAGTGCAGTACTGTACATTACTGTACAGTATCGCCAACGCACAGAACCGGTGCTTACAGTACTGTACTGTACAATCTGATTATTTTTCATGTCTTCCCTTCGTTCAAAAATCAAAGTTGTATTCCGTTGAAATCCCTGCATAGTATTTTTATATATATGCCCGTAGAAGGATATCTCCGAAGATAGATTATCATGATAACATGAACTTACTGTACAGTACTGTAATTTTCTTGCTTCTCCATCACTACAGGCTGCAAGAGTGTACATCACAGCCAGGATTAGGGTCAAATGTTCAATGGTTACATTCGATCGAGGTCATACTGTACAGTGTACAGTACGTACTGTACAGTAGTGTACAGTATATTGGATTGACTGCATTTGTGATGGACAATGGACAGTACAGTACAGTACTGTACTGTACAGTAGCCCAAAATGTCCACGTGTACAGTGTACAGTACACTGGCTTACAGTACTTCGAATTGTAGCCAACTTTTGCAATATTGTCCATCGCCAAGGTTGCCGGCGAAATGGTAATACGCCACGTACTGTATTGTATCGTCACCCCTATATTAAAGTCACGTACAGTAGGCGTCGATAGATAAGACGATTATCTCTTGGCGCTGGCAACTTTTCTGTCGATAAATTCGCGATATTAACGAAGAATATCAGGAAAAACGCTGCATCAAAAGGCACAGAAAAATGGCTGGAGGAGAAGATCATGACGACGCTAAAATAGCTGCACAAGATAATAAATTACCGGCCCAAAATTCCAGGTAAGACATTGGCCATCAAAGTTGTACTAAAGTCACTATTGTACTTGTATCAGCTGTAAACAACAATGTTAGATACGATGATGATGAATTCCAGGCAAAAGATAGCTCTGCCTCTAGTAGCGTATCTACAAGATGATCGTGCATTCTCAATCTCGACTTTACAATATCGCTGATCGATGATTTGATTATGCTCATCATTCTATTCTCAGCTCGACTATGTTAGCAAGGATAGGTTGAATGCCATCGTTCACCCTAGATTGCTTCAATTGCCAAGTAAACATTTTACACTTGACAAAAATCCTCTCTGGGTCTTACATCAATGTTTGATCATCGGATTTGGAAGCCAGCGATGACAGTAATTACTTTGATTATGCAAATAATCAATTACATACCATTCTATTCAGCCATCTTCCACCAGTTTGCTCAGAATGAGCTTATCAAAGTAAACATTTCACACTCTGGCCATGAATTATTATTATGCAGTGGTGTTGTACAGTTGAAAGCAACGAAACATGATTTATCCTCAAATTTTTCGTCCTACTGAGCCGTAATTCAATACGACATACAGTACAGTAGTCATATCATTTGCAGCGTAAAATATCTGCAAGTTTGGGCGGGCGCATTTATCCGAGGAGACTAGTCAATAGAAATGGAGATACGCTTGCTTGCAATACTGGTCCGCCGGCAACGTGGATCAAGGATGGATTGTTTACATTTTCACTACTTTTTACAGTAGTCATCAACCATTTTGCTACCTTATGGAATGCTTAACACGTCTATTAGAAAATTCCATATCGCCTTAATCAGCGGTATTCGTATTATTCACTTATGATACAGTAGAGAAGCAAACGGTTACATTCCATCAATCTGCTGCAATCAAAACATGTCAACGATTCAATTTTTCTACTTCAACTAACTTAATTCATGAATGCATGGTCGATGAGTGTGTTATACTGTACAATGCATGCACGATCTTCTGGACCTTACACTTTCATGACAAACGATTATTGATAGTACCAATCTTTTGGGTGGTTAGCACGTTGTATTTATTGATCGCGAAAAAATCATACCAAATGTGTATATGTCAACATATATACTACAGAGCATTCGAGATCACTACTTGAATACTACATATTAACCAAATAGTAAGGTTTGGGAAATAACTTGATATCTTAACGAAATGTCGATTCGATTCTTAACTCGGGATAATGGATAGCACACCAAACCACCACTACACAATAGCTGCCAATAAATCAAATTGCATCGATATATGATAGTATAGTAAGAACAAACAACGCTAGAACACTGTCTTCAGAATTACAAATTCAAATAACGGGATCTCATTCTTAAAAGAAATTATCATGGTTAGAGAGATGTCCTTTAGCTATGTTGATACAAAATACCCATCGTACGATATGTGGATGCATTTTAAGGTTAATGTACGGTAGCAAGGATTACTCAACAACACATCTTTCAAGATATCTTAAAGGTACCTTTAAGTGGGTAATGATATAGTGTTGAGTCGCCCTTGGCCGTAGCCATTATGGGTCATTGAATTAATTTTAAACTTGATGGGGTTCTGCTACGTCATGGCAAAAGGTCATTTATTGTTGTAATGTATTCTAGTTAATGTTATTGAATATATTATTGTCTTAGTCGTGATGACGATTACTCTGTACCCAAACTGCGCTCTATTCTATGTCGATACTACAGGTTATGCAAGGTCTCAGCTTATTAATTCACTAAAGATAGTTGCAGGCGAGTAGTCTTTGTACAGTATTAACATTTAGACATTTATTGGATTTTGTTGCTTTCATTTCGACAGACGACGTATCCAAATGTAATGCTACGTACGCGTATATTCATCTTGCCTTTGAGGTCATGACCTTTATCTCTATGGCCAAATCCACCATTTTTAACTACAAATTGGACTGGACTTGATTACGGTCTCGAGTACTCATACTGGAATTCAATGACTGCAGTAATTAATTGTTTTAAATTAGGAAATTCAAATATCCAGTACACCGATTGGCAAGGTAGAACAGTTAGGGGTAATAATAGTTATAATTGATCATCGATCGGTCGGCTTGTTTTAATGACTTGACTGAATCCGCCCGGATAAAATATAGAAGATGCAATTCTACAATTGAGTACAGTATACACTATTTTCGATTTCCAATTACCAAACCAACTTTGATTTTGTACAATGTACTTATACCTACAGTATATTATAACAACGTATATTGTTTGTTATTCTAATTTAGACAAACTCATGGTGAGCAATGGTAATACTGTATAAATAAATAATGGGTGTACATATAGCATTCCCAGGTACAGTGTCAGGACGCAAATAATTCTCCGATAATTAATTTACCCCAAGAAACGTAATTGATGTTCGTGAACATCCATTGAAATTGAAAAAAAGGAATAACGGCAACGGCTGTGTCTAATCCAGACTCTTCACAGCGGCATCCTATTTTGTTTACGAACTCAAATTTGACATACAATACAAATTATGGGCAAATACAGTAGTGAATTGGCAGTGCATTCATTGTTGCACATACACTTGTCTATGTCGTATGATTATCCAATACAATTAGGGGTTTTTATTCAAGTAGGCCGATTAGAATTAAGCTTTTCAACTATTTATCATATTTCTCATCACGCGTGATTTAAGTCGGTAATGAAATAATAAAATAAGTATTAATCCTATTATAACGATATCGGTCCAGTTGAACGATTTTAGTTCTGTCGAACATACAGTTTGGCACAGAGCAAACATTATTCATATTAAAGTGCTTTAAAATTACAATTTGATATTGTATATTATAAGTATGAATAATGTTTGCTCTGTACTAAACTGCATGTTCGACAGAACTAAAATCGTTCAATTGGACCTACATAGCTACGATAGAATTAATATTTATATTATTATTTCATTACTAACTTAAATCACGCGTGATGAGAAATATGATGAATAGTTAAAAAATTTCATTTTACTTAGCCATGAAATTTGACCAATATACGCCACGGTCATATTTTACTGTTCTACAGTATTTGAATTATGAAATAATAATAATTATATCTATATAATTAAGCAGACAGACATGTCAGGAGAGG